TAGTAAAACAGTTGTCTGAATTTTTGTTTTCTTTTTTTAAATAGTCAATCTAACCTATTGTCCTAGATTTTCGATTTTCATAATTTCCGACCGATTTTCATGGTCATCATCGATTTTTTTTTATATTTTATAAATTTTTTTATAATTCCATTAATTCTATTTATATCTGTCATTGTCGAGTAATAGGAACTAAACAAATACGAAAATCCATATTGTTGTTATAATTATTAAAAGGATTAATAGTATTAAAAAATAATCAATCAATATTTGTGCGTAACATCTGATAATCTAATAGGAATTCCCAATAAAAATAAAAGTCATTATTTACTGCATATTACGTACCTATAGGTTTTCTAGTTACCATAATAACAAACAATCCTGAAAAGTATGATTAATGTTTATAAATAATTAGACACGTTATGATTGTGTATATTATACTATCATTATGAGACGTTATCTAACGTACAGCACGCAGTAAAAAAATTTTATTTAACCATTCTAATTGACGCCAATGGAACGTAAAGAAAATTTTGTACATAAGTATAAAACCAAAACAGGAAACAAAGTTTTAACTTTTTAAGAACTGAAAATAAACTGAAATCAAATTTTTTGTTACTTTAAAAACCGAAGTTGTGGTTTTTTCAAAGACTAAAACTAAAGTTCTTTTAAGGACCGGCATCAAAACTGGAACCAATTTTTTTTTTTTTTTACTAGGAACCAAACCGGAACCAAAACCGCAATATTCATCAAAATTCTAGTCACTGATTTGGTGGTTCTAAAAATATCTGTTTTAATAGAGTTGGTCCGGAAAAGAACAGTTTTCAATACGACATAGTTATCTTATTGATTTGTAATTAATATCAAATTTTGAATAATAGGTACCTACACATTTTATATCGTTTTCACAATACATCAAACCGCAATCAATAAATTACACAACGCAATCAACAAAATTAGCAAATGAAAACAAACGCTCAACAGAAGTGAATGAACACAAACATTTATTATATTTTATAAACAGTTTTTTTATAGATAGATAGTTATTTAGGATAGTTAAATTTGTATAGCTAGCACATCGTAAATGATAAGGAGGTAAATTGCTTGCACATTATTTCCACTGTCTTCAATATCTTATTTCTTAGATCGATATTCACAAACTAAAAGTTAAAAGTATAAGTAATCCTTTAAGCGTCTTTATCTCAGAAACATACTTACAAGCACATGATTAAAAATCCCAATATTCAACAATATTATATAAAAAAAGAATTTGTATATAATAAAGAAATATGAATAGTTTTCTTAATTATAAAGAAAAGTATGTAGATAAACACTAAGTAATAAATGAAACCATATAATTATATTTTATAATAATACAATATATTCATAAACTAAAGGTTTAAGTATGGATATTAATTTAAGTGTCCTTATCTCAGAAATATACTTACAAGCACATGATTAAAATTCCCAATATTAAACAATACTAATAGGTATGTAGATAATAGTTTACTAATAATTAAAGGCACAAATAGACAGGTACAAAATAAGTTAAATAAATTAAACAAAATGAATAAAACATACAATTTACAATTGAATTACAAACCGATAATCAAATATAATTTTTAGACCATAATATTAAAATAATCAATAATAAATTTGAATTCAATAATAATATAAAACCTACACAAACTTATGCTATAATATCTAATGAATCTAATCATCCTTATTTACAAAAATTAGCATATTTTAGATAAATACTGTATAGACTAGAGAATATTTCTTTACACAATAATAACTACATTCAAGAATTAAACACATTAAAAAAAAATAGCTATAATTAATGGTTATATCTTAAAAACCATTAACAAAATACACTTTTATATTAAAAAACAAAATAAGAATAATATCATTAATAATAAAGATAACATCAGTTACATAATTACAGAATACAAAAATTTCTTAACTCACAATATATAATCAAATATAATTTTTAGACCATAATATTAAAATAATCAATAATAAATTTGAATTCAATAATAATATAAAACCTACACAAACTTATGCTATAATATCTAATGAATCTAATCATCCTTATTTACAAAAATTAGCATATTTTAGATAAATACTGTATAGACTAGAGAATATTTCTTTACACAATAATAACTACATTCAAGAATTAAACACATTAAAAAAAAATAGCTATAATTAATGGTTATATCTTAAAAACCATTAACAAAATACACTTTTATATTAAAAAACAAAATAAGAATAATATCATTAATAATAAAGATAACATCAGTTACATAAGTACAGAATACAAAAATTTCTTAACTCACAATATATAATCAAATATAATTTTTAGACCATAATATTAAAATAATCAATAATAAATTTGAATTCAATAATAATATAAAACCTACACAAACTTATGCTATAATATCTAATGAATCTAATCATCCTTATTTACAAAAATTAGCATATTTTAGATAAATACTGTATAGACTAGAGAATATTTCTTTACACAATAATAACTACATTCAAGAATTAAACACATTAAAAAAAAATAGCTATAATTAATGGTTATATCTTAAAAACCATTAACAAAATACACTTTTATATTAAAAAACAAAATAAGAATAATATCATTAATAATAAAGATAACATCAGTTACATAATTACAGAATACAAAAATTTCTTAACTCACAATATATAATCAAATATAATTTTTAGACCATAATATTAAAATAATCAATAATAAATTTGAATTCAATAATAATATAAAACCTACACAAACTTATGCTATAATATNATTTTCCTCCGGAAAGAACAATTATAAACGTTGGTATACCATACTTTATTGGACACCTAAAAACAATAAAATTGAAATTATGTACATTTTAAATCCAACGAATGGACCTTTGTGTATGAAACAAATGCTAATTTGTTTGCGACAACAAAGCATTAAAGAATATAGTTATAGAAATTGCTACTTATTGAGGGAAGAGAGAAGAACATGAACAAGAAAAATTTAAAACATAAGTAACAATTTGATTACCTGAACAATGTCAATACATTTGACAATGTGTTCTCTGGATATACTCTCTTTAGAACTCTGGTCGTAGTGTTGACTGGAATTTCACTATAAATATTTATAGTGTCTGCTGTGTATTTACCTTCATCATCCCACGGTGCTCTTTCAGAAAATATGTCGACTAACAGCTTGTAGAACCTAAAAAAATAATAAGGATTTATAAAATAATATTTAAAAAATCGAAAAAAAAAAAATACACTTAAGAAGTGTTCGGAAGCAAATAAATATATACTAACGTATCATCTTCATGAAAATTTGGTACAACAATAGATGTATTACGCTCCGGACACGAAAATAGAACTGACCATACGAGTCGTTGACTTTCTGTTAAATGTACTCGTGGGGATACATCGGGGTCATCAGTATTTAAAATGTTTATGTCTCCGATTTTATCACCAACTAATTTATAGACAGACAAATGGTTTTTAGAAAAAAAAATCATTAAACATATTATAATATATAATTACTTTTTTGGCCGACTACATACAATTTTCTTTCATTTATTTCTTTCAGTATTCTTTGATCCTCAATATTCATAACTAAAGATTTTTCCATCTCAATTTTCTAATTATGCAACATTAAACGACATTACTATCTCATAATAAACAATTAATAATAAACAATTTATCATACCTTAGATTTCGGTAAATCTCCTAAATACATATGACAATAATATAATGATTTATCAAAATCTTTCATTTGAATGCAACTGTTGATACTTCTTAAGAATGCTGTTTCATCTCTTGGCATTAATATAAGAGCTACTTCAGCCGCTGCCAAACTCGATCTAGTTATAAATGTAGAAAATAAAACTCATGTTTATCTACGACTTGGGTTATAATTTTATCGATGTACCTATAGTTTTTTAAAAAATAATATACAGCAGACAAATTGTTCCACATGTTAGTACGTAACTGATTATTGTGAAAATCCAACATCAGGCCTTCTTGAAAGCATATTATCGATAGTTCATATTTACAGCTCTTAAAGTACAAATTGCCATCTTCGTAATACTTATCGGCTAATCTGTCAGTAATGTTTTTTTCTGGATGAAGCTGAAAATATTTTAATCCTTCTTCTAATATTCTGTTGACCTCATTAACAGTATAACAATTAATATTTTTTTCATTGGTTCTGGATGTCGAAGAGTCACTCAATTTCCTGAAATATAAACTGATAATCATGAATATTTCATAATAATTATCAAATATAAATTATTAGCTACATTATTTTTTTCTCTTTATACATTAATATAAATAAACAGTATACTCACGGTATATTATCCATTTTATTGTATTATAAATAATTTAGTATTGAATGAAACGCGTTTAAATGTAAACGAGATGAATTGCAAAAAAATATACTTAAAATCTTACACATACGAAATACTTTGCAGCTGTTCGAACGTCCCAATTAACCAGTGTAACCAACATAATGAATTTTAATAAAAAATTGAAAAATAATATTATCAATTTCAGGTACGTGAATATTACGGTATAAATATAAATGTAGTATACAGTTTAAATTCTTTACAGTTTATTTATTAATTATTAAAATTATAAATTATATAAATTCAATTTTTCATTAAAATTCATTATGTTGGTTACACTTGGTTGTAGGTACCTATTTATACCTATTTGTACCTACATTTAACTTAAATTGTATACTACATTAAATTTATACCATAAAGTTCATTTACCTGCTATCAATAATATTATTTTTCAATTTTTCATTAAAATTCATTATGTTGGTTATACTGTTTAATTGGGACGCTCGAACAGCTGCAATGCATTTCGTATGTGTGCGTTTTTGCTTGTATAATCATATCTGTAAGTATATCTTTTTTTGCAATTCATCTCGTTTACATTTAAACGCGTTTCATTCAATACTAAATTATTTATAATACAATAAAATGGATAATATACCGTGAGTATACTGTTTATTTATATTAATGTATAAAGAGAAAAAAATAATGTAGCTAATAATTTATATTTGATAATTATTATGAAATATTCATGATTATCAGTTTATATTTCAGGAAATTGAGTGACTCTTCGACATCCAGAACCAATGAAAAAAATATTAATTGTTATACTGTTAATGAGGTCAACAGAATATTAGAAGAAGGATTAAAATATTTTCAGCTTCATCCAGAAAAAAACATTACTGACAGATTAGCCGATAAGTATTACGAAGATGGCAATTTGTACTTTAAGAGCTGTAAATATGAACTATCGATAATATGCTTTCAAGAAGGCCTGATGTTGGATTTTCACAATAATCAGTTACGTACTAACATGTGGAACAATTTGTCTGCTGTATATTATTTTTTAAAAAACTATAGGTACATCGATAAAATTATAACCCAAGTCGTAGATAAACATGAGTTTTATTTTCTACATTTATAACTAGATCGAGTTTGGCAGCGGCTGAAGTAGCTCTTATATTAATGCCAAGAGATGAAACAGCATTCTTAAGAAGTATCAACAGTTGCATTCAAATGAAAGATTTTGATAAATCATTATATTATTGTCATATGTATTTAGGAGATTTACCGAAATCTAAGGTATGATAAATTGTTTATTATTAATTGTTTATTATGAGATAGTAATGTCGTTTAATGTTGCATAATTAGAAAATTGAGATGGAAAAATCTTTAGTTATGAATATTGAGGATCAAAGAATACTGAAAGAAATAAATGAAAGAAAATTGTATGTAGTCGGCCAAAAAAGTAATTATATATTATAATATGTTTAATGATTTTTTTTTCTAAAAACCATTTGTCTGTCTATAAATTAGTTGGTGATAAAATCGGAGACATAAACATTTTAAATACTGATGACCCCGATGTATCCCCACGAGTACATTTAACAGAAAGTCAACGACTCGTATGGTCAGTTCTATTTTCGTGTCCGGAGCGTAATACATCTATTGTTGTACCAAATTTTCATGAAGATGATACGTTAGTATATATTTATTTGCTTCCGAACACTTCTTAAGTGTATTTTTTTTTTTTCGATTTTTTAAATATTATTTTATAAATCCTTATTATTTTTTTAGGTTCTACAAGCTGTTAGTCGACATATTTTCTGAAAGAGCACCGTGGGATGATGAAGGTAAATACACAGCAGACACTATAAATATTTATAGTGAAATTCCAGTCAACACTACGACCAGAGTTCTAAAGAGAGTATATCCAGAGAACACATTGTCAAATGTATTGACATTGTTCAGGTAATCAAATTGTTACTTATGTTTTAAATTTTTCTTGTTCATGTTCTTCTCTCTTCCCTCAATAAGTAGCAATTTCTATAACTATATTCTTTAATGCTTTGTTGTCGCAAACAAATTAGCATTTGTTTCATACACAAAGGTCCATTCGTTGGATTTAAAATGTACATAATTTCAATTTTATTGTTTTTAGGTGTCCAATAAAGTATGGTATACCAACGTTTATAATTGTTCTTTCCGGAGGAAAATATGAAAATGAAAATTTAGAAGATTATGTCAAGTATGTTTTAAAAGTGTTTTATCAAAATTTTAATTGAATCTATGACTTAACATAGATTCAAAAAATACAATTATTTCGTAACTTAATTTAAAAAATACATTTGATATGTATTTATTCAGTATAATATCAAAACCGTTTTATAATACATATGTAAAATTAAATATTTTTTCAGGTAAGCATATTGCAGTGTGTATCTGAGCTAAGTTAGATTTGACGTGAAATCAATATTGACAAATTGAAAATAAACATTAAATATTAGTATGAATGTATAAGACACACCTAGAAATCATTTTTTTAGTTAATCAGAAAATTGTATTTTTTGTAAATTTATTTTCAGAAACATGTTTAAAATTTAAAGAGTAATAAATTTAACAATGAAAATATTAAATTTCTATTCACCCGGGTTATTATATTTATGAATTGGGTGGTATTGATGTTTAATCATTTTATTATTTAGGGGCTTACATTTGATACATTTAATGATATTGTGAGTTAAGAAATTTTTGTATTCTGTACTTATGTAACTGATGTTATCTTTATTATTAATGATATTATTCTTATTTTGTTTTTTAATATAAAAGTGTATTTTGTTAATGGTTTTTAAGATATAATCATTAATTATATCTATTTTTTTTTAATGTGTTTAATTCTTGAATGTAGTTATTATTGTGTAAAGAAATATTCTCTAGTCTATACAGTATTTATCTAAAATATGCTAATTTTTGTAAATAAGGATGATTAGATTCATTAGATATTATAGCATAAGTTTGTGTAGGTTTTATATTATTATTAAATCCAAATTTATTATTGATTATTTTAATATTATGGTCTAAAAATTATATTTGATTATCGGTTTGTAATTCAATTGTAAATTGTATGTTTTATTCATTTTGTTTAATTTATTTAACTTATTTTGTACCTGTCTATTTGTGCCTTTAATTATTAGTAAACTATTATCTACATACCTATTAGTATTGTTTAATATTGGGAATTTTAATCATGTGCTTGTAAGTATATTTCTGAGATAAGGACACTTAAATTAATATCCATACTTNCTTATGTAACTGATGTTATCTTTATTATTAATGATATTATTCTTATTTTGTTTTTTAATATAAAAGTGTATTTTGTTAATGGTTTTTAAGATATAACCATTAATTATAGCTATTTTTTTTTAATGTGTTTAATTCTTGAATGTAGTTATTATTGTGTAAAGAAATATTCTCTAGTCTATACAGTATTTATCTAAAATATGCTAATTTTTGTAAATAAGGATGATTAGATTCATTAGATATTATAGCATAAGTTTGTGTAGGTTTTATATTATTATTGAATTCAAATTTATTATTGATTATTTTAATATTATGGTCTAAAAATTATATTTGATTATATATTGTGAGTTAAGAAATTTTTGTATTCTGTAATTATGTAACTGATGTTATCTTTATTATTAATGATATTATTCTTATTTTGTTTTTTAATATAAAAGTGTATTTTGTTAATGGTTTTTAAGATATAACCATTAATTATAGCTATTTTTTTTTAATGTGTTTAATTCTTGAATGTAGTTATTATTGTGTAAAGAAATATTCTCTAGTCTATACAGTATTTATCTAAAATATGCTAATTTTTGTAAATAAGGATGATTAGATTCATTAGATATTATAGCATAAGTTTGTGTAGGTTTTATATTATTATTAAATGCAAATTTATTATTGATTATTTTAATATTATGGTCTAAAAATTATATTTGATTATCGGTTTGTAATTCAATTGTAAATTGTATGTTTTATTCATTTTGTTTAATTTATTTAACTTATTTTGTACCTGTCTATTTGTGCCTTTAATTATTAGTAAACTATTATCTACATACCTATTAGTATTGTTTAATATTGGGAATTTTAATCATGTGCTTGTAAGTATATTTCTGAGATAAGGACACTTAAATTAATATCCATACTTAAACCTTTAGTTTATGAATATATTGTATTATTATAAAATATAATTATATGGTTTCATTTATTACTTAGTGTTTATCTACATACTTTTCTTTATAATTAAGAAAACTATTCATATTTCTTTATTATATACAAATTCTTTTTTTATATAATATTGTTGAATATTGGGATTTTTAATCATGTGCTTGTAAGTATGTTTCTGAGATAAAGACGCTTAAAGGATTACTTATACTTTTAACTTTTAGTTTGTGAATATCGATCTAAGAAATAAGATATTGAAGACAGTGGAAATAATGTGCAAGCAATTTACCTCCTTATCATTTACGATGTGCTAGCTATACAAATTTAACTATCCTAAATAACTATCTATCTATAAAAAAACTGTTTATAAAATATAATAAATGTTTGTGTTCATTCACTTCTGTTGAGCGTTTGTTTTCATTTGCTAATTTTGTGGACTCACCCAGTAGATCTAATCTATCCCACAAAATGTTTGAAAAATTAATTTTTCTTAAAGGCAATCGAGATTTTGTTTTTTAAACATTAAATTTTTATTATTGACTATTTCATTAATGCATTATTAATTATTACATGAAGATTTATGAGTTTATGGTTTGAATATTGAATGATAAAATTCATAAATACTGATTTATTAGTTGTTAATGTATAATGTATATTTATTTATTGTGTGTATTGTTTATTATTTAATATTAATGACATAATAAGTATTTATGGGCGTTTAATAATTAATAAAATGCAATTGAAAATATACAATTTAAAATATGGAGTATTAATGTAACATGTATTGCGATAGTTTTTTTTTTGAGTATATTGCCCAACCCTGACTAGAGGATTAGAATTTTTATTGGCTCTGAACTAAAATTTAAAATATTTCAGTTCTAATATATTTCTTAGCTCCACTTCTAACTATAAATAGATATTTTATTCCCAATTTTTTTAAATAAACGGGATATAGAGACTGAATTTAAATAGATTAACTAATCAAAGAAATTTTAAATCATTTTAATCATATCAAATCATTTTATTTGGATAATATTTAATCAATTTTAGTATTTATGATTTATCTGTTATGTTTAATTATACTATTACTAATATTTGGTTTTAAAAGTATTAGTTTATTGTTTTTAGAGATAACTAGAACATTCTGAGTAAAAAACAAATTTGTTTCATACTTTCTTGATGTCATATACAAAATCTATTTTGCTACTTTTTTTTTTTTTACCTATTTACGACTTCAATAATTTGGTTAATTATTGTATTTATTTTAACATAATATGATATATTATATATTGTTGAGAAAGCAAGCGTATTTTACAAATTTTTCGTGGGAGGGGGTTTAAAATTTGTTTAATAAAGGGTGATTTTTTTTGTCATGAATTCGTAATTTTCCCGGAAGATTTTAAGTGAATTTGATTCAAATGTTTTAATATTTATACAATTGCTTAAGTTTTATTTTAAAATCATGTTTAATTTTTTTACCTTTACGCCATAATTTATACATCGTTGCCGTCGTACATAAAGTGATTAAGTGAAATGTAACATTGTCAGTAAACTATAATTGAATATCTAAAATGGTATGAAAATTCACAAATTAATTTGACTTTAACATTTTTTATCTTCAATAATCCGTGAAAAAGAAAAGAATTTTAACCTTAAATTATTCAATTTTAGATTTAATAATCACTCGGAAATAGTTTGAAAAATTAATTAAAACGAGAAAACTATTTGGTTAAATGGAAAACTGAATAATTTACTTAATTAAATCACTTAGTCAAGAAATGTATAAAAATATGCTATTATCTATAATTATTATTATTCTAACTTATCAATAAAATATTATTAAAAATTAGTAAAATCAATAAAAAAACGTAGATACAGCCTCTATTGTAGGTGAAAAGTTAGGAAAGTAGGATGTAGACAGGAATTTTATGTATAACTGTAAGCAACGATAAATCATTATTATTTAAAATCGATTCTGAGCGGAATTCAGTTGATAGTGTTGCTCTGTCCATTGGTGTGTTTTGGAGGGCTCCAATTCCGGGTCTTGACCTCTCCTTTTGAAGAAAATAATATGGTTAAAATATCATAAATGACTTGCTACGAAAGTATAGAAAAAGATTGATTATTATTTTTTTTATTCTTTGTAGAATCGATTAAGCATTATTTTAAAACCATTTTTAATTTTTTACCCATACTAAATTTATCTTAAAAAAGAATATACTTTTTTTTATCAAATTGGAACCCCCTCCCAACTTTTTCTATTTGATTATATTTTTCTAGAAATTTGCATATGCATAATACCTATATAAGATTTACCGTTTATGAGTTACGACTGTTTAATGTTTAGATCAGAGGAGTAGGTAAATGTTAACAATTATCATTTAAAAGTAGAAAATCTATGTATAAATGTAAATGGGAGGAGGGAACTTTCATATACAATATTATCTACATAGGTAATTCGAATTATTTTATGTTTGGTAGAAAAATTTATTGATTGCGGTTTGATGTATTGTGAAAACGATATAAAATGTGTAGGTACCTATTATTCAAAATTTTTTTTCATATTTAGGACTTCAATTATTTGGTTATTTTTAAAATTGTTTAAGTTACATCACACTGCATAATTATCAGATTTAATTTTGGATAATTTTCTAATATTAAGTGTTATTTATAGTCCTTATTTTAGTGACTTTATGCAACTTTTGTAATACTTTTATTTTCAAACCTTTGCTAATATTATTATCACTTACTAGCCAATTAATTATCATATTCTAGTACCTTTTAATATATAGTCAGTATTTAAATATATGTTCACCTACCATTTTTAATGGCGTTGTATCAGAAATTTTGAAAAATTAACTATTTAAAATACCTACCAAATAATATTAATTTAAAAGAAATACATTAAATATTAAAAACCGAAGAGTGATTTAGTACAAAATATAGACAGGTTGCTTTAGTGTTACTATGGAGACAAAAACTCTTAGAGAGTATATAGTATATTATCACTATACAAGTATGTATAAAAGAGTAGAAAAAGAGACTATTTAATTTTTATATAAATTATTTCTAAAATTTATATTTTAAAAATGTTTACATGCTTCATGCTATCACGTTCTGTGTAGATACAATATGTATAATGTACACAATTAAAAAGTAAAATCATGTTTACTTAATAAGAACTATACTTATACAGGTTGATCATTTTGATATAACTCAATTTTTGTGTTAAAATATTATTAATTTTATCAATTAATATAAATAATAAAAAATTTCAAAAAAAAAAAAAACATAAATTTGCACAATATTTGAGTCTAATTAATACAGTAAATATTAAATATACATCTAATTATGACATGTGTTTAATGATTCAATTATTTTATGGCTTAATTATTACAGTACTGATAAAGTACAGATATTACGCTTAATTTAATAAACATATTAACTTACTATCTATACTAACTTACGTTACTATATTATTTTAATAATATACTATAATCTATTAACGAAAACCAAAAACGTGAAAAATTATGGAATTTTTAACTTATTATGTTGTCGTTTAATTTAGGAATAGTTGCTAAAGATTTAATACCCAATAACTCATTTTTCTCAAATTTTCTATTTCATTTAAGTAAATTTCATTTTGTTTTGAATAACTATGAAATTGTTTAGGTATTATTTTTTCTAATATTATTATTTACCAAATCCTTATCCGTAATCCTTGAGTTAATGTACCTTAAATGTGTATTCAATTTTGATTTTCAAATAGTAAACCCTTTCTTTTTAAAAAAGATGCGAAAACAAGTTTCAAAAATGCTGATATACATAACACTAATATAATATATTAGTTTACATTAGTATATAATATATACTAATATATAAATATAACTAATATACACTATATTATAGTCCCACCAGAGAACATGCCGCGCGATAACGAAAATTGATCAGCTCTGCGTATACCCATCGTTGTCGGCAAGGAAATTTGAATAAATGGAGGGAATACGATGACCCGATTAGTCGATGAACGATGCGCAGACCCGGCACGCTCTCTCATTTAAATACTAGCATTTCTTACATCGTAAATAATAAGAATACCTATCTTTGAAGGATCTTAGATCGACGTTTCCATAAAATGTAGATGATCAAATTACGATAGTAGGTAGATCACATATTTACGTAAAATTTCAACGATAAGTCACATATTGGATCATAACCGGATCAAGATAAGAGATAATACTATATAATATAATGTTGCAAATACATTGAAAAAAAAAAACAAATAATGAAAACTTTGACGATGATAGTACAATCATCATAATGGTTTACCGCTGTTACAAGAATATTTTAACGTTCCTATACCTGTACGGTTATAATATCTATGCTATTTTAATAAATTATTGTATACCTAATGATGATTATCACTAAAAAAACACGGATAGTTAAAATAATACTACCGGACGAACAACAGTAAAAAAAACGTACATGTAAGTAAATAAATAAAAACAATTTTAATTCTAGGTATGACGGTTATATAAAAAAAAAAATGATAATTATATTATGGAGTCCTAGTTTTTAGCATGGAAGAAAGCGTAGCATATTCTCTGGGTTGTAAACTTGGCGATTTCTTCAAGGACAAATGCGAGTAAGACATGTTGGACGGCATCACGTTGTTGGCACTTCTTGATCTTTTAGTTTTCGATAAATTGAACGGCGAGTTTTCTCGGGATAATATGTGTTGTTTAGCGTACAAAGCTATGCCGATTTCCTTGTGTCCAGCTTCCATTGCGATACTTAGAGCTGTGCTTCCGTCCTGCATAAAAATAATAAAAACCAGTTTTTTTTAAAAAATTCTGTTTATATATCGTAAATAGAGTTCGTCGAGGAAAAACCAATAAGTAGATACAATATTAAAACGATAATAAAAACAACGTTAAAATATTAATACTTTATTAAAGACTAATATAATTATTCAAATATTTAATGTCCGTTAAGTTAGCACCGGCAAACTATGCTTGGACTGTATAACTAGTATAAATATTTTTCCAGGAATTTCCTATATTTTGATAGAGCACTCACGCTTTAGAAATCCACAAACAAACATGCCGGTAAAATCTTGACAGACACAAATATTTCACTTTTTCTATGATATAATTGTTATTTACAAACAATATTTTTTTCCTAATACTTGCAATTAAAAAAAAAAAAAACCCATGTACAATAGAACTCCGTTACTAAAGTCAAATTTTCTCTCAACTATTTTAGTAATTTTCTATGTTAAAACAATAAACAACCGAATATTACAATAATACATCACTGTATACACCATATAGACTCTAGTCTACTTTAGGCTAGAGCGTTTCTTATTTCAGTTTTTCTGGAGTTCAAAGTTCCTAAGTGAAAAAAATTTTTAAAAATCTTGTAATTTGTTTAAAAGCTAAGTAGTACACCACGGGAGTTGGATTTTTCCTTTTAAATTACGAGTACATGTGTTTTTACAATGTTTAAGCCACTAATTTGTCTCTATATTCTGTGTATCTTAAAAAGCCCTAAATTTCTAGAAAGTGGCTAACTACAGAACTTATATTAATAATTTTGATAGTAAAAAAACAAAAACATCAACACAATTAGTTTTTTCCCTTATGTGTCTTATTTGTTAGTCGATTCTTATCAGTTAAGAATTTTATCAAATATACTAGGCATAGGGAAAAATTAAAGTCTTAAAAATCATAAAAACATGAGTATTTTAATTGGGAAAAATGTACAACTCCCGTGGGACTTCATCTGGCATTAAAATAAAAATCTGTAGTTCAAAATTGTTGTATATTAATTTTTTTCTTAGGATCGTGATCTAAAAATTAAGAATGCCCTAATATAATATACTATATTAACAGTGTTGGATTAAAAATTATTATTTTATATTCGAGCTAGTTGAGAGTTGAATACTTCAAAAATCACATTCAGTATTTTTATCAAGTGTACGAGATTTTAGGCAGGTTATTCTGAAATTGCATATAATAATAAACATACTTCATTTGTACTTTATTCTGCTATTCATTTTTTTCATTACCCATGGGCTACATAAATATGAAAAAACAGTGAATAATAATTTTAAAATAAAATATAATATATAATAGATAATTTAGTTGTGAAAACAAATAGGTAATGCATATAAAGTTTCGAAAACGCAAAAAATTTAAAATTGCGACATGAAAATAAAATAAAATAATTTAAAAAGACGCTATACCCACATGTGCTTTCTCAGAATAACTAACAGGCAATGTAGCGAAACCAACCTTACGACACCAACTAAAGTACTAAACACAATTTTCTTTTAGAAAAGATCCTATGCTAGATACATCGGAGTAGGTTTTCTTATCAAAAAGTTGTTAACACACAGAAAAAAAAAACACATAGGTATCATAATAAAACCAATAAATCCTTTGCCATGATTCGAATCTAATGCAATTTAATTTTAATTATATAGCTAACTAATGATATAATATTTCAGCAGACCAGTTGAAACTATATACAAATTAAGAGATGCAACCACACATCCTGTACCCCCATCCTCCGAAATAATATTTCTAAAAATAAAATACCTACATTAATTATAATAATTATAATACACGTTGTTGATAATATTGTGCATACTATTTAACTATCAATCGATGATTTTTATAATGATATTAATAATTACTTAAAATATCTTCCATATTTTTGATTTGCTATTATGGGTATAGGTAGTGCTTATAAATTATTTTAAAACAGAATATCTATTTAATTGAACATCAGAATATTGATTTTTTAAAAAAAAAAAAATTTGTTTTCACGTTAAGCGTAGACAATGGTTTTATTATTTTCATATAATATGATGAATAAAAACTCTTAAATCATTTTGAATGTACTGTTTTTTCTGTACTATTTTCTCTCTTAATATTAGGTACACATTATACATAATATATACATTATCTGCTATGGATACGTCGCACTCGGGACAAGACAACAGTATATTGACGATTTCCTGAAGACCGTGTTCGGCAGCACACATTAAAGCAGTACTTCCGTCTTCGTCCTGCATGTTGAGGTCGGCGCCGCATTCCAAAAGCAATTTCACGATTTCGGTTTTACCGTGGGAAACTGCCAACATAAGCGTTGTCTGACCGTGCTGAAAATGAAACGAGTTCATTGAAGATAAACAAATAAAAATCAATAGGAATAAAACCGTACTACAAATGTACACGCAGAAGAGACTAAAGCGTTAATTTAATAACTTGCGCCGGGTATGATTATACTATTAGTTTTTTTTCAACTAATCAATATGAACCAATAACAACTTATTGTTGCTAATGGAAATATTTGAATTAAACAAATACTCGAAATGAAAACTTGAATGTGTGTACGAACTTTTTTGGCTTGCAAGTTAACATCACCAAGTGTGAATAGTCTTTTGATGATTTTCATTTCTTCGTTGTTTTTTATTTCGGTTAAAGAAACAAGCATGACGCTCGAATAACCCGCATCATTGGACAAGTTGACATTGCAAGCGCACGTGTCCAATATGGTTGACACGACGTCAAAATTTCCATGAGAAATCGCATAATGCAACACGGTATTGCCCTAAATGATAAATATTAATTATAATTTATACTACTATTTAATACTATAGACACAAAAACTGTTGAAAATGCAAAGCACGTAGTACGGGCCCTAAGCGCCGCATCGATCCTCAACTGTAATTCACCAACTACTATCCAAACTCACAACGTTATTTCGTTTGAGTCCACAAGAAAAATGTAAGAAGTCAAACCCTTGGTAGCTTAGTTGTTATAGAAACTACTCCGGTAGAGTATAGACAGATCATGTTCAAGTTAGGTCCTTCGGTATGTAAATATATAGTGGTTTTTCATCGCTTAAGTTTTAGGTTTACGCTTAGATCTCTAGTAACTAAAAAAATTTATTTGAAGTAGTATCGGATTTAGACCAACAAATAGGTTATATTTTAGAAAACTGTCAAATCCGCTTTAAAAATTTATAATTAACTCAGTTATATTTCAAGTTTGAGTAGGATTTAGATTTTTGAGACAATCGTCACATGCTAATACGTCAAAATAACAATTTTGAAAGTATATCTAATTAGGGGTGCGCGTTGATTATTCTTAAAATAATTTATAATAACCGATTAATTTGTTATCAATTAATTAATCTTTAATTATAACCACAAACGAAATTCTAAAAAACACATAATTAACTTTTTTTTTTATATAATTGACCAATTTTAGGAATAAAATTATTCATAAGTTATTTACAATAATGAAGTAAAATAATATGCAATAGCAATATACAATGTATCCATAATTTGATCAAAGCTTTAGGTATTTACATATTTTTTTTTTTTGTGGCTCATCTCTTTTTCAGTCATCTATGATTTTAATCATTTTTTGGATTTCAAGTTTTTTTGGCAAGTTATAATTTTTACTACCAGTGGCGTACGTTGACCTCAATTACTGATGGTGCAGAGAAATATTCTAATTATAGTCTGTCCCAGGAGAGAACGGTCCGCTCTCCGACTAAATCGAAGCGCTACTGCGCATCCCCACGCCGCAACACTATCCATTTATTCCCTCCCGGATCTATTGACAGGTTTTGTACACTGCGTTTCAAATAATGCACTGTTGTCTGTCGATAGTCCACTGTTTATCGCCAATATGACAAAAATGATAAATTGTAATTTTAACGAATAAAAAATGAAATGTTTAATATAATTATTTATTATTTATTAAATATATATCTCTGTATTATACCTACTGTATTATACCTACTTTATTATACCTACTGTATCATACCTACTGAATTATACCTACAGTGTTCAATAAGATATTAAATAAATAAATATGTATACAAAAAAAACAAAGTCTGGATTATTATAGAATGTGCTTGTATATACGATAGTTTACGATTTGAAAAATTATCAAGAGGTTATAAAACAGCAAAGGTAAATAAACGTGCGATGCGCGATGTCTGATAATAATAACAATTTAATTTCTACAAAATATCCTAGCGGTGTATAGTCATAAACCGACGACGGAAGAAATGACAATCGGCTATGTGGAGGGGGAAAACATGCGCAGAAGCGGACCTTTCTCTCCTGGGAGACTATAGTAATATTTAACTCGTCAATATTTCAACTTTGTAAATTTTCCCTATTGGCATATGTGCAATAAATGCAGATAATCTAATATTAATATTATTAGACGTTTTCATATTCTTTGTAAAAATATAAAATATTACATTCAAATTATGAAATTGGGAAAAAGGTAGGAAACTTTATCGTCCCAACTAGGCTTAAAAATTTAATGGGACGTCCATTAAAAATCAGTAACCTCTCACCTAAATTACGTTTGATCACATTAGCCTACTAAGCCTTGATTAATTATAACACCTAATATTTTATGTACTATTTATTTTTTAACATGTAAATATTAAGTTGAATGCCTAGGTAAGAAATTTAGAATAGATAAGCATAACAAAGGAAAAATAACTTTTATTTAAATAGTTATTCATATAGATAAACTCCTTAATAATTCAAGAACAATAATAAATTCACAAACTTTCATATATATAACTTAAAGATATAGAAATAAAAATAATTAGATAAGATAAAGATAAATTAGGTAGACTGATTTATCTTACTCGATTAATCGATAATCAATATTTTTTTTAAAATAATCGATTAATCGGTTATAATCATCAATAAAAACAAAAAAAATCACGCACCCTTACCTAATGCAAATGTACAATAATATTAAATTTATATTTTAAAACTTTCGATTTAGTGAATACCTTAAAAAATAAAATTGTTTAAAAAGAAAGTACATTTTAAATTTTTTTCAAATAGTCGACCAGAAAAACACAATAATTGGTCTAATACCCTTCCTTCCTACCATAAATCGATTATGATATGCTGAAAAAGTGCATATAATATGCAAAGTTACTTTCAAATATAGCAATCTATACTAATTTATGAGTTTATTAAATAAATATCTATAAAACTAAGGAAAAAATAAACACATATTTACCGCGGCGTCTGTCATATTGATGATGAATTCTAACAAAACCGGGGAGTAGGATTGAAACCAGTTGATGTAATTCTTAACAAGGTGGCCGCCACAACTGCTTGAACTCGACACCTAAACCAATTTTTATTTTTATTATTATATTACAATATATTTTATTTTATTACATATTTTATTTTATATTATAATATTATTCGAAAATTATTTTAAAAACCGCTTTACGGTGAGTTAAGTATAATAATATGTATGTACCTTAAACCATTCCTCGCGAACGATATCAATGGCTTGTTTCAATTGGGTCCTCGGCAATAGTGTGGCCGATGTTTTTTTCAATGAATCATTGAGTACCTTTAACGCACCCCTCATCTCTTTGCTTGGATTGTCCCTATAAAATTATTTAAAATACTATTATATTATTATACATAGCTTAGAATTTCTTCCAAACTTCCAACGATCGAAATGATAATTGATCATAATAGTCATGTAAAATTGTGTACACAGAAGTATTGTGAGCAAGATTTATACCGCTACACTTTTATTCAATTATCGGTATAAATATATTCAGAATTTGAATCGTTTATTTTTTCGTAAAAGGCAATAATAATAAAAAAAAAAATTAAAATAACAATGTTTAACAAAATACTGACATTGAAAAAAAAAATGCAGATATTATAGTGAAATTACTTCTATTTCCATACGCTATGTTTTAGAATAAAATTGTATGCTTTAAAGACTTAACTCAATTAAATTTAGTGGTTATTCAATTTACAACAATGATCAGCTAACTGTTCAGCCTGCAGGCGTTGTCATGATAATAATCTGTACCGGTATAAAACACATCAGTCATATATCACACCTACTTAATCACTGAAAGCCGCATTGCCAATTAACAATATTAAAAATACTATCTTAGTAAGTGTATACCAATATTCAAGCTATAATATAAATATATATATAAACAACTTCGAAAAATCCTAAATAACTATAATAAGGTTATTATTATAGGTGGCCCAAATTATTCGAAACATGTGAATTGAAAATGTAATTTGTTAAATATATATTAATAGAAGGAAACTACGTAAATATCTATACAATTTTTTTTCGATCATCTTTGATCCAAATAGCGCCACGTATTATTCAAATGATCCTAATAAAATTCCTGATATTTTAGAAATTTGATTACTAAAATTAACTTCTTAAATAATTAATCAAGTACCCCCGTTCGAATTAAAATAAGATAATTCCTCTGGTAAAATATCAATGAGAACTTTATTAACACATACAGAACAAACTCAAAAACTTATAAATTGAAAACTTGACTTAAATACATTTAAGAGCTATAGATAATATTGCGATTCTTAGATCTATTTACAATACATCAAAGGTCTATGTATATTGAATAAACTATATTTCACCTCTGGCAAACAATCTCTAAAGTTGAAATATTATGCACAACAATCCCAAAGTGCATTAATTATACTTCGAAAATCATTCAATCAATCCGAAAATGAATAAAAACCAAATATTGTATAAGGAAGCAGTATCGACTTTACATAAGGCCTGAAGATTGCCAGAACTTAAATTTTCTTACTAAAAAAGTCAAAAATCTAGTTGAACTTAAAATAGATTCTTATCAAAATTACTTATCTATGATACATCCTTTAGATTCCAATCTATGGTTAGTGACTAAAAGATTAATTAAACCCAATACTTATGGTATGCCTCCCTTGAATTTAAGAAACAACTGTATTATAACTGTATATAGCAATATTCTATTAACGAAAAATACAACTTGTTCATTACCACCTTAGAAAGCACATTCACACTTAACGGCTTAAATTATAACGCAACTAACAACTTGATATCTCAGAAATTAAGTGGACCGGATTTCCTACCCCAAAATATACTTATCCTCACACTAATCTAATAGAACAATCATAAACTATAAAAATACTTTCTAATTGCAAATTCTCGGATACAACTTAACTACTAATAGAATATTAAAGAAACTACCAAAAAAAAAAAAAACAAATTTTTTTTATGACAGTTCTTTTTAATGTTTTATTGAATTTGAGTTACTTTCCTAAGGATAAGAAGAAAATCACAATAAAAATGATTAAAAAACCTGACAAAGATAGTACTAATCCAAATAATTGCAGACCCTTTTTATCGTCTTTTAAAAAATATTTAAAAAAATCATTCCCTCTAAACTAATTACCCATTTAAACGAAATAGACGTTATTCCTTACCTACAACTTCTTCGATACACAGAGCATATAAGCAATGGGTTCAAAAAGAAGAATAAACCAATGTAGCTTTTCTGGGCATAGCTCAAATACTTGATCGGGTCGGGTATCAACGTCTACATAATAAATTCAAATATCTTAACTCAACTACAGTAATCTTTACATCATTATATCTTTTCTCTGCTTTCACTGTTCCCTCATTAAATAAATACTACTAACTCAAATATTAAATACATTATGTATGTGTACTACAAGGTTCTAAAATTTCCCCACTAGTATACAATTTATAAAATTCTAACTTTCCTAGAACTACAAAAAATTAGGTGTTTTTTTTTTTCAGATGATAGTGCTATTTTTTTAAGTTCTGATAAAGTTTAAAATGTAATTAAAAATATTCAAACACCTCGACAAAATCCAGCATGGGCGCAAAAGATGGAAAATTGTCCTTAATCCATCGAAAAGCACGGCAGTTCGTATCAAATTACGTAGACCCAAAAAAATCATACCATTTTAAAGTTGAACGACGACAATTACGACAAATTATAGTACAATTTTAAATTTTTTATTCTTAGTCCTCTTCCCCTACAAAAAATGTTCATATATAAACTGTAGTGTTGAGACAAGCGAATTATTTAAAAAAAAACACTTGATGAATCCTCGTGAGACACCTTGTATATATAAAACAAATTTTTTATTTATATTATTAATTATAATTTATACCTATAAACTATTTTTCATAGTTGCCAAGGAGAAAAATTATAAAAAAAAAAAAAAAATTATAACTGTTGTTTTTGAGGGGGGGAACGAGAAAACCCCTCGCAATATTTTGTGGTGTATTGCAATTTTTAAACCGCCCGGGCACGCCCCCTTTTTGATTGAGCTCTAGATACACCACTGAATATGACATATATAATATATATATATATTATATTGTTGACAAAGTAATACTATCAACTGAACTCCGTTCAGAATCATTTTTTCGTTAGAAATGATTTATCATTGCTTACAGATATACATTAAACCTCTACTACCTTCTCAACTTCTCACCTACAACAGTGCACCCACAGGCAAAGTTACCTAGCTTTTGCTTATTTATGTGCATTTAATTTCATTTTTTTTAAAGTGTTTTTCTTGTTTTTTAGAATATTTTTATCCGCACTCTATTAATCACAGTCCATAGACCAGAAATCTATTTCAACTTCTACCCTCCTCTAGTAATACATACGACTGAAACGTACTTTGCTATTTATATAGCATTACAAATTATTTCGTCTTCAAACCTTAAAAGCGACAGCGTCTTTGTAACAACTCTTTGAGTGCCCTCACATTAATCTTAAATCCTTATCCAAAAAATGAGCTTATTCAACACATTCAGAAATTGATATCTGAAAGAAATGCATGTTTTATGTGGGTCCTCTCATAAATTGGGAGACCCGGAAATCTGAAAGCATACACAACAGCCTATGAAGCCACCATATCTCCATTCTCCACAAAAATAAATATATGAACCTCATTCGGAACTTTGAGTACTCATAAATAAAATAATGGAAGAATGGCAGAAATTTTGACTAAACCTACCTCTCCAAAAAACTGAGAAATGTAAAATTGTACATAAACAATTAAAAATATCCTCCTGATATTAAAAGAAGAAAGAAAATAACCATTATTCGAACTAAAATAGGCCACTCTCACTCACTGGCAGATTTTGAACTTTTATCCGGGATGGAGGGAGTCTTTTGATATTAACTTACAATATGTATTTATTTATTAATTTATTTTAATTAACTTACATACCTATTGTTTGTTTACTTATGTGTATGAATGTATCCATGTTTTAATCAACAACAAATATTAAGTTTAATTTAAAATTAATAACACAGAATAGTATAAATTTAGTATAAATAAATAAATTTAGAGTGTGGAGGGGGGGTTCTAGACCCCTAGACCTCCCAGTAAATCCGCAACTGTTCTCACCTAATATATGCTTATCTCATCAGAAAGGAACAATACCAGTATACGATACTTATAATAAAATTTTAACACCAGAGTGTATAGTCATTAGTCATCAACTGCCACAGATATACCGAAGACTCCCAGATATTCAATAACCCTCGCACATTTCACTAAGAAAAGCATTCAAAGAAGAAAACACAATTTGTACATTTTTTTACAATTCAAACCGAAGCTATAAATTGTAAATAACATGTCAACATTTATACTAAGATATAATATATATTTTGTATTATTAATCTCTCTATCTTTTTTTTTTATAAATATAAGTTAAAATAGGTTAAAAATCTTTGTAGTTGAAGCCTTTAACTAAATATATATATGTATAAAAAATAAGTAACAACAAACACACTACAAAGTCATTTTTGTTTAAAGAAAATTTTACGTATTTAAAATAAATTATTTGTGTTAATCATTTTTAAAGTGTTAGAAAATAAGTCATTGGAAGAGTAACTTTCTAAACTCATCTACCATTTTGAAAGTTTTAATAATTTTTAAATTTTTAAATGCTTTTTTCGGAGTTTTTTGACGTTTTTAAACGGTCTTTTACGAATTTTAAGTGCTATTAGCCTCGAATCCTGTTCATAAATATATAATAACAGTATTACTTGTATACGTCATCTCGAATAGGTTTGAAGTTTATATTATCAATTTCTGGATGACCCTTTTGATGTTCTTGTGTCGATGGTTCATTAGTTCTGTAGAAAACAAATAATTCAAATGACAATATTAAAATATTATGTTTTAAGTACATGTATATTTTTAAGATAAATATTATATACAAGTACATATATATATATTATAACTTAAATGGGTAATTTCGGTATTTAATTAGTTTTCTTCTTCAATTAATTTTATACCGATTGTTTAAAAAAAAAAAAAAAATACAAAATATTGTAAATATCGAATGGAGTAATCTCAATATTAGAGACGGCCGTTTTTACAACGAAAATGACTTAGGAGGAATAGGGATAACTCATTGTTAACAAAATATTTGCATACTAATTTTTTTTTTTATAAAATTGTTACAAAACAAATTTTAACGGATAGCATTCAAATACGATTTTCCATTTACAAGTTCCAAATGATGGTAAAAAGGTTGGTAAAAACATACATATTAAAAAGTTTATTAAAAAGACATGAAAATATTGACAAAAGAAATATTTCAATTCCGTTTGTAGGAAGCTTTCTTCTTTTCAGAAAAAAAAAAAAAAAAAACATAATCAGTCTACGAGACATGAGAGTTGCTTCCGTATGTTATGTTTTTGAACCGAAAACCCTTTATAGTAAAAATATCAAGTTTTATAGTAGCTAATTCAATTTCATACAGGGCTAGATTTAGCACTAGACTACCTAGGCTATGGCCCATGAATGCTCTGATTTCAGAGAGCGTCGTGGCTGGCAAAACCTTTTTTTTTTTTTCTATCATTCCTATCTGCGAATATAATTTACCATGTACAAGAAAAACAAAATTCTATTTAGACGGTAGAAATATTGTTGAACATAAATACTGATATTAAATACTAATGTTTATTTTTGTAAAATATAATTGTTCGCTGTAAAATTATAAAAAATACCCCGGAATCAGTGGCGTGTTCGGAATTTTGTCAAGGAAGGTGATAGTGAATTTTAAAATATTTTGATACCTAGGCTAAAACGAAAAAATATCTAATTTTAAATTTATATAATACTTTTTGTAAGTATTCAACCGTCCTAACATTTCTATATTGAAATATAATCATTGTCACTTCTAAACAAATTTCAAAGGGGAAAATATATCTCCCTGATCTCCCCCCATAAATATGATACTGCTTGAAATTAACTGAATATCATTCTGACATTCCATAAGTAGGCAATACAATTTGAAATTATATTACGGATGATATTTGATATAGGATATGTTGATTACTTTAGAATTTTTTTGCCCCTTGATCCTACAAAATACTATTTTAATTAAAAATTAATTTCATGTTCCCTTAATTCAGAATATCATACTAATTTTATTTGACATTTTTAATTATAAATAAATAAATAAATTATAATTTATTTTTCATATTATAGGACATTTTTCGTAGTATTTGTACAATGTGGGGCATTTTTCTCAAATTTTGGATTTTAAAGAAAATGTTTACATTCTAAAAATTAAATTAAATTATTATTTGGGGGTGGGATTGTTGTGATTAAATTTATCGCGTACCGATAAGGGTTTACCGTTCTTATAATTTATCATACAAGCTTATCGGACCTAACGCTTAATTTTTGTTTTTATTCAGGAATTATTTTTTTTTATATTAAATTAAGCTTAAAATTTAAATGTTTACTAGCTATTGTCTATTAGTTTTACAACAATTAGTATTTTAAATTAATCTTATACCTATTACTATTCCCATATTATTTGAACTAATAATTATATGTACTTTTTTTAAATAAAATGTTTTGATTAATTAAGTAGATATTTAGATAGATTCAATTATATTTGCCAATTTAGTTAGACTAATTAAGTAATTAGATTTGTTTGGTCATTTTTAAGTGCATTTTTTGGAGTTTTAGATCTTTTTTTTTAGGTCAATAGGTGTGTTTTTAAATCATCAACATCCTTTTACTATATACGATAATATTATTATGTATTCACAATATTTTCAATATGCTCCCTATTATGAGAGAGTATCAGAATACTCCCACAGAACCTCTACCTGTAGTAAGAGTTGAAAAATGTGGTTGCGTCAGGTTGACAGACGATATAAAATTCTGTCAAACAGTACGAGGAGATCTAAATAAGAATTATAATTAATTATTTATTAAATAAAGAATTATATATTTTCTTTTTTTTGAGACGAGGAAACCGATCTTTTAGTAATATACCTTTCAAACTTCCCGCTTGTTCTTGTATAGTTTCACTCACAAAAATAATACAGACATACTTCAAACGGTGTGTCTACAACAGTGGGCTACTGCTTTAGGTAGAAAGTCGAGAAGTTAGGATATAGAAAGGAATTTAATTTATATCTGTAAGCAACGAGTAATCATTGATAACAAAAGACTATTCTGAACGTAGATCGGTAATATATGTTTTAAAAGGTCCGTAATATTTACGATTTTAAAATAATACACTTCGTAAATTTTCCCGGTTTTTCCCATTAACTATGAACTTTCTAAAGTACAACCTCGTCAGATTTCCTTTCATAAAAAGTGCTACACTTGAAAATTGAAGCATAATTGCTGGTAGAAAAATTGTTCATCGAAAAAAAATTGAAAAAAATAAACAACATTGAAAACCAATACATTTCTCGCCCCGCTCAGAATCTAATATAAGGGAGACAAAAAAAATGATATTGTAACATTTAAAAACCTGCTAGTTTTTGAAATTGTCAAAAAAAAAAATAATAATAACATTAATTAAAAAACAATAAAATTCAAAATAAGTGAATATTTTTTAAATTACTCAATGGGTATATCTAAGTGAGATACTATGTATGCAAATAATAAAAAACAATATTATGATGTCTCAATTTTATATTTAATTAATGTCGTTTTTTTCTATTTGTTTATTTTTATTTTAACCTGAAAAGATTATTTTTCTATAGGGAATAGATTTATATTACAATTTATTAAATTATAATCAGATGTTAATTTTTAGAGAATTCACAGCCAATAATTTATTGTAAATAATATTAATAATAATTTATACCTCTGCCACTCAAAAATTAATATTTCATTATTTTCTCATTAATTAGGTAATTAATTGCCGCCCCAATATTTTATTAGTATAGTAGTCATTTTAAAATTGTATTATTATTATAACTTATATTTTTTTTTTTTAAACACCGACTCGTTGTATAAATATTTGTTTAATTTTTACACGTCAGTAGCCACTTCGGCATCTTTATACCCAACTACACTGTAATATTTTATCGTTAACCCGAAGAGATATTACGTGTATATTATTATTATCATGTTGTTTTCAATATTCAGCTCATTATTTAACGTTGTAGTTGTTTTCTAAACAATAATTTATTAATTATTATTTGTGACGCACATTCCGCGTTTCATAGAAAAAAAAACTAAATACATATTATCAAGTGAGTATATTATGCTGTGTATACATATTTTATTTTTTTTTTTATTTCGAAAATCGAAAATAATGAATATAAAGTATAATCATCGCAATTGTAGTGAGACGGAAAATGTGTGAAAAAAAAAAATAAAATAAAATATTATATAGGATGAGCGAGACACTCATCATTATGTCGGAAAGTATTACGGAGTTTTGGTATTTTGTAAAATTTTTGAATCGAGTGGCTTTGAAATATTATACTTCTATTATTTTTTGTCACTCGTAATATTTTGGTTGTGAAACCATCACAACCCAGTTTCGATTTTCAAACAGTGACCTATATTAAAAATTCCATAAATAGTTTAAATACATTTTGAAATCATAATATTTTACATAGGAGAAAGATTTCATTATCAGATACAATAACGAAACATATTATTTTTACTGTGAAACTAATATACAATTTCCTTAGAACAGTATTTTATCGTAATAATTTATATTATGGTAATCTATTCGACTATCATCAGTAGCTGACTGGAGGAACCAGTCACCAGAAACGATTGTTTTGATAGTTTAAGAAATAAGTAGCTCTAAATTGTTACATTTCTTATTATATTTTTAACCCTTATTTTTGTAGGTAAATTGACTACCTACTTTTGATTTCAAATAGCAATACCTATGTAAACAATTTTATAAATTAGTATGATTATGCTACTGAATAATTTGTGGGGTATCGTGTGATTCGCAGCATGGTGCGTATAGCGTTTAAATACTGCTCCATTACTCTCTTAAAAGGACCTTTCTTGTGGAAAGTATCTATAAAGTTTTAACCTGAACAAAAGCTCTGGTAGAAAATTTATTTAGAGATACAAAAAAAAAATCGAGAAAATTATTAGAAAAATCGAAAAATTACCTCCTTAAAGTACCTTTCCAATCAGATGTACTTTCAGAAAAAGTATTATCATTGTAAATCAGAGCAAAATTGCTGGTAGAAAAATTGTACATAGAAAAAATGCCCGAAATAATTTTTACTAATCCCTACATTTCATACATTTTCCGTTTTCCCGATATTTTATCCTGGTTACTATTTAGACAACATTCTCTTTCAGAAATGGTGCCGCGCGTATATATCTGAGCAAGATTTATGGTCGAATTTGTGTACACAGGATAAAGAAAAAAACATCTTAGTAAAACCAATACATTCTTCGCTACACCACTCGAAATCTAAAATAAATTAAACGAATTATTCTATAATTATTACGACTTTATAACGCACCACTATAAACGTCACACTGGAATAATTCACAAAACAATTCTACGATAATTCACCGCCGACAAACTATAATGATTATAATTGATAATACGTTTCTACACCGATGACAGCAGGATAATATTGTAGATCAAAATATTGTCTGCATGGACTGACTGACATGTCTACAACAATATAGATTACTTGTATACAATATACATAATTTCAGTGTAACACTGTTAACTAGAGCTTTATTATTACATAGGTATCATATTATATTATTGTATTATTAAATGTTATTGAAATGAGATTTAAAAATGAACAATGTCTCTAATTAAAAAAAATAATTTAATTATTATTAATATTCACTTTTCAAACTGGTTTTTTAATTTTTTATGTATTTGGATATTTTATCTTATATATTGATTATTTTTTCCGATATTTTAACCTTTGATATTTTAGTACTGGATATTTTATCCCAATTCCCAATACCTAACAGTATATAAAGAATATTCAAAAATATGTAAAAATATTATACGGTATCTTAATACGACCTGTATACTGTATAGTATATCATTTATCATAAAGTCATTGGCAAAAAGCCATGCGACTAAAACGAAATGACATCTTTACTACTATACGTATAATAATAAGTAAATAATATACTTTAATAATAGAAGGTAAAACAGATGGGGAGAAAAAACTGAACATACTCAGTTACGCGGTTTACTCACCAAAAATACTACTGGAAATGGAATATTGTTTTATAAATATAATTTTCCCGTTCGGTAAAATATCTTTTAGATTTTTAGCGTAACGACAAATGACGTAGTGATTTTGCAATTTTGTTTATTTTTTGTTCAGTAAACAAATTTTCTATCAGAAATCTCACTTCGATGTATCAAATTTAGCGCCTATTCTAAAAGGAAATTGTATCCACTTGGTACTAGTCTTGAATTTGTATAATAATTGGGAAAAATCGGGAAAAAACGTAGTAAATTGAGAAAATTTACGAAAATAATGCTTTAATTATTTTCAATTTAATTTTTTTCTTGTAATTTAGTTAAAAACATTTGTATAGACTTTTGTATAAAAATTTGGATAGAAAACTTATATTTGCCTTTTCTAGACATGGTAAAATTGTCTAAACATTTAAGCCATTTTTGAATTATCTATCGACATTTTATTTTGCTAGTATTTTTACGTAATATTAATTTGGTAAGACCTCCATAAAATGGATAAAAAGGTGGATAATAAAGTGGATAAAATTGTTATACTAAACAGAAATGGTTGAAAATTTAACAGAAGGTTCATTACAAGTCGTACTTAGTGACCAAAACAAAAACAAAATTGAGTTTAATGTAGTATTTTTTTTTTTTTTTTAGAACAATTTTGATATTAAATTTTAACGTAATTCGTAAATATTACGGCTTTAATATTACCAACCTAAACTGACCTAATATCAAATGTATAATCTAACTTTGGTTTAAATCGTTTTCGGTTTGCAATGGTTTGCACAAATATAAATAAAATTCCCCAGTATATCCTACCTTCCCCAACTTCTCATACGTGACGTAAATTCGGCGTATAAATATTTTGTATTTGTTTTTTTTTCTATTAACTTATTCGCGATATTGGTGTATTTTCGTTATTTTTTCAAAAGTGTAGTTAATTGACGTACTATCAATTACTATATTGAGCCAAAAGACGATTATTTTGAAGTCCCGTGTACAAACTGACCAAAATATAAAATAAAAAAACCAATAAACAAATTGTTAAATTACTTTCTTTTTTTTGGTCACCAAGAAATTTTGATGAACCTCGTGTTAATTTATTTAACTCTTTGTTGTGCAAAAAAATTATAATTACACAAAACAAAAAAAAAAATTAAGAAACTTCAAATGAGTATAATAAATGTAGTCCAATGTATATAGTTCATGTATTCAATGTATAGGTTTTTATATTAATTCTACGAATAGCAAAGATTTATTGTTGCGTATCGATATATAAAATCAAATCAATCTATATTATATCTTAAATTCCCAAGGCCAGTTTCCTCCCTAAATTCCTACCTATACAACAGTGGTACGCCCATAAGTAATTTCTGCTCTGGATTTTTCGATAGATTTGTTTTGCTATGTACTAATTTAACGGGAATCTGTACTCCCACACACTTTGACGGCGACGGTTTTTTTTAAAAATATTAATGCTACGGTTAGAAACTTCGTTTCCACCGACTATGATGCGTGTCCGATAGCAATCGTGGTTATAACTGTTACAAATCATTGTAATAATATCTATAATATTATACTAACGTAATCTATGTCGATGTATCGACATTTTTTTTATTCGGGTTTAAGTCGAATAATTTGTCCCCGGGGACAAGGGCGAGCTGGGATTCGGAAAGGCGTGGTCTGCGACTATGTGATATATTGCATTATATTACACTGGCCATTATAGGCAAGAACCGATATAGAAACCTATATAGAGAACATATCTTTTGTAGGTAAATTTATCTATTATAATGCTATTGCATTTTATTTCGTGTTAAAACCATAAACGACCGAAAAAAGTCCGATGAAAATATCATTATTATTATTATGAATAATTTTACGTTACGTCTATCTACACGACTACACTGCGGCTACGCGATCAAGTCTTTTAGACTGAAACAATAATATCACAATATTTTTGGGCAGTGCTCGAATTAGAAAAATATGAGAGAAGGGACTCAAATACTTTAAAAAAATTAGCGTCCTTTACGATGATAAAACTCAACCTGATGAGTGAGGGGCTTTGACCCCTCACCCTTCGACCAATCTTGTTCATCTAATTTTTATAATATGATATATCAATAATATGTATCAACAGTTTCAATGAATATTTTTTTTTTAAAACTTGTCATTTTTTTATCATTTCTCATTTCATGTTGTTTATCATTTAATTTTGAGTTAATTTGAATATTATTTAATCTATTTTGTGTTTAAACCAAATTCTCTAATTTTTAATATTATAATACCAGAAAAACAAATTGTAAAATGTAATTTTTAACTAAGAATTTATAGATTCAATTAGTAAAAACTAGGATTATTTGCTTTAATATTTTTAATTCTTCTAAAAAGCAATAATACTGTATAAGAATGGTAGGTATGAATTAAGTAAATAATCAAGTAGGTGGATATAAAGTAGATATTAATATGTGCGATATTCCAATATTATATTAAAAATTACACAATTTATTCAAACACAAAATAGATTAAATTAGATTCAAAATTAAAATTCAAAAATAAATAATAACAACTCATGAAACGGGAAAAATCATTTTTTAACTGATATTTCTAAATTGATAACACTCACTAACAGTGAAATGGCCGCCATGTATTTTTTTATATGAAGAGTAACTAACCCTTCTGATTTAATAAACTCTTTGTTGCTATAGCACACTCAAAGTGATGTTACTGCATGTTGAAATGTAAAAGTTTTAAAATAATCCTTAAAACAGGTTTTTTTTATCTTATTCAATCAAAATCAAAATAACACGTTCTGTTCCCCTGTTCTAATGAAAATAATTTGAAGTAGTGCTCTCAAAATATGAGAAAATTGAAGAGGAGCTCCGTTCCACTGCATCCCCCTCCAATTCGAGCACTGTTTTCAGGCCATATTCGTACGTTGAGTTATGCACTGCTACTGGAGTTACTATAACCAGTAAGTAACGCGTTATTGATAACTAATAATAAGTTGCATTTTTTTCGAGTTGAGTCAGTAACTCAGTTTCTACAAATCGTAATAAGTATAAGAATATCTATTTGGATGTGCGATTAAAGTGCGAAAATGTGTGCGTGTGAAATATTCAATTCTCCAGGACTACAGATGACTAATCGGCGGCTGTGGTAATATTCCTCAGTAACTCGTTATTTAAGGACGATGAACCTACAATTGTTTATTTCTCGTCATCTTTCAATTTTTGTAAAACAGTATTATAACGCTATCATAATCAATATATTAATCACTTTATCAAAATCTACGATGGTTTTGTGAAACGATGACGATGAAGGCCGTGCTTTCATGATACCACACAAGACTAAGTTGATTTCGATGATTTATGACTAAACCTGGTACGCAGATAAAAGTTACCAATATACTGTGGTGGATTCAGTGAAAAGAGGCGAGCAAAGGGAGCAATTGCTACGGGCGCTACATTTCAAAAGGGCGTCACAAGACACGATGATCTTTAATTTTTTTATTTTTTGTGAACGAACGCTAAAACACAGTGCCCCGAGGTGTAGAAAGTGTAAATACGGCTTTGCCACAAACAGCGTAATATAATACAAGTTTTCCTTATGTTGTTATAAAAATGTGTACATTTAATGTATACTGGGTTTCACTGTTATAAATAGTTTACTCCAACCCTTCTCCAAAATTAATACCGGGATCTGCGATTACCAAATGGCAAATACTAATTGATTACGGATTACGCAAATTTTGTTTGTTTTGTAAATTACCGATGAAAAATTACGTAAATTTACCGTAAATTCGGTAAATTTAGTTAATTTTAATATTTTTAATTTTTACTCATAAGAAAACCCCCAATAGTACTTATCTAGTCTCTTCCGCCTTATCATAAACGTATAACTTTGAGAATGTTTATTTATACTTTTTTGAATAGGGTTATTATGTGGACAATAGTGTAATTAGTAATTGGTAATTGCATACTTATATAATTTATTGTACTTATATGTTTTACTTTTTCTTTTATCGGAACATAAATATTACATAAAAATTTGTTAAAAATTATAATTAAATCTTTTAATAATTCGTAATATTGTAGTACTATTAATTATTATGTACATGATGTAAGATTTTCAACCTCAGGTTATTATTTCTATTGAACATACGTCATATCACCGGGATAGGTATCTACTAATAGCCTGCTGCAAACCTACACAGCAGGTATTAAGTTGCTATTATTTTCTTTAAAATACTTTTGTAAATATTCGTCTTATACTTTTATATCAACCATTCCATTTTATTGATATTTTATGAATATTAGCCTCGTAAAGACGTTTAATTTGAGATGTCGCTTGCTAATTATTTTGGTAAAAATAAAAATTGGTAAATTTATCTGGTAAAAATTTACCGAGCTTACATCTCTACGTCCACGTAATCGGTCTGTATACTTAATCTATGTATTTACTTTGACAATTTGAATGACAATAATCTAGAGACACGTTTACTGAAGTATAATTTCATAAAATATGATCAATTTTGATTCAAAAACAGATAAAAGTGCTTAAAAAGTCCAAAAATATCACTAAAATCTAAAAAACCGCAAAATTTGAAATTTACAATTTTTAATTTGAGTTCTCTGTATCATGAAACATATTTAACTTACTCTACATATTTAGCTATTTCTTAAGCATCTCATAAAAAAATATGCAAATACTATAAAATCCCAACCCTGCTGATTAGTAATAATTCAAACCGCAGACCAGTTTCGTGCAGCTTCCTGTGAATACGGACTTACTGAACGTTAAGGAATCCAATGCCGGTCCGTTAGTAATTTTTAAGTGAGTCATAAAGATTTGTTAAAGGCGTTTGTCATGCATTATGACCTTCGTATGAATTATGGATGTACAAATATTTTGTAAGCAACAATTTTATTAAAACGTATTCTGTTTTCAATATGATTGAATTTAAGTGTGTAATAAAAATATTTACATCCACACAGTAAAGTTTTTATTATATTTTTTTTAATTTTCGGTCGACAGTCATATTCTTCCCGTCCTCGAGTTTTCTATTGATACCGAATAATTGTGCGGAAAAACAAGACATTTTATTTCGGAGTTCTTTATTATATTCTTACAAGTCGTCGTCTATCACTATGAACTACATTTATTTATTTTTTCTTACGCGCATAATGTGTTTAAGGTTCTGAGCGTAGTGAGGAATGCATTGATTTTCTTAAGATGACGTGTGCTTTTTTTCAGATTCAGAACATAGAGGAGCGTAACTTTTCGAATAGAAAACTTCCTTCGATGTATCAGATGTAGCACATTTTCTAAAAGAAAATTGTATCCAGTCGGTGCATTGGGAGGTATTTATTTGGTTTTTTCAATGAAAACTTCTTGGAAAATCAAAAAAATGAAAACTAATAAATTTACGGCGATATGAATTAATTAGTATTATATTATATTTGATAAGTATTCAATTTTTAATTTTGTTTGTGGATGAGTGTTTTTTTTTTTTTTAAAGTTCAGTATATTATTTTTTAATAATTGACCAAAATTGAAAAATATGTAGAAAGAACGAGAAAATTTACGAAAATAAGTGTTTTTATTATTTTCAATTTTGTTTTTCTTGTTATAATTCAATTAAAAACATTATTAGAGACTCGATATTTAAATTATTTATAGGTAATCAATGTTCTTGAGTTTTTTTTTTTTTTGGTATGCACTATGTGCACTATGTGCTATGATGTACTATCATTGGTCAATTGTGTATTCAATTCTACTGGTACCACTAGTTTTAACAGAAGTGGTACCGTTATCAAGTTATTGATGTATGCGTTTTATTACAAGTCGTGATACCTAATTAAATTTAGTTCGCGAAAAAGGGCTCAAATCAATATTGTTCTTAGTGCAGACGTTTTTCAACTTGAGCCGTGTTGCACAAACACCGTTCTATTGTACTATTGTATTATCGGTGAAAATGTTAACATCATCATAAATGCGATGTTGCCAAGTATAAACAAATAAACCGTTTCGATAATTTTAAAATTAATCAATTCCTTTGAAACTAATCATAACGAAAAACAGAACACGCACATACACACAAATAATCGTATCGCGAAAAAAAATCGTGACACGGATTCGGATGCGGCGATTTAAAATCTGTACCACAATACCACGTCGTATTGTCGTCGCATTAGGAATCCGGCCCGAGTTAAAAAAGTAAAAAAAAAAAAGAAGTAGTGGTTGTGTATAGTATTAGCCTATAGCGATTTATTATATATATTTTTTTTTATTTGTATGTATAATATATACGATATTCCTCGGACACGCGGACGATCGCTACTGTCAACGACCGCGTTCCGATACACGTATATACGCGAAACGGTGGTGAAAACTGACCTAACCTAACCGCGAATTGAGTAAAACGGCCGGCGGTTACCGGTTCGCAGCGGAGGGCTGAACGGGGAACAAACAAATTTCCTTACTTGACGTCGTCGAAACTGCAGTCGTCATCGGCAACGTGCGGTGGCAGTGACGGCAACGACGGTGACGGTTGATCGTGACAAACGATCTCGGCCGCGGTCTTGGTGTACGTGTCCTGTCTGTTCAACACTTTACGGTTGAACTCGGGCGTGACGGGCTGCTTGAGTCTGGGTATCTTGGACGTGACCGCGACCGGTGGCGGGTCTTTTGCCACCGCTACTGTCGCCATGGTGTAATGATGGAACGAATTGCTCCGCCGTCCGATGGCGGCCACCAGTCGGCCACCGCTGTCCCACTGCGGTTTTTCGCTGGCCGTATCTGTCTGAACGGTGCTGTGGTTTTGATCGTCATCTACTCCATTGTCACCGGCCGCGTCCGTCTGCGTGGTGCGCGCTTGCAGAACCGGCGCTACGACAATGTCCGTCTGCGTCGTGCATGCTTGCAGCACAGGCACTACGTCGACGTCCGTCTGCGTTGTGCGCGTCACCGGAGGTGGCGTCACCAAGGTGTCCAGTTTGACCATGGCGGTTGTGGCAGTAGCGTCAGTCATGTCGGCCGTGCACCCGACGTGCTTGAGCGACGGTCTCGCGGCCACAGACGCGTCGTACGTCCGTGGTTTGGCCATTACGCCCACCGTAAACGTCCTCACTGTGGCGGGCCTCATCGATTGCGTGCCGACGTCTATCTTGGTCACAGGCGTCGCAATGGTAGGCGCGGCGGTGGCGGTCACGTCCGTCTGAGTGTACGCCGTCACCGTGGACGGTTTTACGTCGGCAACCGTCTGTGTATACGCCGCCACCGTCACCGTAACCGGTTCGACGGGCGTCTTTTCGTCAGTCATAGTGGACGCGCTCGTGTACGCGGCCACTGCTGCAGCCGTTATCATTGGTGTCGTCACTCCCACATCCCGGCACATCGGCACGCAGTTGACGCCCATCTCTCTGGTGGACACGATCACCCGCCGGTCACGGTCGTCCACAATTATCTCTGGTGGACACCGATCACTACCGACTGAAAAATAAAAAAGCAGATGAATACGGTGTGCTTTAAACGAAAAAAAGTTTAAGTTAAATAATCCTAAAGCGTGATTTCAGTTTCAAAGCATAACGAGGGATCTATTGGTTTTACTATGATGTGTGTTTTTTTCTTTTGGCAATTTTGTTTGTGCATTAGACAGATCAGTTTTTGATTTTCCAAAATGTTTTCGAAAATAATTGGGAGAACCCCCAAAGAAAACTACTGGTGAAATATTGTTAACGTTCTCCTTACAAACCTATTACACCCACAAAAATTCAACCATGAAGCCTAAGTGTATTGGAAACCTCTTTGCTCCGCTACCGGAAGACTTACAGTGAATTTGTCTTATCCTGCCCCAATATAAAGTAAAGGTGTACGATCAGAAAAATAATTTAAATGTCGTTTAAACGAAACGTGCGTGAAACTCGCGGCTCCGAAATTCATATTTTTACGTTTTAGTACTCGTATTTTATTTTTTACGACTTCTTAATATTCAATCGAACGTATTTCAAACAACGCACAAGAGTGAAAAATAATTTATTTATAATATACCTTGTACGTACGTTTCGCACAACGATGAACGTTGTGTAATGAAATATTATGTTACGAATGTCGTGTGTATTATTATAATACAATATACTGTTCATTTTTTTGCTCCCTGCCGCTGATAAACCCATAGGAAATTCGACGGCAGAAAAGAGATGTCAGTATAAATTATTATAATACGACCGGATGAACATATTTTTTCAATACATTTTTTTGCATTTAATTACAGTTATCTAATCGTAATCATTGACGATAATTAAGAAAAAAAAAAAGCTAATAATGGGGGACGAGTGCAGCCACTGTTATTGTAGGTGGAAAATTGAGAAGGAAGGATACAAAAAGTTATTTGACTTTTATATTTGTACGCAACGATGAACCATTGCTAACGATAAACGATTCGGAGCAAAAATCGGTAAGACATATTTTGAATTGACGTCATTTTACGATTTTTGACATTTTATTTTAAAATGCTTATAAATAAAAAAAAAAAACTAATATATTAAATTGAAATTTGTTGTTTAGACCACTAAGTACAATTTATAATTATGATGATATATTTATATTTTCAAGCATTTCTCTTAATAGTCATATAAATTTAATGGCAGATATATACCAAATAAAAGTTCATGAAAATATAAAATAGCCTAAAAAATATTATCATCTATATCACTTCAATCCACCTATAAAAAAACTCTAATTTCCGGATTCGAACTTATTTTGTCCAGATGGAGCCATAGTAAGTAAGTAGTAAGTATACAAAAGTATCGATGAAATTTATATAACAATATAGTCTCAATTTTCAGGGGAAAATTTAGCAAAAAAAAAAAAAAAACCGGAATAAATATATTTATAACGGACACTAATTATTTGCAAAATTATCACTCAAATAAACTAAACTAAACAAATAAATATTATCAACGATACAGTGTAATCTGTTTTTTTCTTTTTTATTAGAATATTATTACTTAATGCCTACATATTGTAAACTATGCGATAATAATACAATTTGCCTTATAAAAAATGTACCATATACCTCGAAGACAATGAAATTGCAAACGTTTCATATACTTATCATAATAATAATAATTGTTATTATTATTAGTATATTATGTTTCCAAAATTAAATGTGATTTTTTTTTTTTAGTTTATGTTCTAGAAATTGAAACCTATCAAATTACTCCATCCGCGATAAAATATAATTAATCTTTAGTCCATTGTTCAATTTAAATCATCAAAAAAAAAAAAATGTCCACTAAAACATTATCAAGCAATACCAGTACAGTGTAGTACATATACCAGACGTTAGAAACTCCGTATTTTCACTGGTAAAGATTTCAGGGGTCCTACTATCAACCTCAGACAATCAGGATCCGCATACTCAAAGTGTCCTTTTCACATGACTTCTGATAAAAAAAAGACGTAGTCTGAACAACTATGCGAATCAGTTATGTTAAGTGAAAATCATTTCCACGATTACTTCGGTTGGGTCAAGGCAGAAATAATCTTCCGTATACGAATCCTATTATTCAATATTAAAAATCGAGTATAATCAGTAATCACTATAGAAAACTATCATCTCTTTTTGACTGTTTAGTGAAACGAAATTTCGTGCACGGATACGAATAGATTTGGAATAAAATTGTTCACGTCTACAGATATATAAGTGAATACTATACGGTTCGTGTACGGATTGTATTCGTACGAGTTTGAGAATATAGGGTCACAGGTTAACAAATACCGATCAGCCGATCGAGTGTCAATTCTATATCGTTCTACGCTTATACTTGGCAACTAATATTGTAATATTATAACGTCATAATGCAATTGGATATCATTGTGCATCGTTTTGAAATTATTTTTTAAATTTATGTTATTTTTCTACAAAATACTTATTATGAAACATGTATGATGTAATATAATACGCTGTATAATTGGTGCAACCTTCACATTTAATTCACAAATCAGATGAATTGATTTCAGCGAGTGAACAATACGCGAGTGTAATATTTGAGCACTTTACATGTGTATCGTTGCTTTAAAAAGAGAAAATCACTATTTTTTCATATTCTGAGCATATATAGATAATACATTCGTATTGGTTTTACCACGACAAATGTTTTTTTTTTTAAATTTACTGTTACGTTTGTAAACAACAAAACAATTTTTTAACCTGAAATTAAAAACATTAGAAGTACCTAGGCAAATTGCTGGTAGCAAATGTTGTCTCATTGGTGTATCGGGGTGGTTGTTTTTCTTTTCAATTTGTCTTGTTTTTTTTAATGATTGGAAAAACTGTAATAGTTATACAATAACGGTTTAGCTACTCATTTCATCTTTGGTTAGTTTATTGTATTTCAGTGAAAAATAATTGAAGAAACTACAAATTTTCACCGAATTATAATATAAAATGCTAAAATAAGTATATTAGAATTTTATTATACGCGTGGTTTTCAAAATATTCTAGCGATTTTTGCGGTCTTTGTAGTTTATAACCGTTTGAAATTATTCAGTTTTTTTAAAAAATTTATTTGGGTTTTATGTGAATAAAAGTATTTCTAATATTATATATTTTTTTTTTAAACATTTTATTCAAATTTTGCGTTAAAATTCATTAAAAACACAAACAATTGTAATTGTTTAAATTGTGTTAAATAAATTGTAATTTATTTTGAAATTATATTATAAATAAATATAGTTTTTTTTCATAATTTATCAAAATATTTTTAACCGAACTTCGCTCAGAATTATTTTGGTTTGTATTGATTTGTCATTGCGTATATATATATAGTGGCAATTACCCTAGACACCCTTCCACTTAAAACAGTGGCCCACTTATGGTGCCAACTGCCATGTATGTGTAGCTTTTTTTATTATTATTATTTTATTATTTTGAAAACTATTACCCGTTGCATTTTTATTTATACTATCCATCCGTTTGTATTCGTCCAGTTCCGAGGATAATCGTTGTTTTTCCATATTCAGTGACGACACCTGTACCTGTTTAAACGCATATAATTTACAAAACAAAATAATTTATCATACTAGTATTGCAATATTATGTGTATACATAAAAAAAACCGTATTATTATCACGTACATTCGAAATACGATATGCTGGTGTCTAAAACATCAAAACTCAATTATAATACGATATTTATTTTACAGAATTATTTATCCAACAATGCCTCATTTTTTTTTTTTTCTATAATTTAAACGTTAGAATTTTAGAAGTATAAGATAATATATTTAGGTAGGAAAGAAATTGACTAAAACAATATACAAAAATATTGAATTATGTTTATTATCTAAACCAATTAATATACATTAATGGTGTGTATTTAAAAAATAAATCAATTAAAAATAATTTCGAGTGATAACATGGAAACGATTTTAAAACAGTGATTTCAATAATAGGTACTTGTGGATATTTTTAATTTCGAGAGGTCGTTTAATTTTAAGAAGCGATTTTTCGGTTACTTATATTTTGATTATAGGGATAGGTGAGTAGATAATTCGACAGCCGTCAGGTTTCTGGAAAATGTATGATTGACGATGAGATTTTTGAAAATCTTAAGAGAAGGGAGAGAAGTAGATTAAAAAAAAGTTGAGAAACACCAGTTTAAAAATAATAATTTTATATTTAATGTTTATACACGAATATATATGTGAAAATATTTCAGAATTAAATTCCTTTCTATTGTGGATGAGTACAATTTGATAATTGTTTGCTTAACCTAATATTTAATCTAACCTTACACATTACTATATAATTGTTTTTGTTCAATCAATAATTCAATTCAATTAATATACCGATAACGTAGGTACCTGGTTTTAAAAATAATGTTTAATAATGCGATGTCAGTTAAGAATTACCTTAAGCATAGGCACCAGTTTAACTTGTTCTTCTAAATCTTTGATGATCTCCAAGCTTTTCACCATTTGTTCTCTGATAATCTATATCAGTCGGATTCGAGTTATCGTTAATAAAGATTGCATAAAAAAAATATAAATACAAATTTACTTGGAGCTCGTTATAAGTGTTCACAGATCGATGCATGGAATGATCGGGCTTAGTAGAATAACCGCTGCTGCCAGTCGTGTTACTCTCAAAACTGCTGTCGAGCTTATTGAAATTCGATTCATCACCTTCGACTTAAATTCAAATTTCGAATAACAATAATAATAATTGCCTCATAGATATTCGATCCTGTATATTTCTACATACCTAAGTTGTGATTAGAAAATCCTCTAGGTGGCGGGACAATAGAGTTCGATTGAAACGCCAACTCGAGCGTCTCTTCAAAGTCCATAAGAGCACGGTCCAGAGAGTCCTGTACATCTGGAGAAGCTCTGGTAACGACCTCGGCGTTCTGATAACACAAGATTCGATTATCTATTGAATGCAAGTCTAAAACTCATATTTTATTTCAATAATATTGTCATTTTGTAAACAATAAGTACATTTTGAAACATTTTTTTTTTTTTTTTGAATTCGATAACGCAGAACACTTGCTAAACTGCAGTGTTAAAGTTTTACTTTTTTGAACTGAAATATTTAAGATATTCGAGTAATACTATGCAATATTTCGATGTGTTATTTTAATAACATTCAATCGATTTACAGCAAATTAATGTTTGATTAAGTTGTTGAAATAAAATGTACCTGGATATATTATTATTTATTATAGCCACACAATATTATTACAAAGTTCAATGAAATGGAACATGGATGATGATTAACTTGAGAATTTTAAAGCGAATAGGTTACCTACAGTTATGTTCTATTAACGACCAAGTGTTAATTAATAATTACGATAACTGTTAAATTTACCAAAACTAACTCGTTTTTATCCTGATCCCACGTTTCACTTACTTTTAGAAAAGCCTACACTTGATTACCTACGCCCCTGGTGACTTTCATACTAATTAATTAATTCAAATATGTACCAATTTTTAGGTTATTTTAACGTGGCCTTAATTCTCTTAAAACGTTTTATCCAATTAAGCTATATTGATTATAATTAAAAAAACAATAATTTACTACAATGTTAATGGCTGATATATTATATTTAGATTAATGATTAAATTAAATTGACATAATTACTATGTTGGGATGTATTTTATTGTTAATACTTACCGTATTGTTGAAACTAATCGAATACAATGAATCTAATATAACAAGACGATATTTATTCGTTAAAACTACATTGCAAAGTGTATATAAATTATATAAATTTAAAAAAACAAATTAAATATTGACCACGAAAACTTGATAAATCCCATACTATTAGAATATTACAACCCGAAATGATAGCAGATAAACACGCGCGTATCCGTTTCGTGTATAATGTAGACAAAACCGACTCGGAACATTCCGGCGATTTGTATTTGTATTTTTTTCTTATTAGACCAATCACCTATACCAAACTACAAAATTTGCATTCACCAAATATATATTTTATATATTTATAAAAAAGAAACCATTGAAATAACTACGTCCATGTAATCGTGAACGAGAACCGCAGTATTAGTCGATCCAAGACAAACTAAGTAGAATTCTGATAAAATCGGATTAATGTTCCTGTAGCATAGTTATGTAATAATTATAGAAATCATACATAATATTATAGTGGAGTCGTGCTATTCGATTTCCAAGCTGCGGTTAAATATTAACCGCTGTAAAGGTATAAGGCACCTTTATGATAAAGACGACACAGAAAAACTATTATTAATACTATTAATTATTGATAGTTTATATCATATGGTTAGGCGATCAGATAACTGGAATATTTAAAAATATTTTTAATAATATAACCTCATCAAAAAGTGCGGAGGCACGTAACTGTTATAAACAATGGACCGCCCGGAAAAAGTAGAAAATTCGCCACTGGTCATGTGAATGTCTTCTCATCTCCAATAGTGATAATACAATTTTTTCAGTACGTCGATAGTGAAAATAACTGGGGGTGTCTAATCACATTGCGTTCACGACAAATGTTCAAACAAACATATTCTATAATTTGAAATACCTAACCACTGCCAAACAACGTAGGTAGGTGTACCTAATATTATTATAATTATGCAATCATAAAACGAAATTATTTCATTTAAACTTACTAATTATTTAATTTTATACATCATTATTAAAAAGAATTGTTTTAATATTGCATAAAAAACTTTAGATGTAAAAAATTATGTATATTAACAACATTACATTTCTCTCGATTTGTATAACTTTTAATACGTTTTTGTTAGGTACATATCTATCAACAACTAAACTAAAAACGACTACTCCATCAGTAAATCGTCTTGACATAATATTATATATACTTTATTTTTGAATTTGCTTTTAATTTGTTTTGTATTTTCTTTTACATAATATATTTTGAACAGAAATCGACCCCGTGACTCAGCCAACTGTATTATGGCCACGTTGACGTGCAAAAATCGTCCTTTTATTATTATTGCATTGTACTTTCGTTACATATTGTGTAGAAGTATTTAATTTTTTTTAATTCACTTCTACCATATTTTATGTATAGTGTATCGTACACACCGTAATATAATGTAAACCTACCGATTTTTATTTATTTTTTTTTTATGAAAAGATTATACGAATAATAACATTTTTCGCAAGGTTGGCTGTTTTGACTTTAAACACGGTACATAAAAAATATTTTCAACTAATGATTTTAGTTTTAATATTAAATAATTATGTGAGTTCAGAATCTATAGGAGTTTTATATTTTTTAGTATCATCCTCATTTATAACAAACCGACCTTGAAACCCGTTATATGCTATATAGTGAATAGAAAGTTTAAAATCGAATATTCAAAATTAATATTTTGCATATTTCGTCAATTTTAGAGAAAAAGTGCAAAATTCATCGATTTTCATTTGATTTTCATACGCATACTACACATATTGTGTAATATATTACGAAAACAAAATTAAGTTGGTTTTTTTTTTTTAATCTACGCAATGTAATTAATATTGGATATAAAAGTCAATACTAATTTTTATGTTATTTTTGTATTATACGTATTATTTGCCATCGTGCATTTATTTCATCTGATAAATAAATAAAATATATTTTTTTTAAAACTTTTTTGTCAGTTCATTGTAGTGTCAAAATAAAAATTAGTGCCGAAATCAAATAGTTCTTTTTTCCATATTTTTTATTTGTTTTGCATTATTACTATGTTTTTTTTGTGTATATTCGAATTTAATACTTTCATATTTTATAGATTTGGACGTAAGTTTTTGATTTATCGTGTGCATACTTTTTCAGATATGCATCCTATAACTTCCGAACCCATAGTTATTAATAATAAATTGTGATTGCCTAATCAAACAATTGTTTTAAAACCAATACAATTTATAGTAGGTACTTAATCAAAGTAACATTTTAGTTTTCACGGTTAAATTTAAAAATGAGTTTTATTTTTGAATGATTGCTTCAAATTACCTACTTCTTAGTATAAAAAGTAAAAAAACCAAGATTATAATTTTGTAAACCGTTTTTTAAACAAATACAACATTTAAAAAATATATAAAGCATTTTTTTTTGTTCGTTTGGTACTTCCCGTATATTGTAATATATTGTGTTATAATAATACATTTTACTTCACACTTACCAAAATTCCGTGTTTCCCGTTAATATTTTCGTCACTCAGTCCCAACAGCGATTCCATTGACTTGAGTTGTCTTCGGCGATCCGGTCCTCTTCCGTCCGCGGCAGCAGCGGCGGCGGCGGTGGCGGTGGACGAGACGCGGTGGTGCCCCTTAACAGGCGAAAGAGGGCGGATCCTACGGTGGTAATCAAACTCCGGGTACGAACCTCGGTCATGATGGTTGGTACCGTTTGACCGCAGCCAGTCTTGTATTTGAAAAGTATCGTCTGTACGTAGGGGCAAAAACAATTAAAACCGGTTGAAAAAAAAAAAAGAGAGTACGAACGCCACCGATTGATGACTCGGCAAAAGAGTGAGTGAGTGAGAGAGAGAGAGAGTGATGGAGAGTAACAACAATAATAATAATGGTCACGGATTGCCGGTCACTTCGACATCGAAACGGATGGACGCCAGAATATAAGACACACGGAATGCATCTTCTGTAATATAGGCACCATAGCGGAAAACTGGTCTTTGAGAGTCGTCGTCAAATTCTTTTATAACGTTATACATTTATATGACCGGGTAAACAATGCTATTCAATAATATTGTTAAATAAATTGTATATTACGAAACCTATAATGCATGCAACGACTAGAATAGTAGGTATTAAAAACCCATGAAAAACCACGTATACAATTTTCTTCTCTCACAAAAAAATAAAAACAACACAAGAAAAGTAGTGAAATTCGATGAATTCAATAAGTATGTAAGTATTCAATATGTATATTTTGTTTTCGAATTAAAAATGTATAATTACACAGACCACAAAAGTGATAAAAAACATGAAAATATATTAATATAAGGAAAAACACAAAAGTAAATCGAAGAAGCGTATTTTAAAGAGGAACGTTAATACTTAGCTTACTAATTGAGTTATAACTTTTCTCCTGATGTTCGGAGGATTTCAGACTAATTTTGGCAAACGAAATTCAATGTTACAATTAAAACTTTAAAAAAATGTAAACATTGTAAAAACAACGTATTTTTATTATTATTAACCCGGGGAAAAAACTAAAAATTCAAAATGAAAGTTTCGAAACTGAATTCATAACAGTGATGTAATGGAATATTCAGTATTTAGTCGTGTTTGACCAGTTTTGATTTCAAAAGCCATCGTCAGATGGATGATTAAACTCTCGGTCCAATAGAAACATTTTTATAAAACGAGACGCGATAACATGGATTTAAGATGTTTGTTATTTGTGAGCGAATTCGGTTCGTTCATTATGTCTATAATAATTGTAATAATTAGTAATAAATACGTTTCAATGACTAAATATTTGCAGATACTATTTTGGTCGAAAACGTACTATGTAAACCTTGAATAAACTGTTTAAATATTAAGTGATTCACTGAACACTCGTCAAAAAGTGTCGGATATTATCTTAATGAATAATATTGTGTCTCAGTAATTGAACCCGACGATTATTGCGCTCGGTGCAATTGAGCGCAATGACTATTGAACGTGGCGAAAAACCAGACACACTATGTTATTCATTTAGTTATACAAATACAAAAGCGAATTAATTAAGTTTAAATAAATAGCGTGTAGTAGAATAACAATTTAATTTCAGATGTTATAGCTTAATAAATCATTATAAAAAGCATCTTAGATAAAGTAATAAAGACGTGTAAATTCTAAAAAAAAAATAAAAATAAAAAAACACTAATATTTATTACATTTGTATCAATATTGAAACACCAAAAAGCAATTTAAAAGTTTAAAAAAAAAGAAAATTACTTAAACAACAAAATAAAAAGAAACACAGAAAAATGGAAATTCATGTACCTAAATATACCATAGTAAATTCTGAGGTTTCACCTAATATCCAAAATTCGTTTTAGAATATTACTTTAATATTTGTATTCCGTGTAACAAAATTAGAACGTATATTTTACTAAAAACAACAATACACTAATAAATTAATTTCATTGGACGTATTCGTAAGTTGTAAATACTTAATCACTTATTGAAACAAGACCGTTAGGTGATAACACCTACATAATATACTCAAGGAATTTATTCGTAGTTTCTATCATAATATAATATACTCGTATACCTATACGTGTAGAGTCGTAGTTTATTACTATTTTATTGATCAATGGAACATATGGAACTCTACAAATAAGTATTCGTGACGGTCGTTACGCGGTTGAGTGTATATAGGTAGGAACGCTTTTATTCATACAATTCGGAGTACCTATATCTACCTATTCGCTTTTAATGGATCTAAATTAGGTAGTGTTATTTAAGGTCGTCTATAATCAAGGGCGTTTGTAGAGTAATATTATAACGAGAAAGCAAATTTGTAATATTAAACCATAATATGCAGTTATACCTAGTTGGGATATTCTTAGATTCAAGACGCGTAAAGTGTATAATATGAGAACGGTACAGTTTTTCACTCTCCGTGCGTTGGGTATATTCGTTTGGACTAATAAATTTGAAAATAATATTCCCGTAGCTGTGGTACCTACTTAATATTATTGCCGATATTATATAATATTGAAATGGTAAGATATCCGCGTACGTTGTCTCCATCTTATAAACGTACAACAGCAAGTTTACATTCAACAGAAACGACATTAATATGAGAGTTAATTAACTTAAAGATAAAAACATAATTGAGTACCCACGTGAAACATTAAAATACAATAGTGCTTACCTATATCTTGTGGGAAAATTAAAACATAGAAAAAACAGTACCAACATTGCACAGAATCTTAGATTCAAGTTTTATAATAATATCAATCCGCTTTAATATTAAAAACTAATATAACACATGTAACATTGAATTTGTTTAAAACAAATCTGCTGTTTCGTATACCTACGTTTGTAAGACAGCACATGCGTGGGTGTCAAGTTCCCCTTATGTATAAAAGAGATATGATATTTGATCAGTAAAGGCACATGCCGTTATATATAATAAAAGTTCAATATATCATGTATTCAAAATCAAGTTGCGTACTGGAGTTGCAACTCCAGAATAATTACAATAAATATATTAAGCATTGCAATATCCTCAGCTTTATTGTTCGGTTCTCGGCGAAATGGGTACGATAAAACAGAAATGGATCGAAAAGAATGTTTTTCTGAAGAAAATAATCTTTTTATATACCAATGGTATATAAAATATAATAATATGCAATTAATAATTGTGTATACCTACGCCCGACGTCCTACACTTGTTTTAAATGCGTATAAAATAAAATTATTTTCTTTTTGTCTCTGTTGTCTTGCATAAAACATACCAATATGTGTCCTGCTGAACTGACAAATACTCGAATAATAAATATTTTTCTTTCGGTTTTTTTTTTTTTTGTTGCAAGAGTGGGTATATCGATAAATTGAATATTTGAATAATTGGGGCCGTGTCAAACGTATATACAGCGTGTAACTGGACTATTTGACATTTTTAAATATAACATTTTATATTTTTCACCGAAATTCAAATTGCAATATATTGAAAATATGTTTAATACAAACGCAGTCTCAAACGTCGCTATCTATAAACATGTTATTTTCTGAATCGAAACGAAGTAACCAAAATCAATTTTAAAAAGACAAAAAACTTCACTGATTCATCGATGTTTTTTTTTTTTTACAAACTAGTTGAATATTATAAGAATACCTTTTCTGAAGTAAGTACTATACGATACATTTATATACGATCAATAAAACCAATATACAATTATTATTCGACGAGCATTTTATCCTATGGAAAAGTTTCTAGGTCAGCAAAATAATATATTATTATAATAATATATGACCATGTGTTATAACACATGGTCATTTAATTTCCAACACAATTTAATGTGACGCGCGCTTTAATTCAAAACAATTTTTAAATTTGTAAATGTATTCAAATATTAAAAAGTGTTCTATTTAAATACTTTAACTGCAATATTTCACAAAACCGTTAATAATCTAGGAAATTTATCACCTATAACCTAATAGTATCTACTATTATTTTAGATACATTAATATTTGTTATAAATCCACTTTAAATCTATTAACCTCAAAGTAATAATTAGCAGTAAACCTATAGCCGAAATAACTTTTTTCCGATACCTGATAATCAATTATTTGCTACCGATATAAAACGGATAACCAATCCAATATTTGAAATCCAAACATTTTCCAAAAAAATACGGTTCCGACGAATTATTTTTCCGAAAAAAAACTTTCTGACTTAATATTTTTCCGACAAAATACTTTCCAACAAATTATAGCCCTTCATTTCAATATCTTCAATATCTGCCGATACACGATATGGATTTATGCCGAAACTCACCATTAATAATATTATACACTTATAATACGTGTTACGTTCCGATGATTTAATAAAGTCTACATAAATTATATAGTCTATAATATAGTTTACATGTCCCAATAATTTAAAAATACAGTATACATTGATAAAACAATAGTAGGTTAACGTGAGATTCACATGAGCGCATTATTATAATTTATAATACTATACAAGGGGAGCTAAAAAACTAAAAATATAATCGTCTCGATTGAAAATTATTGTTATCCATTTTGACAAGTAACATTGTTTTCAAGTGTCATTTTACACGTTTTGTTTTTTGTTTTTTTTATTGTCTCCTACAATGAGTAGATTATATGATTGTGTAGTTAATAGATATAATATATTATACTGCACCCATTCTTCATGTGTATTCAAATATTTTAAATTAGGTATTAGGTAAGCTTTAGTTTCACGCTTACCTTCATTTTTTTTTTTTTTTCATTATTGTTTGCGGAGGCGGTTTTAAACGTATACCCGAGTATCGCGGTCACTGCCCCGCTGCAATAAATTCGATTTGATGGGTATATCAGTGGGTAAACGAGCAAATTTCTGGTGGGAACCATGTTTCGTAAAATTAACGAAATATCAATATTATCATAAATTTATTCGTTTTTAGTTTTTCTTAATTTATAAAAACTATATAGTTGAACGATTCAGTAATAAAAAAAAAAATTGTACGACACTCCAAACACGAGAAAACGCGGTTGTTCTAAACGCATACCAGGGAAACGCTTCTCCGGCACATACATTACCAACTAACATTGATGTACTGTAATTTTCGTCGATACAGTTTTGTGTACTTTTTTTTGTACAACTAAGTAACAAAAAAGAACATGTTACTATCAAAGTACTAATATTGAAACTCGAAAGTGGCAGTGCTAGCGAAACGAAGATAATAATATTGTTATCTTTGAATACAATTATTAGTATCTACGATACATAATTTTTTATTTAAGTTGACAATACAACTTATACTATCGCAGTCATAGGCGTGAGCACGGGGCGTGTCTGTGTACTACCTGGAAATTAAGAATAAGTACCCAACTATAGGTACCTAAGTTGTAAAATAAAATTATACATTGTGAATTGTTTAAAATACTAATACCAGTTACCTATCTTGTATTTATTTATTAGTTGTAACCATATGCACAGTTTTTATATTTTATAAATTGAAAGTTATAACTATATAATTTATAAAAGTATTAAGTAATCTTTAATTTTTACGAGTAATATAATATTTAATAATTATTAAATATTATATTATTATATTAATCTTAAAAACAAAACTAAAATACTGTTCCTTGGATAAAATTAATACACTATTTGGATTTGTGTTTAAAATGTTTTACTTAAAATTTAAGATTTAATAATAAGTCAATTAAGAACAATTAAATAACCGAATAATATTATGTGTATTAAAAATTATATAATATTGTAGTTTTAATTTAATTTTACAATAATTGTTTGAATAAAATTTAATATTAATTTTATTTTTGATTATAATTTATAAAATATAATATTAAAGGTACACTACTATCGTTATTGAATATTAACTATAAATAATTGAATACATTTTAGATTCTGAGTGAAGCGAAGAACCTTATGGTTTTACAAAGACGTTCTTTATTTTCTGTAGACAATTTTTCTATACCAGAAAACTTGCTCCGACTTTTACGTGTAGCAAATTTTCTGAAACAGAATCTGTGTGAGGAGACCTTAGAAATGCGAAAAACTGGGAAAATTATACAAATATTGTTAAAGAAAATAATATATAGAGCCTATTTAATTATTCTACTATAATATGGCATATATATTGTTGACAAAGCATCACTATCCACTGAACTCCGCTCAATATCATTTTTCGTAAGCAATGGTTTATATCGTTAGTTACAGGTATACATTAAATTACCTATAACAGTGGCTGCGTCCATCTCCATTATCCTAAGACGTCTTATTATTTTTTTCTTAGGCTTAATACAGGCAGGTCATTTATGCTCCTTGTTATAACTACCACAGCTTTCCATCGTTCTCTGTCTGTCTTTAAATATTTCTTTTGTATTCTGATCATGATGTACATATTTACGCCATCGGTGTTTCACTTTTCCAAAGAGTCTCTTCCTATTTGGGACCCATTAAATTAGTTTATTTAAAATGTTCCCTTCTGTGTGCCATATATGTCCTGTAAATCCAATTCTTTTACTTTTTATTATTTTTTAATATATCTGGTTGGTTATCCAATCTATTCAAATCATCTTCAAATTGGATCTATATATTCGGTGATTTTCTTCTTCTATTTGGGGCCAAATAATTATCTTAAAATGTTCCTTTCAGATATTTCTCGGTTTTTTTAATCGTTTTTCGTTGAAGGTTTCATGCAATTGGCCTAATAAATATATAAGACTTATACTAGGTATTATTATAATATACAGATCTGAGTAGGTGACTATAGTGCCTGCTATAATTTATAAATAATATGTTCGACTAATTATTTAAACTTTATTTTATAATAATTATATTCTGTGTACATAAGTCAATTTGTTCACGGGTACGCCCGAACTTTAAGTCTGTGCACGCCTATTATCGTGATCTTAAAAGTTCAACTTCGTGAAAATCAGTGGCATCATTTGCGGGATACAAGGGTATGCAAATGAATTCCAAGAATTTCTTTTAACACATTTAAAATATGTAGATGCAGACGATTGTATACGTTATCATAACGAATGTGTTTTCGGCCCACTATCTACATTTTCTACATTTTGCGCTAGTCTGTCATTATATAAATTGGAATAGAACTTAGAAGGATATACAAATAAAAACGGTTGGGGGGGGGGGTTGAAAATTAGAACAATAATATAATAATAAAATAATAATAAAATAAAATAATTAAATAACCATACAAAAATCTAAACATTTCGAGGAATGTTCAAACACACAAAACACTCCCCTGCATATGTGTCTAGTAGTTTGGCACCCTTATTAAAGGATGGACCAATCCCGTACAGAAATGTATCAGAATAGGTTCCTTTCATATGCAGCCTTTATTTTAAAGATTAACCGTCTCTTGGTATTCAAACGCTTTCTGACCACTATATTACCGCCGATATAAAATTAATTTTGTCCTTTTTATGGCAAAAATGACCATCTATACCTTATGCTTCACAATTTTAATGCATTATAGCTTATTAGCTCTGATCCAAACAATTACTAAAAGTAAAAAATGAATGTGGATAAGATAGAGCTGCGAATAACACTTTAATTTTCGGATGAGGTTGACCAATATTATTTAATCAATACATATATTTTAATAATTTATCATAATAAAATAAGTAAATTATAATGAATATTGTATTTGTTTACAGGTTTACATCATTTTTCTATACATTAATTTCTTATCATTTAATTTATCACATAAATACTATGTAGAATATTTAGTTTTATTTGTCTTTCTTTGTATATTGGTTTACCTTCATATGCATGTATTATTAACACTGGTTTTCTTGTATAACTTGTTTATTAACCATGTTTAAATTACTTCGACGTAATAAAATAATAATAATAACAACATCACATTATTTAGTGGAAATAATAAGAAATTGATTTTTAATTCAATAAATATTGTACGTGTTTAATAATGAATTAATGAATTGTAGATTAATACTATTATTATAATTTTTTTTAATACTATGTTTTACAAGATCAACCGGTTAGTTTAAAATGCAATTAACTTGTACCTGCATTGATCGAGTAGTCAAGCTTGATCGTTTTTAATATTGCAATATTGTAAGTTAATTTTTTTATTTATTTTCTTACGGTATTATTGCCAAAACTTTTGAGCCATTTTTGAGCCACTATTGAGCTCATAGGGATATTAATTTTTGGGAGTTTTTGCTGTAATTCGGTTACAAATACACGTAGAGATTTGAAACTTGGTACTAATACTTATATTGGAGTTACCTAGACGTAGTTTAAATTTCCAAAATCATCGAACAACTTTTTTTTTTTTTAATCAAATTTAAACGAAAATCGCATACAAAATTACGGCACTTCAAACTATATATTACCGAACTACGCTCGGAATCGTTTTTCATCAAGCAATGGTTTATCGTTGCTTACAGATATAAATGAAAAAGTTTTATGTATCTTACCTTCCCAAGTTCTCACCTACAACAGTGATAGCTCCCATCTCAAGTATCAGTTTTTTTTTTTTTTTCAAAACAAAATACGACCTATAATGCATTTTTGTTTGGTCTAACAAGTTTATTCACAGAATATTTATTGAACATAAATTATGTAAACAAATTCGTAAAATTAAAATGTCTATAAAAAGCTCAATAATCACCACAATATTTTGAAATTGTACTACGTCCAGTAAAACCAAATAAAAGTTTTCAAAATTGTTAAGTGAATAATAACAAAAAAATAAAATTGAAAATAATAAATAAAGCATACATTTTTCCGTTTTTTCTATGTTCTTTTTGGTTTTGCTAAATTATTAAAAAAACTATAGGGAAAATAAATAAAAAATACTCACTTGATTACCAACTAGATTACAAATTCAACAAAAAAGTCTTTTGTTATTTTTCTAGTAATATATTTGGTAGAAAACATATGTATGTTGAAAAAATTAAACACAATGAAATCAGTAACGCTGCGGCGACGTGTCATAAATAATTGCCATTTTTCCCGGTTTTTCGCAGTTATTATGAAAACCCTTTAGAAAAGCAGCAAATTAACATTTAGATATCAATTAAATAGGCTCTGAAAAATGGTGTTACACTAGATACATCAGAACTTATTACTAACAATATATAATAATAAAACACACAACGTAGTAAAAAGTAATAGATCTCTTTCAACGCTTTGAATCTAGTGCGCATTACAATATTTTCTTTTTTTATTTTAAATTCTATGTCTTCCGAAGAATTTTTGAATTGTATTCATAGTCATTTGACTTTCCGTGTCTTAGTTTTTATTGGACAGGTAGTTACTATGTGGAAAAAATTGTTTAACCAAACAGAAGGGCTTGACAATTTAACATGAGGTTCATTTTATACGTTCTATTTAGTGGCAAGAAAAAAAAAAAGTTGAGTGTAATATAGTATTTTTTATAATCAATTTAAGAACAAGTTTTGATAGAAATTTCAAGTATTATAGCCTTAAAAATCATGTATAAATGAACTTTGCTTAGAATTGTACTTTAATAACGATGGTCTATCGTTGTTAAGAGATATAAATTAAATAACTTTATGTATCTTTTTTTCTCAACTTCCCACCTACAACACTTGACACCCGGTAGTGATATTAGCTTTATATTATTTAAGTAAATAACGGTGTGACAAACTTCAATCAATTTCAAATTAACCAAAATATCCATTTTGTAGAGCTAATTATTCTGAAAATGTTGAATTTTTATAATAACTTGACCATAACAGTAATAATTAATTAGCGAATGGGATAACAGCTTGCTTCAAATTATAGGTAAATTATTCTGAAATTTAAAAAATCACGAATATAATGAAAATAAAAATTTGAAAAATCAAATTTTTTTAAAAGAATAAACTCTGTAAAATTAAAAAAATAAAAAAACCAAACTTGACTATCTTTATTATCACTCGAAATATATAGGCATATCTTTGTGGGACATTCTATACATTATACTCATTACTCATATTATAAACAGGTACTTACTCCTCGTACTAAACTGCATATTACCTATCTAAACTAAATTAAAATATATTATTACCTATTATACTATTTTATACTGAAATTTACCGGAAGTAAACGAAAATCAAGTAAAATTAATTCGTAAGAATATAAAATGGAGTTTTTTGTTTTAAATTCTATTTAACCGCATCAATTGTAACAACAACAACAGCATATGGCCTTAAGCGGCTTAAGCGAAACTTACGTAAGTATATAAATTAAGGACGTTGTGTACAATCAAAATATAATAGCCACAGCCATAAACATGAAACGTTCGTCTGAATAAAAAAAAAAAAAAAAACTGTTTATATTAATAGTTTTATAATTGAAAATAAATAAATTACGAGAGCAAATCATCAAAGTTTTATTACATAACATAATATTATATCACATATATATTTAGACATCAAGTGTTTCATTAAATTGTAATATCGGTCAAAACATTATACATCGATGATAGCGATAAGATATTTAAACGATTAATAAAAAATAGTTTTAAATAATTTATTATAGTTAGAACTTGAAACTAAAATTAAAAATACCGGTATTGTAACCTTTATAAATCTTTTGAAAATATTGGAACCGGGACCGTTTTTTTGATTTTCTTAAGAACATAAACCGGAACCAGAACCGTTATTAGTCGGAATAAAATTTGTCGGTTCCAAATTTATTTAACAGTTTAATATATTTAAATAATACATATAAATAATAGTTGATTAAATAATAGTACGATTGAATAACGTTAATTTTATTGTTATCCGAATAATCATTAAAAATATTCGAATAACACTGCCGCTAACTCTGACTTGCACTTCTTACAACACGAGTCAATCCTATTTTTTTTAAATTTTTTTTGGATGTTTTTAAAACAAAATATTGAACTCACCTATGGTGTTTATATTAGAATTTTTTTTTTACTTTTTACTGAAAAAATATATACCTATACCTCTAAATACCGGTATTTACCGGTACCAGAACCTAAATTTTAATTCTGTAATTTTAAGAACCGGAAGCGATTTTATTTATTTATTTTTTTTTTTTTAGTGAATCGGAACTAAACCGAAAGAACCGTAAAGATTCAATGCCCTGATTGTCATGTAAACAAAATAATATAATAATTTCTTCCGAAAAAAAAAAAGAAGAAAAAAAATAGCGCACATACTTTACTACACCATTATTGATAAGCCACTAAGCCATTAGTATAAGTGGAAAAATAGGAAAAGTATTCTGAGTGGAACTGAATCGTATTATTTTCCCAAGATAACCTAAATATCAATATAAATAACACCGAAATATCGTCATAATGTAGGTTCAATCATGCAACAAATGAGAGGTTTATTATAAAAACAGTATTATGGCTAATCCAAGATAGATACTTCGATAAAGAATACACGCAATTTCACAAAAAAATTATAACTGTTTATTTTGTAAAGTCTGAAATACGAAAACTACATTAATATGAAAAAAATGTATAAACCTACCTACTCTTTCCCTAAAGACAAAAAAATGTTTACCGTGTTTTAAAAGATCAATACAAATTTAATATTGCTTATGATAATATACGAGTACCTATACAAATAAACAATATATTATGTATAGTGGTATTTTTTTTGGTAATGTCGTATAGTAAAAAAAAAAAATGTCTGATGCTACAAAATTATTATTATTAATTGTCACGAATGTAAGAAGAAAAAAAAAGTTCTCGCTGAATTTTTCAAAATATATTTCTGTAGGTAATAATACTACACTATACTGAGTACGGCGGTACTCAGCGGTGTTAACTGCATATTTATCTGCAGGTTAAAAAATGTACAGCCATCGTTTTTTTAACACATTTTATTATTTATGAGTCGTGACTTATTACTGCATAGTCTTTGTATAATGGAAAAAAGCTAATACGAGAAATGAATGGTTTTCGTGAAGGTTATAACTCATAAGACTTGTGTCTAACGAAATAATGTATAATGAGTGTGTGTATATATATATTATGTATAGACAAATCATGAAAATTAATCGTTTTGTACATATCTGCTCGTATATTATTATCCACCAACTAATCTGAAATTTATATTCTGAATTTTAATTTTATGAATTTAGGTAAATTATAGTATTAAAAATTCGACTATTGAGGTATAGGATACACAAAGTTATTTAATTTATACCTTTAAGCAAAGATCAAACACTGCTAATGAAAAACTATTCTGAACGAAGTTCTGTTATATATGTACATACTTTGAAATGTAATTTTAACGATTTTCGCCAAAATTTAATCTTTATACATTACAATTATTAAAGAAAATTAGTAAATTACACTCAATTTTCCAATTTTTATTATCACTAAGTATATTTTGTAATGAAACTCGTGTTAAGTTTTCAAGTATATCTATTTAGTCAAACAATTTTATTATTTTGCTCAACACAATACCTACCAAATAAAAAACTAAAAATCACCAAAATGTTAAATGCCTATTAATAGCTAAAAAAATACATTGCTAGATTCAGAATCTAAAAGAAAAAATAAGACTATATATGCGTAATACGTATTTTTATTTTGTATAATAGCTGTTTCATGTGTGTTATTGCGATAGAATAATTAAACAAAAATAATGTCTACAATTTTTTCAGTATTTTTTTTTAAAATTTATAATGCCGTAATATTTCTTTGATATTATGCAAAATCATACAATGTAATTATTATAGTGACTACAGATGAATAGCGTTTTCTTGTTACTTCGATCACATCTATTTCGGCGACATTGTTGGATTTATAATTATTAGGTAAAATATTTAACAATTCAAATTTAAGGAAATTTGTAAAAAAAAAATGGAAATTATTTTATATTGTAGTTGATGTTCCTTTATATAAAAAAAAAAAAGAAATAATAACAATAAAAACGCTCCCGAATGATTCTGATAAAGTGGTTTTGTTATAAAATAAAAATAGATCGTTTACGTGAAAAATATATTAATATGAAAAAGAAGTAATTTCGAGCGTATTTTTTTATTTAACCATTATTCACCGTGATCAAGAACGAAGTATTATATTGAACTGAAAGTATTGTACCTACCTACTATATTATTTTAACAAGCATTCAAGGTTTTGACATAAAACCAACGATAAGGGGATACATTATTTAAGTAATGGTTTTAATGACTTTTGATGTTTTATTATATAATATACATATATACATTTATACCCTATGAAATATCGAGAGAACATGAAATATTATTTTAATAGAAATTCTTCTTTATAAAGAAAACAATAATTATAAAGTATTTTTTTTTTCATTTATCACGCCGCCTCTACGGAAAAGTATAATACAAATCTAAAACTATTTGACTATTTTTCATGTATTACATTATTTGAATTCAAACCGTTCAAATAATCGTCTTGTAACACTATTAACATTTTTGCTCATGCTCTTTAACTCGCACGTATCCGATCACCAATAAATGATCTTCCATCCAACAACTGCAAAAATTGCCAAGTACTATTAAACATCCAGCATATTAATATAACCCTATGGAATGCCTAAAATACTAAATCACAAAAAACACTTAACATTTATCAGTACCGTAGCCACAAAAATGCGTCGGGGAAGGTGGAAAAAGCACTATAATAATTTGTATTATACCTACAAGTTGATAAAGTAATAAAATACACCAAAACAACAAAAATATCCAATCTAAAAATCAATTTCGGGGAGAGGAATCACTTGTATCCAGTGCCCACCCTCTGGCTACGGTACTGCACCATTGGTTTACTTGTCCAGAAGCCTTTTCTTATCGGGAATTATGTAAATATAGCGAATCTTTTGAAAGCTGTTATTAATAGGACGTCAAACGTGAATTTTTCATTTCTGTCTATATAATATCTAAGAAACATGAATGTATAAAACAGTACACTGGACTCGCCGGTCGTATAAACTCGGTTATGGTGCCAATAAACACGAGGAGCTGCACTAAGTGTCTACAGAAGATAGAACAGTCTAATCATAATCTACCGGTTTTGTACGAATTTTTCGAAATATTTTTAAAAAGACTTGGTAATAAAATGGGATAAAAAAAATATCAATAAAATATTAGACATTTATAGTATAGCTCCTCGTGTTTCGTCTGAGTGTTATTGGAATTACGAAAACACATTTGTGCTATACTGTTGTCCGTTAGATAGTCAGAGAAGAAGAATTCGTGCGTTTAGCTTTAAAATTTATTTTTTCGGTTTTTTACGCTGTGGTATTTAACTGTAACACAATCTATGAAATAAAAACACACGCCGGATATTAATGTGTCTACACCTATCTACCTATATATTATACCCTTAATGTTATAATTCGACCTAACCTAAAAAGCGATTCGATCGGTTCGCGTGGAATAATACTATTGCATTATTATCATTTGAAACGTTTACCTTCAAAGTGTATAATGTAGTTATGTACAGTATATATTTTTATATTGCTGAAGATAACATCGCGATTACCGTTTACTATATTATTGCTATATCGCTTTAACATGCCGGCGATAATCGAGTTGTCCGTATCTGCAAGCTGCATATATTTATGTTTTTTATGAATAATATAGTATCACAAGGCCACGATTATACGTCATTGCCTACCATAAAACGGTTTAAATATTATATTTTTCAAAACAAGTGTTTTCGAATTTATCGCATTTCTGTATGCGTGTCCGCACTATTGATGTTTATTATAGTAGTAGTATAATAATATTATATAACAATGTACACGACTATTGATAGATATAGATTATTATTATTATTATTATTATTTCAGCTCGATGAATTAGAATTGTAAAGTAGGTTTTTTTTTTTTTAGGAAGATTTATACTAAAACACTAAACCACTAAAATATTTTGCGCAAAGAATTTGAACCCCTCTGGTTATCGCGTATAAATTTTACATTTTTTCAAAGGGAAAAGTCCCGACGTTTAACTCTGAACTGGGAATAGTGGGTACAATTTGTATTTGTTTTTCGAACAATTTTGACTAAAAATTTTTTCTATAACGAAAATTGCTCAAACCACAGTTTTCTTTACATTGTATAGCGTTTCTCAAGCTTTGTTTCGCGGAACGCTGATGTTCCACGATTAACTCACAGAAAAGGTCTGGAAAAAGTTAATCAAAATAATTCTACACAAATTGATCATTTAACGATAACAGTAATAAAAAAAACAAAATTATCAATGACATGCAGCACGTCACGTGCTGCGATGCAATCGGTTCTATGGCGCAGTTAGTTTAGTTATTTTTAGTGAACTATTATTAATGATTTTCCAAAATTTGTCCCCGTTGACCCATCGTGTGTACTCGTATAATACATTATTACCTTTATCAAATTTTAAACATTTTTGTTTACCTATGTAGAACAATGGTAATCACATTAGTATCTATCAAATAAAAACTATGTTACTCGCAAAATTAAAATACAACAAATAGCGTACAAATTAACAAAATATTTTAAAAATTGACTTAAAAAAGATTAAAAATGCAACAAAAAGATCTTTTGTCGTTTATTTATTGAAGCAATATTTATAGTATAAAACATCGTGTAAAAATAATAGGAACAATGAAAACGGTAACGCCGTGGCACACTGTAAATATTTGCCGTTTTATCTAAAGTTTTCTTACGGAGATTCACCAACTAGAGAAAATTACCTGTCAGAAAAGGTGCAGTAGTCTATAATTTGGAGCAAGTCTTATGATAGAAAAGTTGTTCACAGACAGAAAAAAAAAAAGTACACAAACATCATAATAATACCAATAGATCCCTCGCTACGCACCGAATCTAAAAATGTAAATGCGTGGTTATAAAAGTGAAGAAATTTGATTGTTTTTTATGGGAACGAATTTGAAGTGACGATTATCACGTACGTAACACGTTAGTATACGTTTAAAAATGTTGTGTTAAACTATATATATTTTTTATCAACTTTACAGTCGTCTTTAACTCGGGTGATTTTCGAAAAAGAAAAAAAAAATGCATAGATTAATCAGTCGCTTAGAAAAAAACAATACATTTTAGACAACAATTCGAATACCATGTTTTTTTAAATGGCGGTTTCAAGAAAAACATTGGAATTTTTGAAGGTCTTACCAAATTCAAATCTTTCTAAAAAAAAAAAAAAAAAACATAACCGACCCCATTTAAATCCAAGTCCCGTCCGGTTGAAATATTCCGTGTTGCCGTTCGAGTGACGGTTAATATATGCCGCACCATGCGGTGTATACGAAAAGAGACACAAGGGAACGAAATGTTTACAATAAATCGAGAAAGTATTACCTTGGAGGAGTAGCTGTACCGCGACTGCAACATTGTATACGGGTCAGGTGCCTAACAAACTACGCGTTGCCTTGACAGTTGAAAATAATGATTTTATAAATTACGGTTATAAACTGTAATAATAACAGTCGAGGCATTATAATATAGAGGCGCCTGTGTAAACAGCGCGGATACTTCCGTCCCCTGTTCGAGACTGGTATTTTTTTATTTTTTTGTTTTTTTTTTTTGTTTCGAGAACCGCGGCGGCGTAGTACCTATTCACAACGTAATCGGTCGTGTACCGTTTAACTGTGTAATCGGCCGGGTGATGGGTGTATGATACATACGAATAAAAACAAATGTTTAATAAAAAAAAAAAAAAACCACAACGACGACGTTTCGGTAAATACGCACGCCGTGCGCATTATACGCGGTCTATGCTGGTCTACCGGCGCGTTGTAACCACTACGCATGGTTGCCGGCACACACGACCACAAGGTACAAATTATGTTGGCGCGGCGCGATAACGACCACCGTGGGAGTATTACGGTAATATTATTGTAGAGCGGCGCGGCTACATCGACGACAGTTTCTAAAAAGTGAAAATACGATTTTGTTGGTTGGTTTGTTTTTTTTTTTTTTCCCCCTCGTCGAAATCCGTTCCATTTCGGGAAACGGCCGGACGCGCCGCCGCCGCGGTCAAAGACGGACCGCGGGCAGAAAGTGCGACGACGCGACCGGATCGCTGCCGTCCCCGGCGTCGTCGGCGGCGGCCGTAACGACGCGCATTGTTCGGCCCGTTCGACTTTTATTCGCTCCGCGATCGTCGGCGGTCCGTCCGTAAATTTTAACGAGCCGACCCGCGCAAAACGCGGAAATAGTCATAGGCGAGTGCGCCGTCGCATCACACAAAATGCGTAAATAATATACGTACCGATAATATACTATACACAACAATGTATTACATATGGATGGTTAATCGAAACGATTCGTCCGATTCCCGGATGCTTGAATATCGTTACGTTTTGCTTATAGATTGGCAATGGGTAACAATACCCAATAATATATATATACGTATTACGTTCAACGGCGGAATCGACGGTCGGAGTTTAGACAATGGCATCGTCTACAGACGTTCTGTGTGGCTTCCACTTGGCCACGCGAGCAACTTTTCAGTCGGACATTGCGTCGTCGAAAATATTCCCTGTGATTCCTTGCGAATTATCCGGCGAGGTCGCGTTGTGCTCATTCCTTTGCGCAACCACTCGGTTTCTTCTGACTGCTTACGTATCGTCCACGGATACTCCGGCGCAACGACAACCGACACCGATTGCGTTTACAGATTCACATTTTGAAAATCACTTTGTGTATTGTTGTCGATTACGCCATTAAAAAAAAACTTGGATTTCCTTCTATTAATCATTATATAATTTTATATGATTGAGCTTATAAAATCTATTACACGACCGTTTGAAACCGGATTATCATTCATTTTACTAAGATGTTGGAAATATAAATTTTATCGTGTAAAAAAAAAAAAAAAAAAATGATTTTATTTTAGAAACATACTTAAAGTAAATTGTCTTTAACTAACGGTGTAGAAAATTAAAAATTAAAATTCCGACGGGTTCTAATAGAAGACTTCAATATTGAAATCCATCGAACACAATTATCACTGTTTTGTCTGATTTTCGGTCTAAAACGTCATATTATTGACACGAAAGTACCCCTTCTCTTAAATGGGTATCGAGGAGTTAAAAGTTTTATCATCAAAATGTGAAAACAATTTTCAAATTTGACATAACTGATGAAAATTTAGAAAACCTCGTCACTAAAAGTCTTAAGATAAAATATATTTAAGAGAACATAATACCGACATCAACAAGTCTTATAAACACCCTCATACACCTTAGACCTTCCTCTCCGGTCAACATGACAGTTCGGTCACGAGACCTTTACTATATTAAGTTACACCGAGACGAATCCATTTGGGTACCATGTTCGAGGGTGTGGCTCGAAAAATTCGGTTTTCTACAAAGTAGACTATTAAATTTACATTCCAAATATAACATAACGCCTACGAGGAACTATTGCAGGTTCCCTATAATTATGTCGAATGGTTCTTGGGTGGTCGACACTTCGACAGGTAAACGAATTAGTTCCGGTTCTGACCAACAACGTAAGGCAAATGTTTTAAGTAAGTTTACCTATAATATCGCCCAGTATATTAACCGACTAAAAGTACTCTAAAATAACACTCGTTAGTGTAGGTATATAATGTAGATACAAATATATAAGCACTAATAAAAATCTGGACGTATTTCGTATAAAGTTTACCGTAGAAAGTGGAAGGTTCGAAAGATACAGAAAATTGGGAGACTAAATTTATATACTGAAAGCAACGGTAAATTATAATTTCAATCAAAAACGATTCTGAACGAAAGACGTTAAACTGGTAAACTTATTAGTTTTGTTTCTTTCGTCAAGGTAACCCAGAAATCAACAAAAATAATATCGATGTACCTATATGTATACTATATTGTCATTTTTTGACAAAATATTGGTATCTTTTAAGATACGGCATGAAAAAACGAAGAATTTCTATAAAACAAAATACCAACCTAAATAGGATTATCTGAGAAAAAAATACACACATCTTAGTAAAACTAATAGCATCTTTGCTACACTCGGTATCAGAAATAATAGGTTAATGTATACGGTTATGTTTTTTCTCAATATCAAACAGGTATACATAGTATTTCTAATGAATTTTTGTCACAATGCAACGCAATAATGGATACCAAAGAAACCATTTCAGAAATCAATAAAACGAAAGAAAATTGTCCCCTCCGTATAAAAAAAATTGAAATATTCATCGCCTTCTAATAAGGAAATTTTTTAATTTTGTTTTATCGCATTACAGTTTTACATTTTCGCTAACAAAATTCAATTCGGTATAAAATACTATAATGTATTACGTGAGGCCGGCATTATATACAGGGGCAACAAAATTCAAAAATAAAATAAAAACACTGGGTTTTTCGACAAAATCAAATTATTGATAAAACAATCGTGTTATTTCCAAATAAATTGTTGGAGTTTTAAGAAGAAAGTCGTGTCCCGAACGGTGTCGCTAACCATCAATAGTTTTTGATTTTATTGTTTTGGTTAACATTTTCCAAACATGTGTATATTAAAAATATACAACAGGCGATAATAGCGTTTCGGGTTTTCGTGAATAGTGCGAGTTTGATTTTTGTTCATAATTTGTTGAATTTTCACTTGACTCAGTATGGGTATAATTTTTATTTGTGTTTTGTTTTTCAAGCTAAATAAAGTTCAGTTTGCGTTTGGTTTTTGTTTTTTTTTCTTTGAGAACTGTATGCAGTTATTGTTTTGAAATTTTCACGAATTGAAAAGAAGCGAAATTCTTACATTACCTACGTAAAATACGGGCATCGGGCACCAAATAATTCGGCTGTGCCGTACTATACCTATCCATGTATTAGTAAACTGAACCAATTCCATCATGCCGGGATTATTTTAATAATACACCACCTGCCGTTGGCGGCGTGGCATCGTCGACGGGACACGTTGGGTTTATAATATATCGATGGACCAGTCGGATAACTCGCGCTCGTACCTGTAATAATATTATTATCGTACCGAACAAGAGTGAAAACGGCATTCCATCGCCGTTGTATATAAGTATTATTTACGGGTATACAGGGTGATTTTTGTTTTTTTGGATCAAACCGATTTGTCGGAGCATTTCAGTATTTCGATTTGATTTCTGGTATTCTCGGCCGTGTTATACGAAATATTGTTCAAGGATTATTTTGAACGTTGTTCATGAGCACGGATACTTATATTGACTTATAATTTTCAAAATATAACGACCGGATTGATCGGATCCGAAAAGAGAATATTATACTCCTATAGTTTTCCAAACATTTCAACGTGCGTATAATACTCCGCGGTTTTAATATAAACGGCCATTCTGATATAATACTATTAATAGTGTTATGTGCATATCAAAATGTTTGGACGATTTTTTTTTTTCGAATACTGTTTAAATATTCCATTAATAGCCTTATGATTGAAAAAATATCCAAAATATATTTTACACAAAATAAATCTCGGTAAATAATCTCTGGATCGTGATGGAAAAAATCACACTGTACAGTACGATTGTGTGGGATGGAGAGACAAGAGAAAAAAAAATGTAAAAACATTTATGATAATGGAAAACGGACAGTCGGTTTTTATCCACATGACCTAAATCATCGCGGACGGCCGGTAAACTGGCGGACAAGGGCCGAGGGTGTAATATGTAAGAATGCAGAGCCGATGTTAACAAAAAAATGATAGAGGGAAGGTGATTATAAAAATTGTTTGAATTGAACAATTTATTTTGTCTTTCGATAAACAATAATACGTATTATAATAGGTACAATTTACAATGATAATAATACCGTAAATAATCATTAGAGCCGTGAATGAACTGCACTAAAACAAAACCTTAAACTAATCATTTAATTGGCAAAATGCGATTTGAAACTCGAAACAAAATTCCCGTGAACAGCGTATAATACATTTACTGTACGAGTAGGAAAGATGTTCGTTTCGGTAGTTTCGTCTTCCAACCCCTAAATGGGAGTTTTAGAGAATTCAAATGCGTTTTCTAAAGGTTTTTGACGCATTAAATTCACAGCCTTCAGTGGCGGATTAACGGAGGAGGGTGGGGAGGGGGCATAATATCGATATAATTTCAATACAATTTAATCTAAAAAAGAGGCGTCTATTAACAGATCTACCTTTGACTTTTTCAGGACTCTTCCAAAAAAATATGTTTAAAATCGGCCACTAACATTCCCATAGTTATCACGATAATCATCATCATCGTCATCATATTCTAAAGCCGGAGCGTTGTCAGCAGAACCAAATTTGTTTATCGAAAGCTGCTCTTTTCGTTCGGCAATTCACGCGACGATAAAACGACGAACGAACAAAATATGCATTGTTACATATTGCAGTGGGGCCGACGACTTTAAAATAACGGTACAGTTTATGGATTTCCGAGTCTGGGCGACGGTGCCCTGTCCCGGGGACTGGAGAGGGTTCGCTCGGGGAGGCGGTGGCGGGAGACCGTGGCGGTATATTATCGTTATACTTACCGGGCGACAGAGAGGCGCCGGGCCGGTCGCCCGGTGCCAACCACACACGCGAATCCCACACGCCGCCCGCCTACCCGCGTTCCATTGTGCACCTTTTAATATTATTTTCGACTTGTAAGTATGGAACGCGCCTTAAGTGTAGAAAACGTAATAAATAATATTATAATGTATATGGGTAAGCAAGTGTAACGGCGTCGGCACGCGGTTTATGTAACACCGGTTTTGCCTACACCATCCGGTCGTCGGAACAGTGTCACGCCGATAATGCGTATTACGGATGAGGGGAAAGCGGGAGGAGGTGGGGAGACGGTTAGGGGGTCTCGACCTCCTCCTCTCGGGATCCCGGTATTTATTGTGTTACATTGTTATTATTATTATTAAATTTGTTTCGAGGTTAGCGCAGCAAATATAGCAGATTAGAGTGCAGGTAGAGAGGGAGAGAGAAGGAAAAGACAACACTTGGCTGTAATGTTTTTACAATAATAGGTAAGAAAATAATAATACGACCGCGTTACCTGTGATCATGGCGTTCCGATTTCGTGCCGAGTACATGGTGATGAGCGCGGCGCGTTAAATCGTCGCCGTCGTCGGGTTTTTCATGATTTTCTGCACGACAGATGGTCAAGTCGAACACGCACTCGAAAAAACGGTAAACGTTTCTATAGGCAGGTACCTAGGCGTTATAATTTCAGACGTCGATCGCTTTGCCGTTTTCGGTTTTTTTCCCGCCCCGGAGAAATCGTTTCGTCGATAATAATACTGTTCGCATTACGTGTGGTACCGTCCGAGCAGAAAAACCCGCGAACTAATAACGTAAATATCGCGGAAAAAAAATACACGCGCGCGCGCGCGCACAGACAGGAGACCCGGAGGAGACAGGTACTGACCGCGGTGGACCGGCAAACGGTTGTGGCGGCGGACAAACCGCTTTGCCGGACCGATTCCGCGCTGCCCGTTCGCTTCTTTGGCGGCCGCCGCGCCGCGCGGTGGGGTACGCAGGCGGCGGCGGCGGCGGCGGCGGCGGCGGTACAACAACATCGCCACCACTGCCGTCTTGAGTCCTCTTCACTGTTTTTTTTTTTCTTTTCTTTTTTTTTTTCGATTTTCTAAACAGTCAACCGCACGCGCATTTTTATAGTTTTTCATACTTACACATATTATAGTTACGCGCGCGCATTCACACACACACACACATGCGTATATAATATATTTTTATTATTATTATTATTGTTGTTGTTGTTGTTGTTGTGTACGACCACGACGACTGTATACGTAGGTATAAAATGTTATTTTGTGTGTATCTAATATTTACTGACGACCGTATTATTATATTATATATTATAGGTATACGCGTAATAATGTTGGCGTCCCGAGGCGGCGCGCGTGTAGTTGACGGAACGTTTACGTACCTTACACACAGACAGTACAAACGTCGTGCCCAATATCGTTATATTTTCATAAAATATTTCGTTTACCGTTTACGTTACACGTGTAAGTGTCGCAGTGGCGCGGAGAAGGGGTTTTCAGTTAGGCGTTATGGTTGGAAATCGCAGGTCGGACGGCCGGGCTAGTGTAGGTTGGTAAAAATAATGTCAACAATAATATATTGTAGGCGTTTGCCGCAGAGTTGGACGAGTCATGGGTATTTTGAAATCGAATCGACTCGAGTAAAGTATTAATTTTTTCAAGTATTGAACGAAAATTCGTCAAGACGAGTACTCGACCAACTCTATATAAAACACAAAAATGTCGTACCGTGATAATTTAGTATTACAATAATAGTCTATATTTGTAAATTTAAACCATGGTATTTTTTATTGGAAACACGGGCGTCCGCAGACTTTTTTCCAGGGAAAAGGGGGCAAACATAATTTTAAAAATGAATAGTGTTTTTTTAATTAATTTGTTTTTCTTTGAGTTTACTCGTTCGCGATGAACACTTAACATACATAGCCCACTTAGTCTATGTTCACCCATCGTTGATCGAAGGCATGTTTTAACACACCTTAAAGCACTAAAAGAACGGTCTGCTGAACAACTTGTAGCTGATAGAGAGATAAATATTTCCAAAGCAGTTTCTCTACTTGGGAAAAATGTTCAGTTACTATTTTAAAAATCAATAAATTTAATGTCTTGGCAGTCCTAATTTTGTCAACAATTTTTACAATTTTCTGCTTCAGAAAATCCGTATACTTTTTTAACGCTCTCGAAAAATATTTATTTTTCGAATTGTTTAAAATTTGTGAGGTAAAGATATTGTAATAAAAAAGCATTATTATTTTTTTTTTTTTTTCAAAACGTTCTTTCATGAATTGTGTAATTGAATCAAGATATAGTATAAAAACTGAACCTCAGTAATAATCTTTACAACATTTAGTTTCATAATTTGTTCTTAGTGAATGTTTTTTTTTTTTTTACCGTTCTTGCCTCCTTAGACATGTAATACAAATATCTATAGAAAATGTTCCAGCTATTGGAGCACAACCATCATATCATTGCCCATAAAGTTTATTTAAATCAAGACCACAATCAGTCATAAATGATAAGATCTGTGTAGCTATATATTGAGCATTTAATTTGTAACACGGTGTAAATTCTAAAAAGTTTTCTCAAATTGTTGGTGGATTTGAGTGTTTAAAAATCGAATCCCTACTGATAATTGTTCTATTACAGAACTATCTGCAGTTTCATCAGTAATTATAGAAAAACCATTTGCAGTGTTAGCTAAATGAACTATTTAGTTTTTAATTACTTTTCAATATATAACTATGATATTATTTTGAATATTAGGTGATGTATATTTGGCATTTCCCGCGTGATCCGAAAAATGTTTTGTAACATTTCATCTTCCAATTCAATCCGAAAGATTATAAGAACCTAAAAAATGTCTGAAGTTGATATTTTACCACGTAAAGGAAAATTATAAGTTGCACAAAATAATATGGTTGAAACTATTGGTTTTAATCGTTATCTACTCTTTCATTTGAATTTATTGGTATATTAACTTATTTATTGGTAATATTGATTATTGTACATTTTGTATAAACCCCCCTCCCGACTATTTGATGACATGGTCGCATACACTGATTGTTCTCATATAGTTCTTAACCTCATCCAACAGTCTCTTTTTCAGTCTATCTCTACGCCACTATAATCTAACAATTTTTTTCATTACCGTTCTTACTGCGTCTGATTCCTTTCGCTTCCAGTCTATTTTTTGCACATTTAGTTTAATATAATATCGAAGCATATGTTTTTATATACATTATCTGTTCCTTATCTCATTATTTCTTGCCACTCCATTCATCCACTTAACTATTTAAACATTCTAATCCCTGATACACTCATCTCCGTTCTATTTTAGGATATTCTTTCTGTCACATAAAACATCTGACGTTTCTTTTCACTTGATTTAACCACACTTAATTCTGCGTTTCATATCCTTTTTAAAAACAATTTGGTGAGTAGATTGGAGAAAAATTGCTGGTAAAAAAAAAGTTATCCACAGAAAAATAAAATCGTATTATTCGACTAATATATTTCGACATTTTCTCAGTTTTCCAATGTTTTTTCAGGTTTTCACATTTGCTGGAAAAATTCTTGAGAAAATCGAAAAATTACCTCCTAAAAGTACCTCCCCACACCGATTTCCTTTCAGAAAAGGTACTACACTTAAAAATCGGAGCAAGATTTCTAGCTGCGCACAGATAAAAAAAAATTAAAAATATTTGTAAAACCATAAGCTTCTTCGCTCCATTTAGAATCTAAAACGTCAATCCATTGTTGATGAAATTTACTTTTCCTTTGAAATCGGCGACTGACGGTTTAATTACTTTTTCTTCGATAAAAATGTAGCTTTCGCACGGGGTACGTATATTTTTAATGGCTATTCTATATCATTGTTACAAGACATCGCTGTAGACGAATAGGGTAAACAAAATGATATTGTGTTACGATCATTTTACATTCGTCAACATTCCTATCCCTAAATTTAAAAAGTGTTTAATTTATTATTGTATTGTTTTTATCAAAATTAAAATGTTTGATCATTTTTTGACAACTTATTTTTCGATTTTTTCTTAATAATTTAACTTTAACCAGTTAAGTCAAGTGAAAAAAAAAAACGTAAACTAATTAACATGTTAAAAGTCAATATTTGAAAATATAATTAGATAACCAATCATTAAATTGACTTATTATTATTAATTTTTAGCTATTAATATTTTTAATATTAAAGCGAATATAATTAAACTAAGAATTAGCAATTTTTTTTGAAAATTAAGTTAATCAGGTTTTAAACATTACAGTAGCTAAACTTACGAGGATAGTAAAACCAAGAGTTTAATTTTCATAATTGAGTTGTATTAGTGAATACACAGTTGTTATAAAATAATAATAATAAGTCTGCAGAATAGCATATTATAGTATTATTTAAACCTCGTTCATTATATTATTACCATGACCAAATGACTGACGACCTAGTTTGTCAACTATCGTGTAGGCTGAAATGCAACGCACAAAAATATATTTTAATTTTTTTCTATTGTTTTGCGTGTAAATTAATTTTAATTTTAAATGATTATGTTTCATTATAAAAAATATAACAATAATATTTATTCATACTTTTCATCTATATAATAACAGATTTCCATATTACGCCTCTGAGTGCTGAGAAGAAGTTTGATTAAAATTCCAGTTTGAAATATATAATTAACGGATCCGGATTAATCTGTTTAATCTAGATTGACGAATTTGATTCGAATATGTGTACTTTTTTATATTTTTATATATTTTTTTAATTATATCATATTATATAGTATCTACTGTTTTGTTATTTGTTTATCAAACGAAAAATCAATGTTAAAGTCGAATAAACAATATTACCAATTATGTTATTTTATCAAATGACAGTGAAATGTTCAGTTAACTGAGTCTTAGTTAAAACCTAACTATATAAATTTTATTGTATTAATGTAGCAATATAAACATTCGATAAAAACTTTAAGTCTCACGATTATTTATTATAGGATTACATCAGTTAAATAAAAAACCATTTTAACAGAAGCCATAACAATATTGTAGAGTTTTAAAACCTAATGAGTAAAAGCTATTGATGACTGGTCTTTAATTCAGAATTTTTCATGCAGTTATTTATATAAAAATAATGTTTTACAATTTATATTAACTGTGTTGATATATGTTGTTATTAATTAAACAACATACAATATAATATAATGATGTATAAATGCATAACTTTTTGTTTTTTTTTTTTGTTGTGGACAACTTTTCCACCAGTAATTTTGCTCTTATTTTTAACGATAAAACTTTTTCTGAATGAAAATCTGACAGCAGTGGTACTTTAGGGAGGTTGTTTTTTGAATTTCCCTGGAGTTTTGAGAAACCTGGAAAAAACGAAGGAAAACGTGAAAATAGGTACAATATTAAACAAATAATATTAAAGGAAATATATAATGCCTATTTAATTATTTTACTATAATATGATATAATATTGTTGACAACGTATCACTATCAACTGAACTCTGCTAAGAATCATTTTTAATAATATTATTTTAGTTTATATTTCTAAGTCTGTATTAATATCAAAACTTATATTATGGTTATTTTCTAAAGCATGTTTAGCGAAATTTGAATTTTATAATTTTTCTTTTGTAATTTTATTTTAGAAATGTGTGCTTTTTATCTTATTTTAAAATTCTTATTTGTCTTACCTATATACAGTTTAAATTTAAATACTATTCAACAAAGCCATAAACGTATTAAAGAAAATATAATATACAATTCGCCAAATAATGTTGTTAACTTTTGTAGCATGAAATATCAAAATAATAATTCTAACAAATTCTCTAAAATTCTAAACATTAACACAAGTAATGTAAAAATCGCCAAGCCTAATAATAATTTAATCAAACATATAAACAATAGAACTAAAAACATCGCAAACAATCCTTATTCTTTTGAAAATGCTGGTATATATAAACTTAAATATACCTGTAATAAATTTTATATAGATAAGGCAAATAGAAATTTTAAAATAATATATAAAGAACACATTTTTTGAAATAAAATTTAAAAAGGCTATTCCTAATTTTAATTTCGTTCTTTTTAGTTTTAGAAAATAATGATAATATATGCTTTGATATTAATACATATTCCATAGCAAATTGAAATAACTAAATATCAAGGCTGTGCAAGTTAATGATATTTTTTAACTCATTTTATAACCTTATTATTATTATTTAAGATTCTGAATGCAGCGAAAAAATTTATGGTTTTACAAAGATAGTTTTTTTTTTCTGTAAATAACTTTTCAACCAGAAGACTTGCTCGAATTTTCAAACGTAGCACATTTTTTGAAAGGGAATCGGAGTGTAGAGGTACTTTAATGAGGTCATTTTTCGATTTTCTCAGGAAATTTCCCAGCAAATGTGAAAAACCAGGATAAAACATGGGAAAACTGGAAAAAACTATTTAACTTGTAAATGCCCAGCCTTGAAACTATATATTATTATTGGAAATTTCTACCTTTGTTATTTGAATGCAGCAAGTCACTATACATTTTAGATATTTTATCTGCAAAAAAATGATTACCTACTCTGAGCAAAACTTTTAAATTAAATTTAATATTCATATTTTAACAAATGAAAGTTGAATCATTTGATGCAATATTGGAATATATTTTTTTTTTTTACTTATTTTTATAGACTTTCTATACCTACAACTTTTAAATTTTAATAAAGATCATAAATAAAATAGAATATTTTTCTATTGACTATTATAAATAATTTTGTATTGGCATTTAAATATATACCAAGAAGAAGTAAAAGGTAATGTGATAATATATTTTTACGCTACAATAAATTATTTTAATCAATATGCTTCGTGTGTCTTATTTTGTTTTAGATAAAACAGTGTAGTTTGATTACCTTTAAAAACCTTTTCTTATTCTTTAATTAGATGTCTTATTTTGCCAGACATTCTAATTTTTTTTTTAATGAGGTTTCGTTATAAAAACAAAAATAATGACACTTGACATTGGTCGATTAGATTAACCCCTTGGTGCATATTGGTAATATAATACCAATACACCATGTATTAAATACGTGTATTTATATCACAGTTTAAGATAAATTCTATGTTCTATATAACCGTGATTTATACATTTTGTTACCATGTAGAGGCAAATGAGTTAAGTTAAAGTTAGTAACTAAAATAGCAAATTAGTTAGTGAAGTTAATAAGTTAAATTAACTTAAAATGACAACGACGGATATTAATAATATCACGATATTATTATCATTCTACTATTACTTATTTAATAGTATTTATTGGCGGTAACGGTAAAATGTGGTATTTGTCTAATATTTATGCAATAATAACGTCACTTTGAGTAATTTAGTTGCCTATATCAGCGTTTCCCAACCATTGGGTTATGAGTAATTGAATGGGCATTTTTTTTCCATTTTGTTATAAGTTCCTTATAAAGTTATTTTATTTATAATAAAAATGTTAATATGAATCGCTTGTTTGTACAGATTAAGTTGGTTTAAGACCACCTAAAAATTGATTTACTCGGACCTTCAGGGCCTTAGTCCACCCCTGTGAGTATTTTTTATTTGTTGCGTCTGTAAACAGTTATTTACAGTGTAAAAGTGTATTTATTACTAAAAATAAAAAATAAAATAATGTTATTGAAATGCTATTAAATTACTATACTTAAATATTTGTCTACTATAAATCTTGGTCTGATTGTTATGATCACATTGCTATAGTATATTGTATAGTAGTATAAGCCCTTTGTATTTAAGCATAAGAGTACATTATTTTTAGTTTATCGATAACGCCTAATGTGTAGGCGGCTCTGAGAATATTGTAGCCATACGGTACCTGCAAGAGAGCCGCGCAGTCAGTCGAGCTACCACTTTTAAAACTGTACGCCGTCTCGACGACTATTATAATGTAATACACTTTAATTATATAGTTCGACTCACATTAAAATTATATTAGTAACCAAAAATCCTTAGAACTGTTTTGTTGTACTTTCTCCTAAAAATTGGATCCTCACATTACCGAACAAATAAAACAACCCGTACGAGTACAACAACTCGTACAGGCACAACACGATCATCAAATTCACGAATAGCTTTTAATAGCAAATCTTGTCTAATTAATTTTTTTATATTCCTTTTAATAATTAAGAAAATGAGAGAAAGAACGAACACATTTAGACAATAATGGTTTTATTGTTTTTGATGTATTCGCCACGCCGTCATACGAATTATATTCTACTTTTTTCCTCTTACTCAAACTTAAAAGTAGATTATCTCGTCAACGGGTTAGTGGAATTTCAAAATGTCAAAATTAAAACTTCATTTATTAGCGGGATTTTTTTTCAAATAGGTTTCTATTTGAAAATTAAATGGATACTAGTTTCACTACTGAAATAAAAGTGACGAAAAATAAAGATAAAGTAAAATTTTAGAGCTGAATGTTTCCTTAATGTTTTTTAATAAATTTCAAAAAATGTTAGACTTTCCAAGTATCTTGCATTGCGTTGATAGATCAATCCGATAGATAAAAGCGATTATTATGTATACATTCTATTGATTAATTGAATACCTCTCAAGTACAAATAATATTTGTTGATGTTAAGATAATATCATTTAAAACTGATAAATTCGGTTTACAGTCTTATTTCATATTAAGTTGTTCGATTTTATTATATTTCACAATATTATTGTCACTCATTTATTTTCAAAAAAAAAAAAAATGGCTATTTCTGAGCTACTATTTATAGCAATTTTAGTTTTTAGTTTTAGTATTAAGTGAATAAAATTGTTTTAGCTTCTCAAAAATACTTGAAAATTGAATCATTTATTAGTAAATTAAAATTTAAGATTGTATTGACGTTTAATTGCAAACAAATTACAAATTATTCTAAGTGTTTAAATCAAAATTAACAGAAATATTGAAATTACATAAATATTTCATTTTTTTTTTTCAGTTTCCTTCCATTACAGCAAGTGTATAGTACTGAAAAATGAGTACCGAATGAGTATTTAGAATACTTAAAAATGATTAATATGCATAAATTATATTCAAAATGTTGACAAGAAAATTGCTATCTCACTTTTAATTGGAATAACATTTATATTTGTTTATAGAATATTGCTTACGAAAAAACGATTCTGAGCGAAGTTTAGTTGATGGTGATGCTTTGTGAACAATATATATGCCGTATATATATCAACATACAAAAAAAAAACAAAACAATTTTTAGTTTGGTATCTAAAAAAACCAATACGATCATTTAAATATATTACCTACGAGCAAAAATATGAACAAATATAAATCGTCATAAAAAATGTGTTAAAAGTAGGTATGTTAATCAATTAGTTTTATAGGTACCTATACATTTTTATTTACATTATACAGGCAATTTGACATGTCATACAAAAATCGTGTTAATAAATTATCAATTAATAATTACATAGGTAGTAAACAAAAAAAAATGTGCATTAATTATTATATTATAATATAAACGAGTAGGTCGATCTATACACTTTAAAAATATTCTATAGGTTCTGATTTTATTTTTTTTACAACGATTTTAACACATTTTCAATAAAAGTATGTTTTTATCACGTCTAATATTGCTTATACTATTACAACAGTCATTCATCGCCAGAACTAGTAAGTAATAAATTAATACATTGAAAATTTCGTATTTTACATAATGTGAAGAAATTACAAATATAAAGTATAAGTTACGTTTATAGACGAGTAATATATTATACTAGCAATAATGATTAAACTTCACAAATTAGTGTTATTAAAAATAATAATTTTGTAATCTGTTTAGTTTCTCAAATAGTAGGAGATTCGGCTAAAATACCTCAAATATCTCAAACACCTCAATCGATATGTTCTTATAGAATAACGTGTGATATCAAAATGAAAAGAGATGACATGGATCAGGTGTCTCCATTATGTACAGCACTTGCATCATCCAACAACACTGAAGGTTGGTTTATATTGATATTTATAATTTTTATAATTCGGCAATTTCAAAGAACCTAAAGATTAATTTAAAGTTAAAAGTTTTTTTAACAAGTTTTTCGTCACGAGAAGTATGTAGGTTTTTGATAAATGATTTACTACTATGTTATTATTATTATATCATAATATGTCATGTCAATTAAAAACAGTGTAGAATAAAGCCTAATTCACACTTGCATGGCACGGCATAAGGCGGCATAACGCGGCATAACACGGCATAACACGACAAACAAAAATGAGAAATTTATATGTGATTGACCAGTAATGCCAGATACATACATAGTTATACTACTTAAAATCAATATTAGTTTGATTACAGTTTTTGTTTTGATCAGTTTTTTTTTTTATTTTAACTCTTTTTCGGCACGAGAAGGGTTGAGTTATAGAGTTAAAATGTTTACAACATTATGTTTTTCCATCACTTAAAAAATATATATAAACATTTTAAATTTCATAATGAAGTGCTTTTGGATCAACCTAATTTATTTTTACTATATAAAATATATTTAAATATATATAAAAATATGTATGTTTCAATTTAATTAAATTTTTTAACAGAACAAAACAATTATTTGCTAGAATGTTTTGTTATATGGATAAGTATGTATTATCGTAAACAATTATAATGCTAGAATATTTTTTCGTATCTTGCCGTGCCGTATGCTCTAACCGTGCAAATCGGAATTAAGACAAATAAAATTAAAAAAGAGTAGATATTGTTGATGGATGCGCTACTATTGGAAGTAAGAAGTTAGGAAGATTAGATACATAAGGTTATTTAATTTAAATCTGTAACGAAAGATAAATTATTGCTAACGAAAAACGATTTGGATTGAATTTCGGTTATATTTGTTTTAAAAAGCTATAATATTTACGATTTTCGTCAAAATTTTATTTTAAATCTCTTATAAAAAAAAAGTTCAATTATATACTTATTGTTTTATTAACACTAAGTACGAATTATAATAAACCTCCTATCAAATTTTCAATCTTGTTTAGTCGAATAATTTTATCCGCAGAGTACCTACCAAATAAAAATTATGTTAAAATCTAATGAAATTAAAATATTCAAAATAGATCGCAAATGTCTCAAAAGTTTTCAAAATTTTAAAAATATTGAAAAGGTAAACGTACATTTTCTGTCGAAATTTCAAATGTCTGCTAATATTTTTAACTGAATTAAATTTTAAAAATAAAATTTAAATTAATGAAAAAATTATTTTCGTAAATTTTCCGGTCTTTCTACGTATTATATGAATTTGATCGATTGTTTAAAAAAAACCACAAAGAGAATCAAAACACGACTTACTTGATCCCCAACTAAATTAAAAATGGAACAAAAAAGGACTCTTGTCGTTTATCTATCAGAGCAATACATATGGCGGAAAAAAAAAATTTAAACCAATGAAATCGATAACACCGCAGCATGCCATAAATATTTTCCATTTTACTTATAATTTTCTTTCGGGTTTTTTCCATTTATTTAGAAAACCACTCGAAAAATCAAAAAATGACCTCTCTAGTCCACTAATTAAAACAAAATTTCCTTTTAGAAAAGGTACTATACTCTATACTTGGTGTTCCGATATTATATCGCACAACTTGTAAAATTTTGAATCGGTATTAAACATTGTTATGGCACGTATAATTTCACAAAATAACAAAAGTGAATTTCCAAAATAAAAATCATAATATTTTGTGGCTTATAAAACATATCATTAAGAGGCCACAGGGATGACGCTTCTATTTATTATGACGAACATAAAGATTTTAATAACAGTGTTATGATACAAAAAGGGACTTGAAGGCTTTGTTACAATTTCGAATTGACGCAGGAGATAAAATTTTCGAAGAACATTTAAATACATCACAATGTAATGCAACTTTTATGAGTAAGACTATACAAAATAATTTAATAGATCGCTGTGGATATTTCATTAAATAAAAAAATCAGTAACAATTTATAAAAAACATATAGCAAAATTATATAGTGTTTTAGCTGATGAAAAATCGATAATAGTATATCTGAACAATTTACATTTTATGTTGAATATTTTGATGCAGATAAGTGTTTTGAAGAAGACAATTTTCATAGATTCGCAAAAGTTGAAAACGTTACTGGAGAAAATTTGACTAATATTAAAATACAATTAATACAATTAATAATACAATTAAAAGTTAATAATTTTGATATTTTATATCCACAAGGATAATGGTATGATGAAATAACCAACATGAATGGTGCATTTAAGGAGTACAGAGTTGTGAAATTACAACCCTTTGCTTTCTATACTCATTGTGTAAACCATTAAATTTTGTATCAAATAAAGCTAGTTCTGTTACTCCAATACGTAATGCAATTGATATAATTACAAATATTAATTCCTTGAGAGAATCTGATTTAAGAATAAAACATTAAAGTTTAAAAATAACAGAACTTTTTCCAGCTCAAAAAACAGTGAAGGCTAAACAATTATGTAAAACTCGCTGGATCAAAAGGCATAAAGTGGTTTTACATTTTTTAGAAATATTACCAGCTATAGAAAGTACATTGGATGATTTAAGTTCTAATAACTATGCAAGTAACGATGCTTATTCACTATCCAGATCAATTTGCAATTTGCTATATACACGATAGAGTCTATTAAATCTGTATTGAACACAATGAGAAATAATTCGGCAAATCGATTTAAAATTTGTTTTGACTAAACTAAAATCATAGCTAAAAAACTGGATGTTGAAATACGGACTCCAAGAATAACAAACATACAACGACATCGAGCAATCGCCTACCGTAAATATCCATCTGAATATTATCGAATAAATCATTTATATACACCTGAATGAAAGAATATTAGAATATAAGAAATATTAAACGCCACTCAAAAATATGAATCAGGTTTACCCAGTAGTATTGAATTACTTCGTGGAGATGTGTTTATGGAAAGAGTTACGGAGGAAAAAAATTTGAAAAACCGATACTCCTCTAGAAGCTTACAAATGTGCATCTAAGATTCCTAAAATTCTAAAAATATTATGTATTATACCCTTGACAACAAATTCACAGCGATAATTCAGTTCATTGGAACGAATCAAAACCTATTTATGGTCTACAATGAATCAGAATAGATTTAATGGATTAGCGATGCTGTATATTAATAAAGCATATAATCAATACAATTAATAAAGATATAGCTGTAACCCCAGAAAAGTCATTGGACATTTTGCAAAAAAAACATAAAAGAAAACTTCAATTACATTTGAAATTATTAGGTATTAATATATATGTATGTTTTTCATTTATATATTTTATAATTTATTTACTATAATATAAATAATGTGACCCCTTTTAAAAAAAATTCTGGATCCGCCACTACAATAACTGTAATAACAAATATAAATCATAGTTTGTCGGGAGTTTGTACATAGTATCTATAGCATAATGATCTATCACTATAACCACTATTATTACATTCAAATTGATATGCAACTTACATTGTACATTGCATCAGTTTTACAATCGGTTTGGAAAAAACAATTGGCCAATATTTATATCGGTTATCGGTGTTGGACTAATTATTATATATAGTTTAATAAACGTAATAAATTAAAATAATATCATAAAAGTAATAAAAACTCAACAAATCCAAAATATATTTTTTTAAATAAATATTTCAAAAATAACTAAACTCAACAATATTATAAAATGCATAAATATGTGAGTACATGTTTTATAGTAAATAAAATAAAAATCTTCTATGCTTTGATTTAGCAAAACTATCTGTACTCGGTAGTTGGTAATTACTATAATAAACAGCAATATCATATTACTTATAACCGTCTTCGTTAAAATTATATGTGATACCAAAACACTTTTGTAAATTACAAAATTAACGTTTTAGAATATAAATAATATGAATTTAACTATATCTACACATATTAGGTGTGCTAAACAAAAATGTATGGTACCCTTTTGCATACCATTGAATCCCGAAAATGATGCTCCTGCTAATAATGAACTTTGTATTAAACTGTCACCATTTCAAACAATCGTATCTATATAGTACATATCAATGTAAAAATCCATTTTATCCATTTGCTAATAACTCTGTCAATATTCATTTTATTTTTTCGGTGGGGAAAAAAACTTAACAGAGGAATATCTGGTCAATTGATTTATGGAAATAAACAATTTCAACAGCAAAATGTATTTAAATTAACAATCGATTTTTTAATGGAATTTTTAACATAGGTTATCTTTTCAAAATCAAAAGTTGATGTAGTTGTTTCCCCCAAAAATATTATTTTGTTGTTGAGTGTGTACTGATAGTTTCTGCATTCAAGTGAATCCTCTAAATCATACGAGTTTCTGTGACAGCGGTTTTACCCATAGGCATGTGCAAACCTTGTTGGCAGGAGGGACAGAATATACAGAATGTTTCACTAAGCGTGCTCATCTCATTTTTTATTGTTACAATTTGTATATATTCAAATTCAAAGTAGCATAGGCGCACATTAGGTGTAAATTAAGGAGGCACCAGAATAATTTACAGTACATATATCCATGCACCCAACACTCCCATAATTCTACAATAATCAACATTTAAATTAAATATACTTGTATATAGACAAATTTATTTATTTAATTTTTCGTATTGCTCATATAGATCAAAGCAGTCGCAGTTCAGGGAGTTCGCCAGTCCCTATTTATACAGCATTAAATTACATCTTGCATATCCTGTTCTGAACCTAATTAGTCGACACCAAAAATGTTTAGGTAGTTAAACCAGTTCGTTGTTATAGGTATAACTGTATAACTGTAAGCAATGGTAAACCACTGCTTATGAAAAAAACGATTTTGAGTGGAGTTCAGTCGATAGTGATGTTTTGTCAATAATAAACATGGCATATTATGGTAAAATAATTAAAAACGCTTTATATATTTTCTTAAATGATATTAATTTAATATTCTACCTATTTTCCCGTTTTTCATACGGTTTTCCCGTGTTTTTCCCGGTTTTTCAAATTTGCTGAGAAAATTCCGAGAAAAATCAAAAAGCGATCTCTTTAAAGTACTTCCCTAGTGAAATTTCTTTTTAGAAAAATAGTTATTATTAAAAGCTAGAGCAAAATTGGTAATAGGAAAGTTGTCCACAGGGAAAAAAAGAACGTAATATTTTTGACTAATTACTACATTTCTTACATCTTGCGTCGGGGGTTCCTCCTTTTGATAGTCATGAAGAGTAGTTTGATCCAATGGTGTGGTCCAAATTCTAGCTTAGGCGTGTCAATGATTTTGGTGAGTAAGCCTTTGAGGGCCACCTTTAGAGGTCTTTCAGTGGCTATGGGACCATGTGGTAATGGCAGTCGGTGTTTGTCTTCTGTAGGTATTTTTAAACAATTCGGTAGACCTCGGTGTCCACGCACTTGAGCTTAATGCCGGTTCCGTGAACCCTAGCCTGGAGGCAAGGTGGATATTAGTTTACCCGCCACTCCTTTCCAGGTGGAGTCCTGGTGAAAAATGGGTGGGATTTTTAGAAAGTGTTTATGGGGAAATTGAGCCAGTTGAGTTGGATATACTCACGGGTTTGGACTTGAATGATGATGATGAAGGTGTTTCACGCTTCCGGAAATCCGTGTTATTACGGCCCCATAACGATAAGCCATTAATTTGAGTTCATCAAAGAATTATATATTTAACTTTTCCAATAGTGTCACATTAGATAATCTTATATCCAGTGGTTATCTTATAGTTAGTGATGTTATTTTTTATTTATTATTACATAATTTATTACGTATTCAAAATATATAATCTATAATTACTGATTAATGTTATACAAAATTTTATTTTCTATTTGATATTGCAAAATTTTGTATTATAATTTTTAGTTAATTCGTGAACTATTTTGAATGGAAAAAAGTTAATATTTTATCCAAAGCAATAAACCATAATAATTTATAAATGATTAGTGAAATAGTGAAATAAATTACGTAGAAAAATTGAGGGTGCTAAATTAAGACTGAGGGTCTTAGGTATTGGTCGACTTTGGACAGATTTTATCTTTTACATTTTACGTGCAATAAATAAACATAAGTAATAATAGATTTGATAATTATATAATATAATTAAATTTAACGTAACTATTCATATTTTATTAAAATATACAGTATTACCTAATATTCATAAAAAACCGATGGTATTATATTATGTTTTAGCCAACATCCAAGGTTTAAAACCACTTAGAACACAAGTACCACCATTACCGTTTATGCGTGTTTATAAACTGAAGTATGAACAATGGGACGATGTTTTCAAAAATGCTGGAGAGTTGACCATCGATACAATTTCTCAAGCAATAACAAATGACGGTTTATGCGCTGTGGCTTTTGATAAGATGTATAGTGTATGTAAATTATATTGGTTTTTAAATTCTAAATGGCATTAAAATTTATAATATGATTATAATTACGTTTTTTTTAAAAAAAAGCAGGACTTAAATCGAAAAAAAAATTTTGGATTAAATTTCGATTTTGATTACCATTTTTGAATTTGTTAAAATTTGATTTTGATTCTGTTTACCGGTTTTTCATTTGTTCAATCTTGTAAATCGGTTTTGAATTTGCGTGGTTTGAATTTTGATTCAGATACTGGTATCAATTTTTAACAGGAATTTTAAATATAGTTATGAATTTTTTTTCAACTATTTTGACGAAATGATCATGTTTTTATTTAAAAAATGGTTTGTTTTCGAAAACCATGTACCAGGCTATCAATGTTGAGTGCGATAATGGAACATATTTTATTTCCTTATGAAATATTAAGTGTTTATAAACTAAAAATTAAAATTAAAATTTTGATATTTATTAATTGATTTGGTTTTTTGGTTCTTTTAGATTCTGAGCGTTGCGAGGGAGCTTTTGGTTTTACAATGCTGTTTATTTTTATTTGTTTTTTCTTTGTTCTAGTCTGTGGACACGTTTTTTCTTGGTAAACAAATTTAAAAATCAAAAGACACTTTTTTTATTTACTTTCTTACGGTTTCTTTGCCAAAACTTTTGAGCTACTGTTGAACTTTTAAGGAATTTTAATTTTTAGAAGTTTTTTACTGTAATTCGGTTATAAATACACATACAGACTTGAACTTGGTCATAATACTTATCTTGGGCTTACCTAAATGTGGTAAAATTTCCAAAATTATTAGACGAGTTTTTTCTTTTTAATAATCGTTTTGAAATCAAATTTAAACGAAAATTGTAAACAAAATTACGACACTTAAAATTATGTATTACCGAACTGCACTCGGATTCTTCTTTCGTCAAGCAATGGTTTATGGTTGCTTACAGATATAAATGAAATAATCTTATATATCCTACCTTCCCAACTTTTCACTTACAACAGTGGCCACTCCCAGTATCAGCTTTTTTTTTCATTTTGATATGAATTTTTGAAGATTTCGGTTTCTGTTTTTTTTTCAGATTTGTTTTCAATGCATTTCCTGATTTGAAAATCAGTTTTTATTTTGTCTAATTTTGATTTAAATTTTAGAAATAATTTTTTTTTTTTCAATTTTGTTTTCAATTTCGGAAATAGGTTCTTTTCGATTTCAGTTTTAGTTTTGGAAATCGGTTTTGAATTTTATAGCTTAAAGTTTGATTTTTATGTTGGTATCAATTTTTTAACGGTTTTAATAAGTATTTAAAGTTGATTTCGTAATTGATTTCAATCCCTAGAAAAAAGTTTAAATGTTATTATTGTTATTATTGAGTGTTATTGTTTTGGTCATGATTTATATTTTTCTGATGCAGTCAACCCCCGGTACAAGTGATGACAAAGAGAGATCGGACAAAATTGTAACATTTTTTTGCCAATTAAAAGAAAGGAATCCTGGAATATTGTTTGGAATAGTTTTACCAAAGGATGGCCTCTTAATACATCATGGTGAGTTTTCAGAAATTCTGATATTAAATTTTAAGAGAACTCTCATCTTAACTAACATGAAACATAAAACAATTACATTACTTTGTAACCTACCGGCCCGCTAGGCGCTACTTTGCTCATATAAACCGTGAGCTATTAGAGAGTCGAGGGTCATGCGACAAGCATGAGGACCATTTGTATATTTTCTCGCCGACCGAACACCGAGACGGTTACGCCGGAGTACTTAGAATTTTTTTCTTTTTTTTCTTTTCGGTCAATATAATGATAGGAAGTTGTCATTTTGTATAGGAACCTGAGAAGGGGTAAACAGGGTAATATATATGTATATATATATATATATATTTATACATACCTAATTGTAATAATAAAAAATAACCAGTTTGATTTTGGGGAGAAATAAAAGTTGGTATATTAAGTTATTTTGAAACAAACAAAAAGAAGAGATCAAAATGTTTATATTTATCAGTCAGGTTAACGTGAAAAAAAGCACAAAGCGTAAAAACTTCACTAGAATAATGGGGAACCGTTTGATGTAAGGTCATATACAAAATCATGAATATATAAATAATCGTAATGTCAAAACACATAATGTCAAAAACAATTTGAATATTTTTCATAATTATAGTTATAAATCTGGTGATAGGCACAATAAAGGAGTATGAGAAAAGGAGCATGTGTGTGTATGGTACCTATGCGGATTTTGTCGAGCGCGCAGCGATATTAGACTTATTTACCTAAGGGGTGAATAATTTTCAATATTAACAATTTCTTTTTCTTTTTATATATATATATAATATAATATGTAGAGGAAAGTCTTTTTTTGTTAGTGTCAACCAGGACAGAAGGACAACTGTGGATCTTCTCTTTTGACTATATGTGTATATATATATGTGTATTTTGAGAAGCTCAGCCAGGGTCACTTCTTACCACGTATGTGGAATTACTCCGATGAACGGGTTACCGAAATTTGGTGGTCCATGTTAATATCCCTTGATTGACCTACTGTGAAACCTAGAAAGTTAGGGTGGTTATACGAATGACACCTTGGGACATAGAGTTTTTCCATGTTTTTTCCCGATTTTTCTCATTTATTGGGAAAACTAGTTAAAAAATCAAAAAGTACCTCCCCAGTCAGATTTCCTATGCTATCATTGGAAATTGAAGCAACATTTAATGCTAATAGAAAAATTAGTTGATACGCAATAAACTGAAAAAAGTTCGAACATTTTGAGATTTCCCCCCTCAAGCACAGGGTCCTTGAAGACGAAAACTTAGGATAGATATCCTAGAGTACCCCCAAATAATTTTTCAATATTTTATTCACTTTGGAATACTTTTCAGGTAAAAAGTGGATATCGACTAGACTAGTAGTTAATATTGCCAACATCAGAAACTAGATTGTTAATTTGTCAAATTTTTTGTATTTTTCTCCTCCGTTATTTTATAAATAGCTTGATGCTTAAAAGTAGCTGAAACTGGGTAGCAGAAAGCATAGCAACCCTACTTTCTTACCTATAAAATAACGAGATAAGATAACCATCTGTAATTAATTATGTAATAACTATCAGTTTTATATCCCTGTGTGTAACACAAATTATGCTGCTAATGCCACTCCTAAAAATAATGGGGATTGTTAATACAAAACAATCCCACTGTTCTAATTAATTACTTTATCTTATTATATAATATATTTTCTGTTTTGTTTATTACTAATTAATATTGTTTTTTTATTCTTATTAATTATTATATATCGCTGTATTATTGTCTATAGATTGTGATAATAATCTCACAAATTGTTTACTTGTGGGCTACTAGCCCGAAATGCTTTAAAATGAATAACGAGGGTGGTAGTGGCGGATCCTAGGGTTGTCAAGGGAGGGGTGTCTTTTGTTTTGTTTTTTTTTTTTTAGTAGATTCTTTTTCATGTTGTACTCAATTATGTATAAAATGCGTTACAATTTATTTAAATAATGAAATATGTAGTATATTTTTGACAAATTAAGTCTTACCTATTCAGGTTTAATTCAATTTAATTTTGACAAAATAACTTAGGTAATATTAATATTTTTATTTAAATTCAAAATTATACTTAACTAACTTAAAATGAACAACTTATGTTTTTATAAAATTAAATCTATAGCTCTAAGCATCAAACCAGTCAATCTTTCTTTGCCCCTTTTTGCTTGTAACCAGGTGTTCAATAGAAAAATATAAAAACTGAAAGCAACAAACAAAAAGTTGAAAACATATTATGTACTAATAAAATCAAACTATAATAGTAGGTACTAACTAATAAATGCTTGTACATTATATTCAATTCGCAAATATTATGACCTTTCAAACATGTTTAACCCAACTCCGTTCAGAATCGTTTTTTATTAGCAATTATTAATTATATACACATTAAATTTCCCCTTTTCCTTCTCAACTTATCTACTACAATGACCCATCCATCGTGTGAAGTATGTTTTTTTTTTTTATTCCTAATTGTCAATCCATTTTACAAGGTACAAAACAAATTATACTTTTCTATACTATTTATCAATTTTAGCATTCGATGTGGCAACGGTGGATGTTGTTGCTGACTTTTATATCGCAAAAACACTTCATTACAGAAAGTGTTTCTACAAGGTGGACCTTCTTAGTGATGAGAATAAAAAAACTACTTATAACACGGATTTGGTAAGAAAATCATTTTTAACCGGTTTTGTTATTTTAAGAACTAGGAAAAAATAATATTTAAATAAAAACCTCGGTAAACATAGAATGGTTATAATATACATACTATTTTAATATTTAATGTAAACAGAAACACGCTAAAAGTATTACATAAATTGACGTTATCAGAAAAGATATATATTATTCAAAATTCGTTATAAATTTACTAATTTTAATAATATTGTAAATGTTAATATTTCTGACAATGTTTGGAATTTTGTGAATTAATCACGCCAAAGCAGCAATCCAAAGAATTTGGATGCAATTTGGTAATAAAATAGAATATGGGGTCTAGGACAAATGGATGCGATCGTCCGGACGTCGCCACATGGATGAGAGGAACATCTAGACGCCGCCGTTAGGGCGCAATAGAAAAACAATAATAATGCAATTAAATGAATACAAATAGAAAAACTCAATACAATTAATATTAAATTCGTATACATAAAAAAAGCATATTGATAATAAAAATGTATTTAAATATTACATATTATTACGAAATTATGGAATGTATGTGCAAAGGTGTTCTCAGGATTTGTTTATTAGGGAGGATATGAAAATGTGTTAAAAAGTTAACCGTGTTGGTTAAGCTCTCACACCCCCTTTCTTATACAAAAACAACATAAATTAAATTATAAAATATTATAATTTTGATTAAAACATTGAATTTAAAATTGGAATTATATAATAATAATGTGAATAGTTTAGATTATTATCTGTGGACTATTGAATAACAGTAAAAATAGAACATAATAATAATAAATCGAATTTTATAAACTTAAAAATAAACTTGCGATAACGTCATAGGAATACCAGATTTCAAAATTAAAAATACGAGACAAACCTATACACCATTGGGTATACAAATTTAACTTTTACATTTTACAAATTTATTTATAACAAAATCAAATATCTACTAATTTAGAAAATGTAAAGATGAAAATGAGATTACAAATATTTTATTTGGTAAATTATTGAGATATAGATAAGGAACTCTTTTTACAGTTTAGTAATAAATGACAATATTCTTACATACAAAACATATTTTTAAAACTTGACAGTAAGCATATCTCTACTTTACTTATTAAAGTTTTAACATTGTTAAATAAAAAGTCATAAATGTGTATATGAAAATAAAAGTAAAAAAAAAAAATAAAAAACAATGTATACTTTTATTAAAAAGATAACAATATAAATTCAATAACAATTTCAAAATCTACAAAATTAGATTAGCAAACCACAAAACTGAAGTTGAAGTAGTTGAAATTAAGACTAAATTATTAAGTAACTATTATTTTGTTATTTATCTCTTGTCACTATTTTCTTTATGCTTACAAAAATAAATAGTGGGTAAAAAATAATATTAATTTTTTGAAGTAAATAATATCATTCATGACTGGTAACTGATAAGAAACTAATAGTTGACAATAAAGTTTGGACCTCGGATATTGATGCTAGAACCAATTTCCGAATCGATCACTGTACGGTAAGCTAAGACTGGTAGGAACTGCATAGCCTTAAATCATATACAATGGATGGAGCCACAGCTCAATATTTTGATTGCGTGTTAGCGACGAGTCGAATTTTATCCTAATGCTTTAATATGATGTGGTAAATATTAAATAGATAACTTAAAGGATAAATGATAATAATGATACACATTTTAATGAATTAAAACTTGAATTTATTGAATTTATAATAAAATAAAATCTGTATAAAGTACCTATAATACATTATAGATAAAAACAAAATATATATGTCGATAATTTGAGATAAATATGTGACTAGTTGCCGACCCGCATACTCCCATGCGCACTAAAGATTACTTACCTGGTAACTCGTTGCTAATACGTACATCATCGATATTATATATAATTTATAGGCTGTGGCTCACTGTTATACATTGTGTAAAGGCATAGGCAGGATGTAGCATTTATATAATCAGTTAATCAGTGGTTGAAAAATATTTTAATCTTGACATTTGAAAACACATTTTAAAAATTATTTACAAATAAGTATAAAACAATAATGTATTATACTTTTACGGGACACACAGGACAAACATTTTATGATATGGGACATTTTCACGATGTTTTATCTGAGACACCGGGACGCTGTCATGAATTACGGGACGTTCCCGAATAATACGGGACGTATGGCATCCCTAGATAACGATGCAATCGTGTATATATATATGTAAAATATATGTAGCACCATTTCTGAATGGAAATATTTTCTAAATCGTGCTTACTGCACAGGACTTACCGTCCTTGTTTAACGTCGTCTCATTTAGCGTTGTTTCGCTATTGCATCGTAGAAGTTTAAGTCCTTATGTTTCGTTTTACACTGCAACGGTTTCATTATAACGTCGTCTGTAATACATGTGTTCATCAAATGTTTGTTATATGTATGTATTTAATATAAATAAATATGAAAAAAAAATATATAAATATTATTTATATATATTCTCTATAAGTCGTATAAACCTATAATATGTGCCTAACTTTTAAATTGCTTAAATTGCTTAAAATGCAGATAAACAGTCAACACTAGACTCATTTTTTAAGAAATAAAATTGTAAATACGTATGTAAATCTAATTATAATAAATAATGAATATGACTATAGTAAAAACAAAGCGACAGTTATTACAACTACCAGTGATAGGATATGTTGGATAACCAAATAAAACAGCCCACCTACAGTATCTGATACAGTTGTATAGATTTGGAAGAGTATAGGTAAATTAGGATTAAGGTTAGAAAAACTAAATGCAGAAGCTGGGTGAACCCACAAAAGGGAGGAAACCAGTAATGTGTGTAGAATATATTTATGCCTTCCACGGTTTTCTACATCAATGATTCCTACTTGACCAACACAGTAGCTTAAAGTGGGGTGCTTATATGTCAGCGTCGCGCTTAATTAATATTGTGAATTAATGTGTGGCGTACTTAGGTGGCAATATTGTTTAAAAAATATTATTTGTGATTGAGCTGGTAATTGTATAACGTCATATTTGATCATTTATTACAAACATTAGATATTTAATGTATTACAACAATTAGTACTATAAATTGTAATATTTAAAAAAACAATACTATTATTATTATTATTTAAAAGCTTTTACAGACCATTTAGACCTTTTGCTCCTTTTACCAGATTACTCTATACATTTTTACTATCTGCATCCTTAATTCCCGTAGTATTGTTTACTTGATTAAAATCTCCCTTTACCTGAACAAATCATATCTGAAACGGTCTTCCACTGGGGCGTAATCTATTTAATTTAGATACTAGCACTTGTCTTATTAGGCTGTTTTTTGAATTGAAACAAGACATTTTTTGATATTGATTCAGTTATAAACTTCAAAACAAAAATGTAGTGATTTAATATTTAAACCTTTTATAATAATTTCTAAATCTAAAATTGTATTTGGTTTCGTTATCTGTGCAACTTTCGTGGAACAAAACCTCCACAGATAACTAGGTATTACTTAAATTTTCCTTTAATCACAGGAGCGAGTATTATTAATTAAATTATAAAAAAAAATACACAACATAATAAAACCTATACAGTCCTGGTTTGACTCACAATCTAAATATGTATTATTTGGGAGATACAGGAATATTTATTTTTTTATCCAATACTGAGTATAGATAATGCCTTATAGAAAAGTTATTTTGTTCATTATGCTTTATTTAGCAGATTTAAAATATTTAAAAACAAAACTGTAAGTGGGGATGGGAGTGACCACTGTTGTAGGTTAGAAGTTGGGAAGGTAGGATACATGCGGTTATTTCATTAATATCAGTAAGAAACGATAAATCGTTTCTGACGATTCCGGGTACAGTTCGGTAATACGTATTGAAGTACCGTAATTTTTTTTGCAATTTTCGTTTAAATTTGATTAAAGTGATTTTATTTATCGAATTATAATAATGCATTTAAAATAATTGCATTATATGATAATGATAGATGAGAGGGAAAGAATGTTTAATTTTACATAACTCTTTAATTTCCTTTCGTTAGGTATCCATTATGTCATAATAAATTGCATTTAAAACATAGTTATATAATTGGTACCTATTTCAAAAATTCAAACTTTTCTCCAATAGGCTTAATTGGAAGAAATTTGCGATTTTTACACTAAAATAATTTATAATTTGAATGATCATATGAATATATTTTAAAATTTAAAATTGTATTATTTAAAGATTTAAAACAAGTTTGATTTTATTTTAAATGTATATTAGGTAAAAATAATACCTTAAACATATTGAATTTTAAATACTTAAATATTTAAACAATTTAAATGACTATCTAATATGATTTTTTGCATTTATAAATTAATCTGAACTAGAAATAAATACAGAATTGTAGAACTATGTTTGAAATTAAATATTTTTTCATTGTTTTAGGAAGATTCAATTAAGCATTTACAAAACCGAAAATACGACTTGAGCAAAACGTTATTGACAATAGACATTAATGCATATAGCTTTAAAGTTAAGGTTTCTGATAATAAACAATTCCAAACTCACACTTATGGAGAAGTAAGTAGATAAATTGAATGTCAAAACAAAAAAATATTATTATTTAGTAAATTATATTCTAATAAGTATACAAGGAGATTTGTTTATTAAAGAACACTCATTATTTCGAAAAGTATTCATTAAAAAAAAAAAAAAAAAAAATGTATTTTTGACAATTGAAGAAACATGCAGATTTAAAATATTACATTAGCATTATTTTTTGTCACGCCCGTATTTTTTAATTTTTTAAAACAACTCTAAGCAACAAATCATGGTTCGTCTATTCGTTGCAAAAAAAATTTAACAAAAGACGAAGTTGTTATTTGAAAATTCGAAATGTAAACTTATTTCAGGTATAAGGAGTAATGATAAAAATTTGTCCTAAGATAATGGAGAAGGGTGCAGTGGCTGTTGTAGGTGGAAAGTGGGGATGGTAGGATACAGAAGGGAATTTATTGTATTTCTGTAAACAACGGTTAACCATTGCTAATAAAAAAACTATTCTAAACCGAGTTTAATTGATAGTGATGCTTTGTGAATAATATTTATGCCTATTATTGTAATATAATTAAAAAGACATTATATATTTTCTTTAATAATATTTCTTTAATCATTACACACATTTTCCCGTTTTTCATGGTTTTCTATTTTTTTCCCCGGTTTTTCACGTTTGCGGGGAAGATTTCTGAAAAAATAAAAAAAATGACCTCCCAAAAATACATCCCAAATCTAATTTCCTGTACATAGCATCTTTGTAAAACTATAACCTTCTTCGCTCCACTCAAAATCTAAAACGTTCATTAAATTAATGTAGGATTTTGTATATTTAACAAAATATATATAAATATATTAACCGTTTAATAGTTTAAAATCAATTTATCATCTATGTATATGATGTATGAGGATTTTACAATATTCGAGGTTTCAGAAATAGTTACTAACTTATAATATTATTTAAAGCAATAGCAACATGATACATGGAATGAGATATGCATAACATATATTTATAATAGTCTTAATGCAGTAAACGTATGGGACACCTTGGCACAATAGATTTGGGGATGTGGAACACGGTTGGCGGTGTGGTTTGTGGAATCTCGATTACGGGCCGTGCCTACGTGGTATTTGGGATATGAGGGGGTATGAGGGGTCACGTGAGTGTCGGATCGAGTGTTGCCTCGCGGAGCAGGATAATGTACGAGGTGATTCATTTAAGTGGGTACACTCATTACCTCTGAAAGTATTAACTTTCTCCAGAATTTGTTTTATAGAACACTTAAGAAACAAGTTGCTCCATAATTTTATATTTGTGTTATTTTTTGTAACCCTTATTTTTGAGGGTAAAACAACTACCTACTTTTGATTAAATAGCAACCCATATTAAAAAGTCCATAAAAATAGATTGAGTATTAGTTAAAATACATTTTTATGTTGCAATTTTTGATTTCTGTCAAGCTGTTGACGAGATATACAACTTTTAATTTTAGGTTGAAGGAGATGGTGTATTATTAACATGTCACGCGTGCCATAACGCCACACTAATGATACTCCATTCCTCCAACCCAAACTTAAAACTAGAATATATTGTCAACGGCTTGACAGAAATCAAGAATTTCAATAGTAAAATTTATCAACAAAATTTAATATTCTCCAATAAATCTTAATTTAATTTTTTCACTTGTTTAAATTATGTACAATATAATCTTCGGTGTCACATCATTTTATCGCGGTAATTTCAATGTTGGTCAAATGAACGCGGTCATTTAATGCAAGATAATAGGGTCCTCTTTTTTTTTAATTTGTATTAAATATTAAATAAATATAATACTTAATAAATGCACACGCATAATAAATAAATTAAAACCATTAAGAACCAATCAATTTTTCACTCGCTGACTTATTATAAATTATAAAGGCATTTTAATAGAAATTATGCGTCGTAAGTATCGGCAATTACTAAACAGTGAACACATAAAATGCATATTTATTATCAATTAAATTTATCGTTCCCAATAATTATAAAGATAGGCATGATCAATTTTCCAATGTATTTTAAAATGTTATATCTAATAATATAATAATTATATAATGTCTGTATATAATCTTTAGAAATATCTAAAATATTGTTACATAATTTGTACATTTATTTTGAAAAAATATCAATTACAATAATTAAAAAAAAAAAATGCGTCAAAATATGCTATGCGCCCAATGTCTCACCTCAAAATAACCGCGTCCATTTGACTCACGTAAAAATTACCGCGTTGAAGTGACGTAGATTCATATTTTTTTACTAAATATTTTCTGTTTCAATTGTAAACAAATCATATTTATTTGTTTTCTATTTACGAAATTTATATTCATACTTGCTACATTAATAATATATTTCTAGTAATAAACTCATAACCTATAACAATGAAAATAAAATAATTCTATTGTTATATTCTACATATTTAAAAAAAATTATATGGTATTAGAAAAATGAATTATTAGGAAATAAGGCATCTAGAGTATCAATATCTATGATAAATGGCATCGAGAAAAAAAACGTTTGGGGGACACGGACTAGACACGGACGTTCAATTCATAATTATATAATCATGGATTCTCAATGAATCTGTAATTTCGGGAGAAGGAGCGGAGTTGCGAGACTCACATACGTCTTTATATTGCTGCCTCAAAACACCTAATAAATATCAGAAATCCGCTGTACGCTTTTTTGATAGACTTTAATCTATCTATTGTATCAATTGCTAAACTCCAAAATTTAATTTTAATTTTTAAATGAAATGGGTAATAGGGCTAGCAGGGGTAGCAGGGCTTTATTTGCGGGGGAGAAGTTCAGGGGTGCGGGGTTAAATATTTTCAAAGTGTAACACTTCTAATTTTTCTTAATTTTCTTAATTAGGTTGAATTCAATTTATCAATTTATTCAATTTTATTCACATTTATCAATCAATATCATCTATTTTACTATTACTTCAATACAATTCATGTTATTAAAATGGTTTAATAGTATAATGTATACTATAAGTAATATAACAGGTGATTTATAATAATGGAAATATCACACTTTGCTTAATTTTAATATTTTCATTAACAATATAATTATTATAATATATTCTTTATAATAATATTCTAGAATCATTATTCCCTCGAAAAGGAGTTAATATTTTGAATTTTTGAATTACATCATAAATATATTAGTATGATAAGCGAATTTAGTAAGAATCACGATTTAAAATTAGTAAAATAACGATCACCTAACTATTACATTTTCTAAAGTTTCCTAAAGTCAACTATGTGTATTTTCAGTTGTGTAGCCATAAAATGTCCAAACATCGTCACATGTGCACAGATACTCTGGAACAGTTTTTTAACAAAGTAAGAAAACACTATATATATATATATATATATATAATAAAACTTAAGTATAGGTAACTATGTGAATATTAAGCGAAAGTAATGGATGTTTTTTTTTAGGCAAAATTGGCTTTTCAATATAAAATGTTGGGTATATATGTAGTGTATTTAGATTCTGATGATGTTGGTGGTAAATGTGGCTGTAGTGATGAACAGAACTCAAAAAATTATCCCATATTAAAAGTTATGGCGAAAGCGTTGGATGGTGCTTTTACAAGTGGTGTTCTAAATAATTGTAATAGTTTCGGGAAGCCTCAACCTGGTGATAGCTAACCTTAATCAATAACATCTATTAATTAAAACACGAAGGTTTATTTTTTAATATACATATATTAAATAAAAAAATAATTTAATTTCACTAATAATACCGAATATTTGTTATTTATTATTTATTACCTTAAAACAAGAATACTTAGTACAAAGTATTAAATATTCAAAAAGTATGAAACATGCATTAACTGAAACGAGGTACATTATATAAATCTATAACTGTAATACCTTATATATTTTGAATATTTGAGTTCTGATTCGTAAACATAGAACTAGATTTCTATACATTTTTATAGATTCTGATTTACAATTTTTTTTCTTATGTATTCTATGTATTTATAATACAAACTTTAATGTTTTTAAATAAAATCCTGTATTATAAAAATACAGTGAAACTTCCATATAACGAAGTCGAATAAACAGCCAAAAAAATTCGTTATATAGAGGAAATCGTTAAATAGAATTACGTTATAAATTTAATTATGTATGTATGTAAAAAACAACATCAAATATCATATTACAGTTTAATTTAATTTTTAACCTTAAATATAATTTAAAAGAAATAATCTGTAAATTTTATTTGCTTATTATTATTGAAAATTGTCCTTCTTTTGTAAAAAAGTTTCTATATCGTCAATTTTTAAAAAATTTCTTCGGGAACATTTGCTTCTTGTCTAAAACCATTTCTTACCACTGATAAAGCGTTTAATATGTCTTCTTCTGTAAGTTTGGATTGTTCTACTAAATGTTCCTCTTCGTCGTCTTCTTCTTCAAATTCATCAGGTTTTTCTTTTTTTCTAACCTCTTCTACAATATTTTCTTTAGTAGGTGATTCATATACGGCGATATCTTCATCAATTTTCAAATAATCTTGTAAGGTAACGCCATCGCAGTGGACTAACCTCCATTCTCGTTGTACATCTAGTATTTCAATATCGGTTTCAATAATTTCCGTCCAGAGCTTGCACGAAAATCGATAAAACCAAATTTCTAAGCAAAATAAATTGCTTTTTCTTTGATTAACGAACCTGATATAGGCAGATTGTTATTTCGTATACAAGTCATCCATTTAAGAACAGCGTTATCAACTTCTTCATAGACACAAATTTTCATTCGTTTTCTATTGCTGAGGAGAGAAGAATTTTATTAACAGTGAAAATTCGGTGCACATAAATTACACCTTGCGTAAAACCGTCTATAAACCGGTATTACTAGCAGAGTATCCCACAGTGTGACATAGCAAAATATCTAGGAATGTTCCTGGACTCTCGGCTCAACTGGAAGAATCACGTTAGACAGAAAAACTGCAAATTAAGAAGAAAATGTGACAACGATATTGGCTGGTCAAAAAACATTCCGAACTAGAGCTCACAAACAAATGCCTCTTGTATGTAATGATAATTAAATCAATATAGACTTATGGAATTCAACTGTGGAGTTGTGCCAGCAAGTCCAATATTGAGATTATACTACGTAGCCAGAACATCCCTCTTCGTACCATTGTCGCAGCTTACAGGTATGACAAAAACGACATTATCCACTTTTTTTTTTCATTATCAGTTATCATGATAATTTAACAGTTATCAGTTACAACTAATATTATCACCTATAGGGATTATCAGTTATCATTATCAGTTACCACTAACATAATTGGATACGCGGAGCCACCGCAAACCGCCGCCCCTCCCCGTATCCGACACTATATATGCACAAACATACTATCACCGCACGAGTGTGTTCGCAGGTATTTTTAGTTATCATTATCAGTTACCGCTAATATTATCATATAGGTACTCAAAAACAATAATTATCTCGATTTTTATTATCGTCCGCGTCTTCGAACGTCGAATCGGTATATAATATAATACATAACAGATGTTTTCATCGGCCGGTCGCCGAGTGTAATTGTCGCGATAATGATAACTGATAATGAAAAAAAAAAAGTGGGCGTGGTCTAAATAGGTCGAGTACGTGGTGGACAAATCGGGCAGCCATGTCAAAGTATAGCTCCTGCTCACCCTTGCTCTTTGATCCTTGATTCTGCTCCTGCTCCTGAGATAGAACCGCTCTTTCTCTTTTTTTTTTTAAATAAATATCATTTAATAAAATGTATGAAGCATATTATGCAATTATTTTATCACGATTTAAATAGTAAAAATACAAAACATAAAAGTGTATTTTGAAAATGGTTCTTAGGTTATGACCATTAATTATAGCTATTTTTTATCATTGTGTTTAATTCTTGAATCTAGTCATTATTGTTTAAAGAGATATTATCTAGTCTGTGCAGTATTTATTTAAAATATGCTAATTTTTGTTAGTGAGAATGACTAGATTGATAAGTTATAATAGCATAAGTTTCCGTAGGTTTTATATAATTATTAATNACGCGACACGGCAGTTAAGCAGTTCGCGGGCTGTATTCAAATTTAAAATGTGGCGGTTTAAAACAGGACGTTACAAGGTATCTAATATCACAATATCATTATGATAATAAAATAGAGTACGAATGTAATACATTTAATTTAAATTGTATACTACATTATATTTATACTATAAAGTTAATTTACCCGCTATCGATAATATTAATTTTTCATTTTTCATTGGAATGTTTTGTGTTGGTCACACTATCTAATTGGGACGCTCGAACAGCTGACTTGTATTTGGTATGTGTAAGTCTTTGCTTGTATAATCATATCTGTTAGTACATTTGTTTTTAATTCTCTTGTTTAAGTTTAAATACGTCTCATTCGATACTGATATATTTATATTACAATAAAATGGATAAAATACCGTGAGTATACTGTTTATTTATAATAATGCGTACAGAGGTAAAATTAATGTAGCTAATAATTTATTTTGATAATTATTATTACATATTCATGATTGACAATCAATATTTCAGGAAACTATGTACCTCTAGGGTACATAGAAGCACCGAAACAAATAATGACTATTACACTCATCTGGTCAATAGAATAATCAAAGAAAGATCAACATATTCTCAGTTCTATCGAGATATCAACATAAGTGAAAAACTAGCCAATAAGTACAACGAAAAGGGCATTTTGTACTTTAAGAGGTGTAAACATAAACGAGCCATAATATGCTTTCAAAAAGGCCTGATGTTGGATTTTAAAAATAATCAGCTACGTGCTAGCCTGTGGAACAATTTGTCTGCTGTAAACTATTTGTTACAAAACTATAAGTACATCGACAAAATTATAACCCAATTCATAGATAAACATTATTTTTAATTTCTACATTTCTCTACTATTAGATCGAGTTTGGCAACTGCTGAGAGAGCCCTTAAATTAATGCCAGGATTTGAAACAGCGATTTTAACAGGTATCAACAGTTGCATTCTCAGGAAAGAGTTTAATAAATCATCATATTATTGTGATATTTATTTGGGAAATCTTTCGGAGGCTGAGGTATGATAAATTTTTTATTGATAATTCTATATAATTCTATATATATATCTCAATATTAATGTCGTTTAATTTTGCATAATTAGAAAATTAAGATGGAAAAATCTTTAGTTATGAATATTGAGGAGCAAAGAATACTAAAAGAAATACATAAAAGAAAATTGCGTGTAGTCGGTCAAAAAGGTAATTTTATATTACAATATTTTTTAATGATTTTTTTTTTTTAAATGTGTCTGTTTATAAATTAGTTGGTTACAAAATCGGAAACATAAACATGTTTGATACTGATGACCCAGATTTAATTCCACGAGTACGTTTAACAGAAAATCAACGACTCGTATGGTCAATTCTTTTTTATTTGCCGGAGCCTAATACAACCATTATTGTACCAAATTGTCACGAAGATACTACGTTAGTATATATTTATTTGCATCTGAATACTTTCAAGTGTTTTGTTATTTTTTTAATATTATTTCATAATTTTTGTAAGCATATTTTTTGTCTTTTTAGGTTCCACAACATGTTAGTAGACATATTTAATGAAAGAGCACCATGGGACGACGAAGGTAGATACACAGCAGACACACTGAATATTTATAATAAAATTCCAGTGGACACAACGACCAGTGTTCTAAAAAAAATACACCCAGAAAACACATTGTCAAATGTATTGACATTTTTCAGGTAATCAAATTGTTTCCTATGTCTTAAATATTTTTTGTTTGTTTTTCACACTCTTCTCAATGAGCAGCAATTTCTGTTTCTATGTTCTTTAATACTTTGTTGTAGCAAACAAATAAGCATTTATTAGACATGGAATTTTACTTTAACAGGCTTACTTATTCTCATCGATTTGCTCGATACACTCGTTGGATTTAAAATATGTATAATTTTTATTTTTATTGTTTTTAGGTGTCCGATTGAAAACGGTTTACCAACGTTTACGATTCTTATTTCCGGAGGAAATTATGAAAACGAAAATTTTATGGATATTGTCGAGTATGTTTTAGAATTGTTTTATCAAAATTTCAATTGAATCTATGACTTAGCATAGATTCAAAGAATACAATTATGTTGTAACTTAATTTCAAATCGTACATTTGATATGAGTAATATGAATATGCCGATTCTGGCGCAGTCCCTTAATTCTCATTTTAAAAACTAATTTCTGATCTCTATTTACATTGTGTTTATTTCCAGTTCTTCGTTTACATGCATAAAATAAAAATAATATTTAAAAAAATAAATTAAAAATAATAGTTAAAACAAATGTAACATTAACATTGTACTAGGAACAGCTCTCTTTAACAAAAATAAATAATATAATATGCTATGCATCGCGCATGAAATAGATTATTTTTAAAAAATAATTTATATTGAAATCATCATTATTTTTTATTATTTGTTTTTATTAAATTATCAAGGTATTTTCTACTTTTGTTGAATAATGTCACCAAGCTAAAGTTTTTAAACCATTTTCTAGAATATATCTTTTATCATCATATGCACTAAGAGCATTTTTGTTTTGTTCAACGGTATACATTACATGTTTATCTGTTCCAAAAGCGTTCTGTTTTACAAAAATTGGATATTTAATTTTTAAACATTTAAAAAAATCGTTAAAACATAATTCAGAATTAGCTATAATTTTTTTCACACCTTTTGTTTTTTTAATTTCATTTTTTTTTTCAAATACTTAAAATGAATATAATTTAGATCTTCACCCAATAAATTCAGTCATTATTTGATCATTATGCTCATCTTTAAATTTACCTGGAACTTTTTTATTTATTTGGGGTATTCCATAATTTTTTTATTCTCAAGATAATATGAAAAATCAAATTCATTTAAAAGTTGTTTATTGTTTTTATATATCTGTATAAAAATCATCAGTTGTAATTTCTACTATTAAAGTTTCTGTGTCTATGTATAATAATCTGATATTTTTTTTCAATACATTATAATAAAAATCATACATACGAAGTTTAGATAATTCTAAAATACACATTCCTCAATAAATTGATTGTTTTAATTCAACCACTGTTTTATTCAATTATACAGCTACTCTGTTGTCTTTGAAAATATTTGCTCGATCAACATTTGGTTTAACAACCCATTTATCTAAGTTTTTTTCATCGTTAATTAATTTTATATCTTTATGAATCCCTGTGTTCATCATAGTCCTACCAAATACATTGTTGTTCATCAATTTATAATAAACTTTTTTAAATTCATTATCTGTTTTTGCCCGAAGATTTGTGTTAAATTCTTTATATGTATCAATTTTGGGTAGCATACTTTCTAAATCAGTATAAATGAGAAAAGGAGCTTTATAAGATTTATTGTATATTTCAAATTGAAGAATACTTTCTGATCTAAAGCCTGTATTTATTTTCTCGTTTGATGGAATTTCATTGATATAATTAAAATTTACTAAAATAGATATTTTAAAATTACATTTCTCTTTTAAAAATTCTTACATTTTTTTCTCAACAAACTTTTTTGAATAATTCAAAAATTAATTGATAACTTTAAATTGTCCCATATTTTCAACAATTAATGATAATATTCTTCCTTTAAAATCATTTTTTTTATTTGGTCTTTTCTCAATAATATCTTTAGAAAGTTTGCAGAAAACCTTGTGAGGTTTAATTGTTCTCTCTTTTCTAAGTGTTGGGATACTATTTTTATTTCTCTGATTAGCTTTTTCATGAAATCTAGTTTCAATAATTCTATTTGGATCATTTCTTTGATGTTTTAATCATCTTAAATGTCTAGAACAATTTTTATATGCAGTTGTTATGCCACACATGTTACATGTCTATTTAAAGCTGTTCTAACAATAATATTTTCTTACATTTTATTATAGGTTATATTTTTTTTAAATAATAATCTTGTTTAAAATATACAGTTTAATTATTGTTAGGTGTTACATAATATTTCTAAAGAGATTTAACTCGAACATATGAAATATCTCCATGTTTACAAGTTTACAAATCTTAATTTGTAACTTTTTTTTTTTAATTTTAATATTTCATTACAATTGCTTTTTCTTACACATCTAAATTTGGTTTTCTGTAATTCTTGATTATAGAAACTTCATTCAATAATTTCATTATTTAAATCTCTAATTTTATAAGTAATTGGATTTTTATTCAATACTTTTGTAACAATAAAAATTTCTTGTGTCCAATTAGAGTTATATTTGTTATCAAACGTTTTTCTGAACTTTAAACTGTATTCTCATTTCACCATTTAAAGTTCTGTTGAAACGTTCAATAATTGCAGATTTCTCTTCGTTTTGTGTATGATATAATTGTATATTGTGTTTTGTTAACATTTCTTTACACTGTTTATTTACAAACTCTGTTTCTTTATCTGTGTGAAGTAATGTTGGTGAATTATGTTTCTGTAGTTTAGCTCATTATATTATTTCTTCAAAACCTTTAGTTACATTTGTTTCATCTTTTTTCTTAAGAGATTCAGAACAAGCAAATTTTGAAAAAGTATCTATAACATTGAACATATAAAAATAACCTGAATTTCTATCACCATAATTTCTCATTAAAATTAAATCTGCAGCCCACAAATCATCAATACCGTGTGTTTTTATTTTCCTTTTTAGGAATTGAGATCTTACTGGTTTATAAAGTTGCTTTGCAATACTTAGTTTATCTTGTTCTGTTATTTTATCAAATTTTTAGTTTTAATAAATTTAGTTTTGTTTGTTGTACATTTTAAACAATGTATTGAAATTCTCTATAGAACATTTGTTATTTGAACCTTGATTGGTTTGAAATTTTTAGTTTTCTTTTTGCATTTGTGACAGTTTGTTGGTTCTAAAAATTCTATGTCCATATTTGTTAACATAATAAATTAATTTTTCTTTCTTAATAGAATATTTCAATGTTTTATATTGTGATCGAATAACATGATCATCACCTTTTTTAAAAATATTTTCCATTTATTATAGAAAAGATAAAAAAAAATAAAAAGTTTTTGTTTTATAATAAAGAAATATGAATATTTTTTTTTAATCAGAAATATGATTAAAAAATGATTTAGATATATAATTTAGGTATATTTTTTATAATTTTTAATAAAATCCAAACACAAATATCCACAAATAGGCGGATCATTATAGGCTTGAAATCTTCTATATGTTATCTTAAAATTATTTTCTCCTAAATATTTTACTTATTCTTTTGGTAGATTAGCATTACCATATGAATCAAAATAAATTTTTAAATTTTCATGTTTTATCCATGCAACTATTTTCTTACTATGTGCAGATTTAATTTTTTTCAATTTTGCATCGTTTTAACTAAGATTCATTTATTATACAAAATATTATTTTTTTTTATTTAAATAAGACCCATTCCTAATTTTCCTTTTACTTTCATTATATTACTATTTTACAAAAGCTGCTGTTTTTTCACCTAAAGATGTTTCAGGATTTTTGTATATATCTTTTGCAATATTTTCTAAAATCAAATCAGCTCTATGTCTAGATTTGGTATCTTTATGTTTTTCATAGTAAAAATCATGTTCTATCACAGTTTAATCTAGTTTGTTTATTGGTTTCTTAGATTTTGTAAACGGTCCAAAGTGACTATAACCAGGCCAATGAATTTCAGGCATAAATTTACTATTCAGGAAATTATTAACAAGTCCAGATCCAGTGATCACTTTCTTTGGTAATCTTGCAATAAAAGTAATGAGATATTCTATACCATGGGGTGTATCAACTAATTTTTCCATTTCTTTACTTACAACATTTATAATACTTAATTTTTCATTGTGGAAATTATTATTACCAGCTCCTTCTTCTGCAGCAATAAAACATAATCTTTTTAACAATTCGTTTAAATTATCAATGTATTAATATTGAATTGGGTTTTCTATATAATTTGTTAAACCAGATCCTCCATGCAAAGTTTGTAATTTTTTATTTTCATTAATTTTATTTCAAATAGGACGGATAAGATTCATGTATTTATCCCCTTTACTTGATTTTACTTTATTTTGTTATTTTTATTATAATTTTGATATAATGATTTTGTTTCTATTAATATCTTTTCATAATTCATTTTAATATCATCATCGGAATATGATGTTTTATCTATATATTTATTATATGTTAATAATCTCCATAATNATTTGATTTTACTAGAAATCTTCTAGATGTTATTTTAAGATTATTTTCTCCTAAATATTTTACCAAATCTTTTGGTGGATTAGCATTACTATAAGAATCAAAATTAAATTTTTTGTTGTTTGTTAATAAAATGTGATGTTTTTGTTAACCGTTTTCACAGGAAATAAAAATGATTTAATGTCATCGTCAGTTTTTCTAACAGCCTCTTCAACATATTTTAATCCCTTGGTAATAGGTTCAAATGATTTTATTTTTCTATTTCATCATTTAGTTTTTTCTCCGCTTCATTTCTATATATTTTTTATAATTTTTTTTTTTTAAGGCAATTTTTTTCAAGATTAAATGTTTCATTAATCTCTGCTTCTGTTGGTTCTTTTTTATCTTCGAAATGTACTGTTTTTTTTTTATTTTATTAGATTTTTTTAAGTTTAATTTTTAACTTTTAATTTTTTTCTTAAGATTGTTCTTAAGAATTTGTTCAAGTATTCTCATTTATTATAGAAAAATACATTTTCATTAACTGATATTTGTAGTTCAATATTTAACGATTAACAATTAACATTCAATAATTAACGATTAACAGTCAATTTTTAGTGTTCGCATAAAAATTGATCTAATTTATTATAGAGATGATTATTTGTTATATCCATTGATAAGAATCCAAATGGTTTATTTCAACATTTCTTACAAAGTAAATTAAATAAACTTAATTTATTATCACTTATAAAATCCTCCCATATTTTTTTAATTTAATGGTCAGACTGTTTAAAAATAATTACAAAATTTAAATTGTTTCTTATAATTTTTAAATCCACAGCAGTATAAATTTGTGTTAAATAAATAAAACATATATTTTTATGTCGACCTGTTATAAAATATTGTTTCATTATTGATTGTTTTTCTAAAACACAATCATCAAAAATAATTTAACTATTCGGTTTTACAATCATCAACAGAAACTATACCTTCATTAGAAATAACTGTTTCGATTTCATTTATATCATTAAATACTTCTTCTAATTTCTCATAAATCGGTTAATCAATGGTTTTTGTAAAATCATAAAGATTTTCAAAATGAATCCGAAAATTTGTTATAATATTCGACAATACATTTGTTTTTCCAGAACCTAAACATCCTAGAATTAAACAATATAAAGGTATAGGAAATATACATTCATCATTATCTTTTGTTTCCTGATGTGGAAATGGTTCGATATTTTTATATTTATCTAAAATTTTCTCAAGTTTATTATGCTCTTTTGGCATATTTATTTTTTTAAGAAAAAATTATAAAGATTAAAATCTTTAAAATTATAATTTATTAAATCCATAAATTTTAAACGTATTAATAACCAATTAGTTCAGCTTGTTTCAAATATTTTTCTCCGAGAAAAAATTGTATATTTTCTAAAAAATCTTTTTCTCTTATATTCATCTCTTCTTCAGTGATTTTTCGAGCTTTAAACAACAAGAGTATTTGATTGTACAATTTATAAACTATAAAAAATTCTGATATTATTTCGTTTTAATTATTATTTTTCTCAAAGAGATTAAGAATTACATTTACAAGACACAGTAATGCTAATATTGTATTATAAATAAATCCTAATAATCCAGTTGTAGTTGAAAACAACATTAAAATAAGTCATACATAAACTAAGGTTATTATAGAAATTATAACTTTTGCGATATACATAAATTCTATTTTCTAAATATTCATTCATCTGTTTATTAAATTAAGACAAACAATAAATTCTGTAAATTTATTAAATTAATTCAATTCTAAGTCAAAAATATTTAATTAAGTGTATTGAAATTTTTTTTTTTGATTTATGTGTATATAAGTTATAGTTGGTGGTTTATGATCAAATTATCTTGTGGGTTATTAAAAATAAATAAAAGATTTTCTTCATAGTGAATATTAACGTTTTCTTTGTGATTGGATATGGATTTTTCTACTATATTACAATGTAATTCTAAAGGAATATTAGATTGTTTACTTGCCGGATAAATTCCAATTTTTGAAAAATTATCAAACTTAATCCGTAGATTATCACAACATTACCTTCAACTTTTAATAAACAATCTGTTTCAATATTTATTAAATTTGAAGTCATAATTAAACCTAAAACACCAATAAATAAATTATGTCCAAATATAGGATTTTCTAACCTTATAAATCCGTTTTTTTATTTTTATTATTCTCGTAAATGCGTACTAGAAAGAATATATTATAGAATACAGATAAAATATAGTTTAACTATTCAAATTCAATCAAATAAAATATTTAATTGTTATTAAGTTGTTTTAACCAAAAAGATTTGCTCTTGTGTGTTTTTATTGATTGTTTTAATTTCTCTATGAGAAAAATTATTTAAAAATCTATCAGGTAAAAATTATTTAAATTTATCATTTAAAATAACACTTAATTTGTCACCATATCTTGTTTTATCAATACTAAAATATTTGCATAAATATTTCTGATCAGTTTCTAAATCACTTAATTTAATGAACTTATAATTAAAGGTGACGCTATTTAATTTAATTTTAAAGTTATCCATTAATTAAAGAAAATATTTTTTTTTAACTAAGTTTCAAAATTTTTTTAAAACGATAAAAATTCGAATTAAAAATATGGACAAAATTTGCAATAGTTTCCCAATCCAATCACATATACAATGTAAATAAAGATCAGAAATTAGTTTTTAAAGTGAGAATTAAGAGACTGCGCCAGAACCAGCAGTATATTCATACTACTGATGTGTATTTATTACAATATTATATTAAAACCGTTTTATAATACATATGTATAATTCAATATTTTTTCAGGTAATCATATTGCAGTGTGTATGTGAGCTAAGTTAGATTTGATGTGACATCGATATTGACAAATTGAAAATATACATTAAATATAAGTATGCATGTATGAGACACACTTATAAATCATATTTTTAGTCAATCAGAAAATTATAATTTTTGTAAATATATTTTAAGAAACATGTATAAAATGTAAAGAGTATTAAATTAAATTATGTAAATATTACATTTATATACATCTGAATTATATAATTTAGGGATATACATCTGATGCATTTAATGATATTGTGAGTTAAGAAAACTCGGTATTCTGGACTAATGTAATTGATGTTATCTGTATTTTAAATGATATTCTTTTTATTTCGGTTTTTAATATAAAAGTGTATTTTGTAAATGGTTCTTAGGTTATAACCATTAATTATAGCTATTTTTTTCATTGTGTTTAATTCTTGAATCTAGTCATTATTATTTATATTGAGATATTATCTAGTCTGTGCAGTATTCATTTAAAATATGCTAATTTTTGTAAATAAGGATGATTAGATTTATTAGATATTATAGCATAAGTTTGTGTAGGTTTTATATTATTATTAATTTTAAATCTATTATTGATTATTTTCATGTTTAGGTCTAAAAATTAAAATTGACCATCGGTTTGTAATTCAATTGTAAATTGTATGTTCTTATTAATTTTTTTAAATGTATTTACTATATTTTGTACTTATTTTTCTGCGTCTTTAATTATTATAAAATTATTTTCTACATACCTATATTATTGTATAACATTGAGATTTTTGATAATGTATGAATATTTCTGACATAATGACACTTAAAGGATTACCCATAGTTAAACCTTTAGTTTATGAATATATTGTATTATTATAAAATATAATTGTATGGTTTCATTTATTACTTAAGTTTTTATTTTGTAAATGGTAGTTAAATTTTCTTTTAAACTTAACTTTGTATTATTTCTAATTTTGGTATAGAAGTGTAAAGGTTTTTATTATCTCATAGTATCATTTTACATCCTTGCGAAATGTTATAATTTTTAATATTTCAAATCAAATAATATGTGTTTTCGATAGAATGTGTGTTGTTTTATATATAATTATGTAAATAGTTTTTATGTTTCATAGTGGAAGCCTAAATTTGTAGCCTAAAAGGGTAGTTTTAAAATTTACCAATAGTCTTATTGGATGATATTTTTTGTGCAAATAAACAAATGGTTGTAATCATATAGATCGTGTGTTGTTATCATTGTTTAATAATTTTTTATCCTCAGATGTTAATGTTCCGTAGAATTTCTGATAGTATTACTAATCAATTTGTTACAGTTATTTACAGGATCATTGATTATTGTAATTTCTTATGAACTCATTAGTCTTTTTAATAACTACCTGTACGCTAATTGTTTATTTAAACTTGTAGAAATCATAATTAAAGTAAAAACAGGAAAATAGACTATAGACGAATGAAATAAAATTGTTAAACCTTTAATAATTTATGTAGAAGGAGAAAAAATTAATATAAAATCTAATTTTATTTTTTAATCTAGATGAAAAGGTAAATAAATATTGATCACGATAAGGATCATTGTTTTAACACAATGAGCGATAGAATACTTGGAGATTTACCGTTTAAAATTTACAGTATCTTATCCCAAAGATGAAATAGTACAAATAAATTAAGAATGTAATTTTATTTTTGGTCGAAATGGACATATAACACCATATAAATTACATCTTGGATTAGACTCATTGAAAGAACTTGAAAAAATGTTTATTATTTATCGTGAACATGGTTTATATAATACATTTACAACAGTTATACTCGAGAAAGGATAATTAAAATTATCACCCCCCCTTAATATAGACCTCGATTCGTATTTATCTGATTGTTTAGGCTTTGAATATAACGATGTCGAATCACTTAGAGAAGAAAAATATTCAATAATATGAGGTTATAAATGGCCTTCTCAAAGAGATGTTGAGAAAGGAGAAACACGTTTTACTTCAACTGCTGTAAGAACTCTAAACTTAAATGAAAAAAAAAAATATTTAAATAACACAGAAAGAAATATATAATTTGATATTGGGTTGATTACGAAAATTCCTAGATTGAAGTAAACTATTGAACAAATAGATTTTATTTTAAAAACGAATCTGAACGTTTCCGATAATTGTTTAATTGGGTTTAATAACGATGAAAATAATTTAATGTTCAATGATAACCTTTATGATAACCTAGGGGTTAAGTTTGATAATTTTTCAAAAATTGGAATTTATCTAGAAAGTAAGCCATCTAGTATTCCCTAAAAATTATAAAAAATATATCTTATCTTTATTTTTTTTTTATTGTAGGTGTCTTTTTAAATCAGGTTTCTGGTTAAAAAATTTTTGTTAACAACCTTTGTGATAATCTGAGGGTTAAGTTTGTTTGTTTTTCAAAAGTTGGAATTTGTCAAACAAGTAAAACCCCTTATATCCGTTTAGAATAACACTGCAATATAATAGAGAAATTTATATTCAATCATAAAGAAAATGAGCTTATTAATTGCGAGGTGGATCTTTTATTTATTTTTATTAATCCACAATAAGTGTAAAAGAAATTCGAAATATTAAAATAGATATTTTTGATTTAAAAGTGTATATATTTAATACATTTTCAGAATTTATTATTTATCTTAAATATTATCTTATTTATCTTAAATACACAGATAATGGATTCACATTAAGTTTTGCAATATATTTCTACAAAATAATAATAACTTTTAGTAAAATAAGTATGGCAAAAGAGAATAAATGCAAAGTAGATTCGTATAATTTTAAGAAAAGTAAAAATAAAATAGAAACCATATTTCCTATACCTTTACGTTGTTTAATTGTTGGACATTCAGATTCTGGTTTCGATTCATCGGAGTACTCCGGTCGCGTTTTTTTTTTTCGATGAAGAAGGAGGAACAAATAAATTTTGTCCAAACCCAACAAAATGTGTTAAAATTTGGTTTTGATTAGTGTAATTAATTATCTTTATTTATATGTTAATCACCAAAGTGGTCCAACGAGATGCTAATGTGAGTGGACAGGGTATTTGACCTTTTATCATTGTGTTTAATTCTTGAATCTAGTCATTATTGTTTAAAGAGATATTATCTAGTCTGTGCAGTATTTATTTAAAATATGCTAATTTTTGTTAGTGAGAATGACTAGATTGATAAGTTATAATAGCATAAGTTTCCGTAGGTTTTATATAATTATTAATTTTAAATCTATTATTGATTATTTGGTGCATGGTTAAACTACCGACCCGCAAAAGTTATATAAGTCCTGCTCGTGAACGCGACACGGCAGTTAAGCAGTTCGCGGGCTGTATTCAAATTTAAAATGTGGCGGTTTAAAACAGGACGTTACAAGGTAATTAATATCACAATATTAGTAAAGAAGTAAAGAATTTTAACCGTAAATTATTCAATTTTAAATTTAATAATCACTTGGAAATAGTTTAAAAAACTAATAAAAAAAAAAAAGACTATTTGGTCAAATGAAAAACTGACTAATTTACTTAATCAAATCACTTAGTCAAGAAATGTATAAAATAGTATTTGGTTCCTAATAAAAAAAAAAATTGGTTCCAGTTTTGATGCCGGTCCTTAAAAGAACTTCAGTTTCGGTCTTTAAAAAAACCACAACTTCGGTTATTAAAGTAACAAAAAATTTGATTTCTGTTTGTTTTCAGTTCTTAAAAAATTAAAACTTTGTTTCCTGTTTTGGTTTTATACTTGTGTACAAAATTTTATTTACGTTCCATTGGCGTCAATTAGGCTAGGTAAATACCAATTTTTTACTGCATACTGTACGTTAGATAACGTCTGATAATGGTAGTATAATATACACAATCATAACGTGTCTAATTATTTATAAACATTAATCATACTTTTCAGGATTGTGTGTTATTATGGTAACTAGAAAACCTATAGGTACGTAATATGCAGTAAATAATGGCTTTTATTTTTATTGGGAATTCCTATTACATTATCAGATGTTACGCACAAATATTGAATGATTATTTTTTAATACTATTAATCCTTTTAATAATAATAACAACAATATGGATTTTCGTATTTGTTTAGTTCTTATTACCCGACAGTGACAGATATAAATAGAATTAATGGAATTATAACAAAATTTATAAAATATTAAAAAAAATCGATGATGTCCATGAAAATCGGTCGGAAAGTAGCAAAATCGAAAATCTAGGACAATAGGTTAGATTGACTATTTAAAAAAAGAAAACAAAAATTCAGACAACTGTTTTACTATGTTCAAGATACNGTTAATTATTTAATGTGTATACTTTATTTGTTTAGTTATAAATGGGTTATTTATTTATTTATATATATATATATATATTTGTTTTGTTCTTTTAATATTTTAGTATAACTTATATGCGAAAAAACGAAGAGAGAATTACCAATACTGAGCAGTGACTACTTAGGAAGTTATTATATTTATTTTACTTTACTAAAAGAACTATAGGTATTAATTATTTAATTAATTTTACTAATATATTTATGAGTGTACTTAAGAGCAAATAATTTTTAAAAAAGTAAAAAACTTAGTTACTAAATTTGCTTGTTAATAATTATTTAAATAAAATAAAATTACATGTTGTATTTATATATGTTAAATATCGTGCACTAATAAATAATATTTTATAGAATTACATGTTTTGTTTTTATGTATTCCAAGAAGTGATATCAAAGTTTCAGTGTATTGTGTGGTTGGTATATTGTTTGGTAAATATGACGAGAAGTAATTTTATGATTGTATATATTTAACCGTCTCAAAATAGTAAAAATGATGGTTCATTCAAAGATAAAAAAAAAAATTATTTTTCGGTTATAATTACAGGAAACACTCGTGATATAGAAAATTAAATTTTAAAAATGGCATCTTCAAAATTTATATCGCTTAAATTCGTACTTTCTCATTAACTCTGCATTTCTGTTCAGCAGCTTCATATTTTAGTATACATTTTATAAGAAATTCTTNCAATGCTTTACTTCACTCAAGCACATTACACAATTGGTATTTTTAGGTTGACGGATCTCTTGGTCATACTTCTGAATCGGTAAATGATATTTCTAATAAAAGTGACGATATGACAGGAAAAAAAATGGAAATAAATATGAAATGCAAAATTTAAAAGGATATACTTACATGTCCTGTATAGAATTTCTTCAGCAACGGTATTTCTACCGAAATGTCTAAAAATTCATAGAGGAAAAATAGCAACGTATGTCTCGGTGCGAAGGAGGGGGGGGCTTCTGGCTGAATAAATGGGCTGGGAAATATATAAGGAGAAAATTGGGAGAGTGTGTGTGTTTCATTCAGTCATCAATATCATATATTTTAAATATTAGTTATCGAATCTATATTGACTTAATAACTAGGTAATAAAACTAGATAATAAAATATGTGTACTGATGTAACATTATACTGATATAAGCGGTCATTTTGTTTGGTTTGAACAATATTTGTATTTCCGTTTTCATCAATAGTCTTCGGAAGAAAAAAAAACAATACGTAGAGGGCGACTGGCTGGGTCGCCTTCGTCGGGCGTATGAGATTTTATGATTGTTAGGAGAGGATTACACGGATTGTGACGGTCAGTGCTTACAGGATCATTGAAAATAAAATTAGTGTAATTAATTATCTTTATAAATATGGTAATTATTAAAGTGGTCCAACGAGATGCTAATGTGGGTGGACAGGGACATTTAACCTGAGCGTGTTGATATCACTGCGGATTACGTTATGTTAGCTGCGAGCTGGTGGTGGCTACACGCTGTTGTTGAGTGGTGTATGGTTAAACTACCGACCCGCAAAAGCTCTATAAGACCTGCTCGTGAACGCGACACGGCAGTTAAGCAGTTCGCGGGCTGTATTCAAATTATTATTATGATAATAAAATAGAGTACGAATGTAATACATTTAATTTAAATTGTATACTACATTATATTTATACTATAAAGTTAATTTACCCGCTATCAATAATATTAATTTTTAATTTTTCATTAGAATTTTTGTGTTGGTCACACTATCTAATTGGGACGCTCAAACAGTTGACATGTATTTGGTATGTGTAAGTTTTTGTTTGTATAATCATATCTGTTAGTATATTTTTTTGCAATTCTCTTGTTTACATTTTAATACGTCTCATTCAATACCAATTTATTTATATTACAATAAAATGGATAAAATACCGTGAGTATACTGTTTATTTATAATAATATGTACAGAGGTAAAATGAATGTAGCTAATAATTATTTTTGATAATTATTATAACATATTCATGATTAAAAATTAATATTTCAGGAAATCATGTGTCTCTACAACATCTAGATCCAACGAAAGAAATAATAAGTGCTATACCGTTAACGAGGTCAATAGAATATTAGAAGAAGGATTACAATATTTTAAGCTTCATCGAGAAAACAACATAACTGACAAATTAGCCGATAAGTATTACGAAGATGGAAATTTGTACTTTAAAAGCTGTCAATATAAACTAGCCATAATATGCTTTCGACAAGGCCTGATGTTGGATTTTAAAAATAATCAGCTACGTGCTGACATGTGGAACAATTTGTCTGCTGTTTATTATTTGTTAAAAGACTATAAGTACATCGATAAAATTATAACCCAAGTCATAGATAAACATAATTTTTAATTTCTACATTTCTCTACTATTAGATCGAGTTTGGTAACGGCTGAAGATGCACTTAAATTAATGCCAGGATATGAAAAAGCATTCTTAAGAGGTATCAACTGTTGCATTCGAATGAAAGATTTTGATAAATCATTACATTATTGTGATATTTACTTGGGAAATTTTTCGGAGGCTAAGGTATGATAAATATTTTATTGATAATTCTATATTATGAGATATTTATGTCATTTAATTTTGTATAATTAGAAAATTGAAATGGAAAAATGTTTAATTATGAACATAGAAGAGCAAAGAATGCTAAAAGAAATAAATAATAGAAAATTGTGTGTAGTCGGCCAAAAAGGTAATAAAATTACCTGTATAAATTACCTTTATAATATAAAATATTATAATATTTTTAATGATTTTTTTTTTTTAAAAAATGTATCTGTTTATAAATTAGTTGGTGATAAAATCGGAGACATAAACATTTTTAATACTGATGACCCTGATGAAATCCCACGAGTTCATTTAACAGAAAATCATCGACTCGTATGGTCAGTTCGTCTTTCTTTTCCGGAGCCTAATGCAACTATTGTTGTACCAAATTTTCACGAAGATACTACGTTAGTATATATTAATTTGCATCTGTACTCTTTTCAAGTGTTTTATTTATTATTTTTTTATTTTTTTAAATATTATTTTATAAATTATGTAAATATATTTTTTATTTTTAAGGTTTTATAAACTGTTATTATATATATTTTCTGAAAGAGCACCATGGGATGCTGAAGGTAAATACACCGTAAACACAATAAATATTTATGGTGAAATTCCAGTCAACTCTACCACCAGAGTTCTAAAAAAAGTACTCCCAGAATACACATTGTCAAATGTATTAACATTGTTCAGGTAATCAAATTGTTTCTTATGTTTTAAATATTTCTTGTTCGTGTTCATCTTTCTCCTCACGATAAGCAGAAATTTCTGTTACTCTATTTGTTTCACACACAAAGTTCCACTCTTTGAATTTAAAATGTATATAATTTTAATTTTATTGTTTTTAGGTGTCCAATTAAACGTGGTTTACCAACGTTTATGATTGTTATTTCTGGAGGAAAATTTGAAAACGAAAATTTAAAAGATTATGTCAAGTATGTTTTAATAGTGTTTTATCAAAATTTCTATTGAATCTATGACTTAAAATGTATTTAAAAAATACAATTATATTGTAACTTAATTTTAAATCATACATTTGATATGTATTTATTACAGTATAATATTGAAACCGGTTTATAATACATATGTATAATTTAATATTTTTTCAGGTAATCATATTGCAGTGTGTATGTGAGCTAAGTTAAATTTGACGTGACATCAATATTGACAAATTGAAAAAAAACATTAAATATTAGTATGAATGTATAAGACACACCTGTAAATTTTTTTTTTTAGTTTATCAGAAAATTGTATTTTTTGTAAATATATTTTCAGAAACACGTTTAAAATTTAAAGAGTATTAAATTAAATTATGTAAATATTAAATTTATATACATCTGGGTTACAAAATGTATGAATTGCGTGGTATTGATGTTCAAACATTTTATTGTTTTGGGGATTTACATCTGGTACATTTAATGATATTGTGAGTTAAGAAAACTCGGTATTCTGGACTAATGTAATTGATGTTATCTTTATTTTAAAAGATATTCTTCTTATTTCAATTTTTAATATAAAAGTGTATTATTTTAATGGTTCTCAAGTTATAACCATTAATTATAGCTATTTTTTTTATATTGTGGAAATAATAAATGTTCTTAAACAATATTACCAAACTTATCTGATCGTCTTCTTCAATTTGAAAAATATAATCAATCTTATAAAGTTCCATTTGTTATTTATGTTGATTTTGAAAGCATGCTTCTTAAACTTAATACATGTCAACTGCGTGATGCAACTTCTTACAAAAAAATTTATCAAAAACCTTTACCTGTTAGCTTTTATTATAGTGTTATAAATAGTTTATGAGCATTTACAAGAAATGTTTAGTGATATAGATGAAGTTGAAACAGTTTTTTCCAATGGAGATATAAATTCTGTTGATGAATGTAAACCAGATAGTGTAGTTGTTTTTGATGATTGTATGTTAGAAAACCAAACTGTACTTAAAGAATATTTTGATTAATTTTTATATGAATTTGATTCTTTAGATTTTTCTGAGAATAAAAATATGGAATAACTCAAATAAACAAAAAAATTCCAGGTAAATTTAAAGATGATCTTATTGATCAAATAATAACTGAATTTGTTGAATTACAATTTAAACTATAAACATTTAAAGTATTTGAAAATGAAAATAATATTAAAAAGCGAAAGGTGTGAAAAAATCCATAGTTAAAAATGAATTGTTTTAATGATTTTTTTAGTTGTTTAAAAAAAAAAAAAAATCCAAAATATGTAAACAGAACACTTTTAGAACAGATAAACATAATATTAGTAACACAATGTTTTTTAATGTTGAACAAAACAAAAAATCTTTTAGTGCATACGATGATAAAAGATATATTCTGAAAAATGGTATTGATACTGTAGCTTGGGGACATTATTCAACAAAAATAGAAAGAGAAAACTTCAGAGAATACCTTGCTAATTTAATAAAAAAGAATGATAATATTAATTGTTTGTTAAAAAAGAA